CACGTAAAACTATCAAACGTGTGGACTAAGCGATTATGCACCACTAAACCTTATTAATGTTTTCCGCGGTTGTATTCCAATTGAAATCGTACCAACTCCAATCTACGAGATATAATCGTAAAGTAAGGGCCGTTTGCGTATATGTATTTAATTATTGGCGGGTCTGACAAAGTTGAGCACATGCATCGCCAAATCGTGATTGCTTGTGCAGATACCTTAATCATTGTTTTGATCCAATGCTCGTTTGATTATCCGTGAAGTCAAATCATAATGTCCGCGAAGATTGTTGATCCCACCAGCTGCGAAGCGCGTGAAATTCATCAGAAGTTATGCCTAGTATATGGAACAACTATTTTGAATGAAAGAAAGACAATGGTGTCGATACTTCAAGAAATGTGCATGATGAAGAGCGCGGTGATGGTCCCCTATCCAGAAGTTGATCTCGTGGACCAAAAAGTCCGATCTGATCGGCAATTGAGAACTAATGGTCTGGATGACGCAATTCCTCTTGTTGAACGCACCATCATATTTGAGTCTGCCATAGAACAGATCGGATGTCATACATTGCTTGTGCTGCGAGAATCACGGCACGCTGTTCGTAACTTGCGGCGTAACAAACGACTACTGGATCAAGACTTCGAAAGCAATCAAGATATGTCGCTGCATGCGTTCAACTTGTCAATAAACAATAATATAATTACGAATACACAAACAGCTCTTAGTTTACCAATATGCCTCGTGGATACTGCTTTCTGAATTGTCATAAATTATACGTCCACAATGATGATCAGTCAAGATCTGGGGATCTTCGAATAGTCTTATATTCGATCTTCCTTCACTTATTATATCTGAAGAAAAATGTTCTTCAGAAACTTCCATTCAGAATAGCTACCAGTTTGCAAAACGAAAGATAGTTCATTTTCATATCTGCATATTCACTATATCAGTTTCTATTTTCCCATCATTTTTAATGATTTCGCGGTAAACACGTAAATATCTTGTGTCGCATTTTCTGGTACTCATCACGTAAAAAAATAACATTTTACGCCGCAGTTACAACACCGCGTAGTTGAAGATTAGCTTTTACATTTTTTGTAGTAGCTTTAATGTGAGATGGTTTAAAATCTAATTCACATTCCATCAATTCATACAATAATATTTGTGTTTCAATTCAACTAATTCAACATACAGGTTTATTGTCTAACTATAACAATATTTTAGATTACTATTGAACGGTGTAGGATGTTTAGTTCGCATTACATATTTAAAATACTATGCACTTGAAACGCTCAAGAACACAATACATGATGAGCATAATAAGTTTATACATTATTATCCAGAGATACGATTGTTAAGAAAACCAAGAATTGCGTTTGAATAAAATGTTTGCTATAGGTCATACTTTCCTTTTTTATCTCTCTTCGGTGGTGTACAATTCGGCATAATGTCATCTTCAGGTACATATGATTGATTTTACTCCACTAAGACCAATAAACATACTGTTTTGGTGGTTTTTTGACTATACTTATATTGCTCGCAGTGAAATGATAAACTCCTCAATAATAAATTATTTATCTGAAGATGGCATTATGCCAAAATATTGAAATCTCTATCGAATTAGAAAAAAGTGAAATTTGTCCGGTACCCAAGAATTTTATTCAAATAAATTAGTATCCATTGGTAGGACGAAAACATGAAATTAGAAATTGTCGTGGCAAAAGTCGCATGGTCTCGAGTTTTTCGGCATTTTTTAAACGAGTTATAGTTACTTCCTTTGTTAGCTTGATTCCTGATCAAATTTTCTATTAGCACAAACACTGAAAATCACTTACGTCGGAGTTACAGAAACGGTTAAAACTGTTGAAAAATTGGTAATTTGTAGCGATAATGCATTTGAGATAAAATGATAAAGTTATTGAAAAACCTGTTCCATGGCAAGATTATCATATTTCGATTTGGCGTGGTGGCGATAAAGTATAACAATTTCACATTAGACTAAAATTCACAAATATATCCTTAATTCCTCTTTTGGCCTTTAAATGGGCTGGAAAAAGTAAATCCCACCATATCTTGCGAGTTTAGTGTTTTATATTTTTTCTACTGTAGCTCAAAAGTGGCATATGCTAAGTAGATTTAGTCTCAGCTAAATTGTACACAGAAAACTGTTTTCATATCAACATCGCTTCGACATATCGCAGGAATGTAACTCAACAATTCCTTGAAGAATATATTTTATCATTCAGCTTCAGCCCGTTTTTTTTTTTCGTTCCAAAAATCACAACTAAAATGATGCATGTTTACATCCGGGATTTCAGCCTGGGAGTGATGAGATTTCATTGAGAAGCAATGGGAGCGCTGGTATTCAAAATGTTTTGACCGTCTCTTTGGATATGTTATTATTGACTTTCTTTAATTTTTCTGCGTCCTCAATATGTGACTATTACAGCTACCATTTCTTTCTAAACTTAGTGGAGCTTTAAAAATAACCTCTCTATCGCATTTTCTGCTACAGCATCCAAAACAAATAAAACGTAATACGCAACCTGATTATTTTCATTTGCATATACATTTCACATGTTGTCACGCTTTATCTTTATGGTTGGTTCATATCGCTGCATAATCTCACTGATGAAAACTTAAAATATCATAGTTTGAAATTAAAGTTCCGTCTGAGTAGTATCGTGGACTATTGTATTGCAGAATATTGAGTGCATTAGATGTGGAATATTGACATTGACAGACATTAATTTTGTGACAAGGTTTTTGTGATTATTAAAAAGTATGCCGTCAGAACTACAATATTGTAAGTACTTAGTATTTTCTTATTCATGTGTCAAGCAGTAATTTGCTTAATGTTCTGCATATAATAGTTTTGTGCGTTTGAGGATAATGGTATACAGGGTGATTAAAAAACAGTGGTTTGTTTCTAGGGCAGAAGTATATCAGATAATAGTACGAAAAATTCCTATAAATACAGGTTTTACGCTGTCCTATTGCCAAGATGCGGGCTGTTATAAATTGCTATGAAACTGATAACACTGATTGAGGATGGAATATGAATATAGTCCAATTAACATGTTTATGTGGCATTACTTTACTATTTCATAATTTCCATTGTCAAACTTTAGTCCATCTTGTTTCCAAAGGAGAGCAGATTCAGGTTTTCATAAGAAATGTTTGGGATTGCTCTTGAAATATTAAAATGAAATTTCTTCAAAAGTCCGAGAAAAATTTGCTTTATTCAAAAATACAATATCAGTCTCGTAGAAAATGTTTGCCTTTCGAAATATGCTTATGTTTAGTTGAGTTTGATCCAGGAAACTTTTCATATCCATTTCGTATTTTTTTGAGTTACTGCAACGTGTAAATATTGGAATTGATATCTCCATCCAATCAGTAAATATCATTTTTTCGGTTTATAAATACAACTTCAAAATCAATGTGGTATTTTAAGAATACTGCAATTATTTGTTGCAAGTAGCAAAAACCCGGACTGGACGGCTTAATCTAATAGAAATGCCATATATATATATATATATAGATTATTCTAGTATCTAATCTTGATACGACATTCCACAAAATATGTATTAATTTAACAGAGATTGCTATGTCTACACGACTTTTCAGACTTGGACAATCTTACTAAAGGAGATTTACGAATTCCTAGCTTGTAAATAAGGACATATGTATTGGCACACCTTGTTTCTAAATATATCCATCTATGAACCTTTTTTAAACATTCATTCGCAGATTTTGATGCTGCTACTTTTTAGTACGTCAACAAGCATCCAAAGCTAATAAAATACGTAATACTCATTGTTTTCATATTGAATGCACAGTTCACCGACAATGGCATGTCATCTTTGTAGACTGAAGTTATGAAAATAAATCTTAAATAATATTCAGAAAAAATGTGGAGTATTTATTGAGCGCAAGGGTGTGTGTTTATCCACGTTCATAAGAGCAAATGGCTGACATTGACACTGTCAGCGGTCGCTACGAATATGTTCCTACTAAATACTTCATAATACTATAAATAATTATTCTCATCTTCTTTTGCTTATTGGTCCCATCAGGAGGTTTTTTAAGCTTCCACCGCAGCATTACTCGGCACAAAATAAAAAAATATTTGAATGTATGCCATCGCATTCATCTTCCTTGTACTGGTGAGATTTTCCACTTGCAAATGGAAAAACAAGCCACAGCGTAACCGTCAGGTGTTATTGCACATACTAATGAGAAACTGGTGAGTTTTTAAATCCTTACTCTATCTCTGAAGCAGTAACACTATTCGCATCCTCAGCTGGAATCCTTTCTTAATATCCTATGGCTGCGATTTTTGTCAGTTGTACTACTGTACTGAATAGTTGTCTGCTTTTTCTTAGCAATTTTAATTCTCACGCCAATGGCGAGAAAGTGTTGTAATGACGCAAAATTTCGAAAATGAGACAGTGTATTTTTTGGATGTTTAACAATAATCAGAAAAAACATTCCACTCATGTCCGTGGGTCTTTCTGTCCGCAAATTATTGGCTTGTCTAGAACTTGGATAATACCGGTCCGATAAATTTTGAATATCGGGTCAGGGGCAACGGAGCTATGGGTAAAAAACGAAAAAAGAAAGTAAAAATCGTTCGAAATTCGTTTCAGAGCCTTCTGGATCATTTTCAGAAAATGTTTTGTATGGATTTAAATTTTTGAGGTGTATGTATATTTATACGCGGTTAATCCCAGTAACTCTTCGCGCCTATTGGTAGACATTCCACGCATGATACGAGTATAACTCCCCGTACATTCACCCTTGAAACTTATAATGAAAGAAAAATAATTTCAACATTCGCGGTTATACCTGCCTTGCGGACAGTCGAGTGATGAGGGTATTCATAGCAATGTTGCCAGATGATAGGTTGGGAAAGTCAACCTACTTGACACCACTTTTTGTATTGGCGGTTTTTATTCTAAAACTATAGTAAGCAATTAGTTTATAGTCCTTAGGATTATCTTTTTACATAAAGGTATGTGAGAAATTTTCAGTTTCAATGAAACATGAAGTCTCATAGTAAACTAGTGTATATTAAAAAAAAAACAGATACAGTAATGTAAATGAAAAGTAACTGTGATCCATGTTGACCATGATCCCAGATAACAATATTGATATAAACTAATTAATATGAGTAGGGAATCCTTGTTTACAATGTACATATATTCAATGGAAAAGAACAAGAGAGGCACGCCTCAGACCTCCTAGATAAAAACTTGAACATTAAATTCAAGTTATTCACCTATACTCAACTACAATACAAGAGTCAGTACGTGTTTATTGCGCCTACACATCTTTCTCTTCTATTGATTAAGATTCAATTTAGCTGGTATTCTGTGACCCAAGCATCTCACTTGCACTGTAGCCTCGAAACTAGATTAAAAACGACTTGACACTGCCAGCAACGGTCTTTATGCATCTGTAATAGCTCATTAGGATACATCACGGCTTCAAAAATCGTTTACTCTGCCACTATTTTTATTTTTTTGATAAATTAGATCAGCTTGGCCACCGCTTAGAGGCACCTACAAATATGTCATTTAAATTTTACGTTTTTAAACTATTGCTCACCATGTACAGTGGAATCAACTTATAATGAACTTGCTTATAATGGAAGCCTGTATATAATGGACACAATTTAAGGCCCTAGAAATCATTACATATAAAATCCTCGCATATTATAGACTCGCTTAAAATACACCCTCGCTAATAGCGGACTATTTTAATCCATTATATGCGAGCTATTTTGGTAGTTCCCCGAAGCAGATTTAGCTGATGCAATCGTTTACGGCGGTTTGGCTTCGCAGTTTGCATTCGAACTTGGCCACGTGTGTTATACTGTATTTATTATAGTTATAAACATGTCGAAAAATGCGAAACGTGCTTTCACTTTACACGAAAAGTGCACAATAATTAGTGAGCTTGAGCAGGGTTCATCTCAAGCAAATATATGTGCTCGTATGGCTATAAAAAATCCACTGTGTCAAATATTTGGGAAAACCGTGTCAAAATTAAAAATGACTGGAAATCAAATAGTCAAAAGAAAAAATGCGGCTATCGCTGCATCCCCAAGTCGATGATATGCTGTTTAAATGGTTTCAACAAAAGCGCTCTAATAAGTTGCCAATAAGTGGACCTATGATACAAATAAAAATATTTAATACAGATGAAACCGGGATATTTTATAGAAGGCTACCAGATAAAACCCATAAATTAAAAGGTGAAACTTGCAATGGAGGGAACTATCAAAAGAGCGAATAACTGTTATGATTTGTGCTTATGCTTCTGGTACTGAAAAATGGAAACTATTGATAATAGGTAAGTCAATGAATAGAAATTTGGGTTCTAATTTTTTTGTATTCAATGGCAGTGCTGCAAAGAATTTATGACCTTTTTTTTATTCAGGGAAATTTAAGAATCCCAGGTGTTTCAAAAATGTTAAAACAATTCCCGTCGATTATGTAGGAAATAATAAAGCTTGGATTACTTCATCAATTTTTGAAGAATATTTAAAAAAGTGGGACGCTCAACTTGTTAAGAGAAATCATAAAATTTTGTTCTTGATCGATAACTGCCCCGCTCATCTAAATATTTCACTTAATAACATCAACCTTCAATTTTTTTTACCCAATGTGACATCAGTTTTACAACCAATGGACCTGGGTGTCATTTGGACTCTTAGGCCCGTATCGTCAGTCGTCCCTACAATTGTAGGGCGCGTTTATGGCCTCCTTGATTGTCATACTCCTTTCTCTCCTTCAAAAATTTCTAGATTACACTTGTCCCGTGTCAGCGTCACCGCTCTCCTATTGTGGAGACATGTTTTCCTTTTAAATTGTAGGAAATGTCAGGCTGATAAAACATGATATAACTCAAAAGCAAGCACAATTTGATGCAAATAGATGTTTGTGACATAACCTCAAAATAGAGCACTGACATGGAAAAATAGAAAACTATGACAATCAAGGAGGCCATAAAGGCGCCCTACAATTGTAGGGACGACTGACGATACGGGCCTTAAACAAATGTATCGGAAACATATGTTGATAAAAATTATAGAGCTTCAAGAAGATGTCAACATTGCCAAGCTGTCACCATTTTAGATGCTATAAATTTGCTTACTATTGCATGGAAATTGGTTGCTCCAGAAACGATTCGTAATTGTTTTCGCCATGCTGGTTCAGTGAAAAATATAACTGAAATAGTCAACGATTTTAATCCAGAAGATGAAATTCCATTAAGTGGTTTACTGAAAATTAATAGTTTACTGAATATAGACAAATTTAATGAGTATGTAAATGTTGATAATAATTTAATAGCAGCAACACAGGAATTGTCAGACTCCAATTTGGTTTATGAAGGATCCGTTGATAACGAACAGGAAGACGAACTAGAAAACAACACTGAAGAAGAGCTTCCAGTGACAACTAAGGATGCATTAGATTGCGTGAAAAAGTTGCAACGTTATTTTCAGCAAGAAGACAGTACAGCCTCACTTACCAAATTAAATAAAATTCAACTAAATAATTATACAAAAAAACAATCTGTTCAAATGAAAATGAGAATTACTAGCTTTTTACCAAATAATTTGAGGTTTTTAGACATACCTATATGCCTGTAATATGTGTATCAGATTCTGCAAAAATGCAAATTTCAAAATTACGTAAAACTTTTTGGTTTGTATCTTTATTTATGTCATATATGTTAAACAAACACATTTTAAGCTTTTAATATGTTATTTCTGTTGCTTTTTTCGTTGAAAAAAAGTGTTTCTTTCAAGATGGTCTTCCGCCTATAATAGACTATTTGTTACAGTCCTGCCGAATCCATTATAAGCGGGTTGCACTGTACATGTATGTGGTGAGAAAACAGGTACCTACGTCTTTTTTAGATGACATACATCAGAACTGAGTTTGCCAGTTTGTCATGGTGTGGATCGAATGCTGTAGACTTTTTTATTCCATTATACCTACTGGATTTGTATTTTTAGTAAAAAGTGAATAAAAATTTATAATCACACTAGCAGTTACCCGTGACTTCGTACGCTTAAAATTATCGAGTGAACCAAAATTTTGAAATGAACAAACACATTAGATTAATCCAAATTCTCCATTGTAAAGAATACCTTTCTGCTGCCTAGTCCCTACTTAGAAAAGCTAAATATGTAAAAACTTGTGACAGCCCGTTAAATCCGTTTTCGCTCATGTCCAATTCTTAGTTTAAAACATAATTGTCAATTTTATGTATCTAGCAAAAATTTCAAGTGAAGTTCGAGTACCCGTAAATCTTCTTTTTATGGTCCTGTCTCAGAATCGGTTCTTAACTCATATCTAGTGCCTATTAACCACCTCCCTGTCAAATTCTAGGTCTCTAGTACAAATACAAAGGATTATCGTACAAACTTGTAAAAGCCGCTATCTCCTTTATTCAGGCCCTGTCGCAAAATCCATTCCTAGCTGACATACTGTGTCTATAAGCTACTTTTTTGTCAGATTTCATATTCATAGGTCAAATACTTTTCGAGAAATTGTGATTAATGGCCGCAGTTATTTTCGCTTTTTTATATATTTGCCCTTAGCCTCCCTTAATGCTCCTATCGCGTCTTGTCCATAAACTACCTTTCTAGCAAATTGCACAGTCATAGGTCAAATAGTTTTCGAGGTTTCGTGATTACTGGATGCGGATGCTTTCGCTTTTGTATATATCTGCCCGTAGACCCCATAATCCATCCCGGTCGCAAAGTCTAAGCTGATATGTCACGCTAAATTCCCATATAAATATTCAACTCCATTTTACCTTATCTTAAGGATATAATTTCTAGAGTTACTTTTTATTGTTTCTTATTTTAAAGATAAAATTGATGACAAAGCATACCCCTATTACTAGACTTCTTTAATTTAAAATATTTTAGGGTTTTAGCCGTTTTGGTGTGAAAGCAGAACATTCACACACTGTCAGATTATATTATTATGTAAATGTAAATTTTTATAAGTAGGGATTCTCTATCATACAAATACAATGATCAAATATTTAACCGTGGTAGAATACCAATAGGCAGTGTGAAATGGATTCCCACGCTTCTCTTTATTTAAAGGCATCTGTCACATTATTTATTCACGGAAATAAAATCACGTGTTAACTTACATCATTCGAATCTAGTTAATAAACGTTTTTATATCTTAGCATATTTGAAAACTGTCAACAAGTATGCTGTACTAATATATTTGCTCTATGTTATACCAAATTAGATAAAGCTATTAGTACGGCTGACTTTTGTTTAGTTTGATAATTAGGCAGTGCAATAAGCTAACATATCGGGTTGATATACCATATAGATAAACTACGTTCAGGTATACCTAGACGGTTCACCAATTAGATATAACATTTCGGCTGAGCCATTATACATATTTTGTTCAATACTTTACAACCTATTCTTACTTTTCTCGTTAATCAAATTATTCATACCGATTTGCGTTGAAAAATAATTTATACTGAAGATTAAGAATTAGTAAAAGTGCAAAGAAACAACAGATTTTCTAAAATTTGTCATCCTGGCAAGTCTTGGTAATCGGGAACATACTGTCAGTCCAAGTCTTGTTTACATTTTGGGGTTTTTCACAGATGTTACGCCTCCTCCGCAGACCACACCCCAGATGAAAATCAAGTCTTCAGGCGTGGACGACGGTTTTAAAGGAGAAGCAGCCAAATGCGGTAGTTCGATCGTCAAAGTTGCTTCTCAGATTGTCTCAGGGAAGGTTATCAACTCTTTCCAGTCGAAGGTAATTATGTTAAAAATTATATTTTAGCGTATCATCTTCCAATGCCGACTCCTATAGGAAGGTGGCGATCACTAATTTAAACGTGTTTGCCATGACTGCATTTTCGTTCCGACACCTCTTTTGTCTTCTACCATTCCCTTTGCTGATTTGTAACAGTATGTACCTGTCACTTAAGATGCGGCATAATAATTCCTATTGGCGTTCTTCCTGCCGATTTTGGATCATTATGTACCTTTCACTTCTTAAGGTAATACCTCAGCATTTGTCTTTCTTGTTTCTATAAAACCACATTTAAGAAACTTCAAGATTCTTTTGCAATTTGAGCTTTTTTCGTCCTATTTATTGTTCATATAGTAGTATGGACTTTTAAGTAGCAGTCCAAAAGCTGTAGTCTTGGATTCAATGATAAATTTAGAACATATGGATCTATACTTCATAAAGGAATTTTGTTTTATGTTAATAGTCAATCCTATCTCAAGACTCTCTATTAACTCGGTAGATCAAGGTTTGCAAGACTTCAAGTGTCGCGGTCAGAGCAAGTATCCTGGTCTAAAAGTTGCCATATCCAAAAAACCTGTATGACAACTAACATATGTGTATGTCAAACATTCAGTTTCAGTTCTGCAAAATTTGGTATAAACATGATAATAGGAGAATTACACAATTTTTTGTAATTACTTTTTTTTACGAATTTGTATACCTTGGTAGACCAGCGTATATCGATATTCATAATACCCACGATGATGTCTTCAACGAGTAAAGAATACTTTAAATACGAGGCGTGTTTTTAAAGTAAGTACCGTTCTGACCTAAAAAAACAACAAGTAAATTTTGTCCAAAAATAATTTATTCACTTGAAAGGCCATATTTTACTCTACTTTTCTACGTAATTCCCATTACGATTGAGGCATCTATCGTATCTTGAGACCAGCTTTTGTATGCCATCGTCAAAGAAGCTTGCCGCCTGAGTAAACAACCACTGCTTCACATTTTTGGCACCCAGCGTGAACACAATTTCCGATAATTTAAACGTTCGGACACAATTTCGTAAAGAACACTTCTTGAGACAGCAGGAAACTGTTCAGCTAAGGACGAAATCGTGAATCGTCTGTTCTCTTTCACTTTACAGTCCACTTTTTGAATCGGGTCATCGGTAATGTCTGAAGGTCTCCCACTTCGTTCCTCATCATGAATGTTTGTGCGGCCATCTTCAAAGGCCCTAATCCATTTCCGCACCATTCCATCACTCATAATGTTTTCACCACTGACTTGGTGATGAATTTCAACTGATTTGAAGCCTTGAGCACACAGAAACCGTATTACAGCACACACGTCGCAGTCGGCGAGATTTTCAATCGGTGGAGGCATTTTAAAATCACGCAAACAGATGTAGACTCGATCGGATGGTTCAGTAATGGCGTCTGCGGCTTCCCAACAGATGTAGCTACACGACGCGCATGCGCTAAACGGCAACCGCAGCGCTGCGACGGCGTAATTTAAAAACGGTACTTACTTTAAAAACACGCCTCGTATATATCCATCTCTGAAAGTATATTTTTTCTATAATTTCTAGCTCTCCCCCAAGCGCGTCGGACTGCTCCGAAACCTTACCTTTTGATTTCTATATTCTTGCACTAACAGATATCATTTTAAGACGTTTAAGCTTTTCTAATCAATAGTACGTTAGTGTTGAGTCAACAGGTATACATCAGAAAGGACCAATTTTCATGTCTATAATGCATTTCAAAACTTCTAACGCGTTTTTTTCGGAACATTTTTTAGAACGTAGTAGTAGTAAGTACAGTATTACTCAAACTTTTGTTTTGATTTGAATTGAACATTTTGAAGAGAAACAGTTGATTTTCGATAAGTTAATTTAATCATTATTTATTAACATTACCTTTTTGTCGAAAATTGTAAGTTTCAACTTACATACTCGCCAACCACACAAAAATAAATATTTTTAAAAGCCCCTACGTATTTATTTAGCTATATAAACATGTACAATAAGTTTTTTTGCCAAATTTGCACCAGCTACACTACGTGCCGCAGAGCGAATGAATTTCTATATGCCTGGCGAAAATGCCATTTTTGGATATTTTATGATAATTTTTGTGTACTTAAATATATGCTCAATAACGTGCCCCATTATTATTATTTTATTACCTTTTCTTCAAAAAAAAATGACAAAAACCTTCTTTAGGCCGCTACTGTGGCTTTAACCCTAGTGTTTTAAATAAGAACTCTGTTCAGTAAAAAATAATGTAACTACAATAATTATATATTATATTTTTGTTGCAGGAATCGGAAAACTGTGATGAGAACGTGACGTATACGCGTCGAAGGAGAAACAGTAAGTCACTGCCAGCCTCACCCTTAACGTCACCTCATGGCTCGCCGAAACTCAACAGGAAAATCACCAACAGATATTTCACAGCCGCATTCACAGACACCGATAAGAGTACGGGTAAGTGTTTGATAAAGAAACCATATTTGAATCAATTTTAAGTAAAGGATAAGAGCTTGAAGTTTAACAAAACGGATCTACAAAATTTTTTTTTTTTCATTGATTTGTAGCTCTAAACAAATGCCAAATACTAATGCGGTACTATTATTTAGATGGATTTGAAGGTAGTCTTCAAGCATCGTATTTTCCAATAAAGTAGATCTCTGCATCCAAAATACAGATGGTTTTCAACGCATATGTGATACTGGGGCCCTAATTCTTCCAAATGAGACATTGTTAACCACTTTCCGTATACATCTAAGGCAGGACTTGCATTTCTTCCGTGAAAATGACTTTTAAAAAATGTGCGCTAGATGTACATTTTTGAAGGAATACCAATATCCTCCAATTTTCTACACCGTGTGCTCATATTTAGGTAGGATCTCCTAATTGCCGATTGATGGAGACGAATCCGGCAATGGGTTTTTAATTGTCGTTCTACATGTTTGATCATCCCCTGTCGTCGGATGTTGAAAATCCAGTTTTGTCACAATTTACTATGGCGTTACCATGCAGCTGAATCTGGGAGAACAAGTTACACTCATTTCCATGTCAGTCAGTACTGAAACCGGCAACTGAATTCGTCACGAGTTTTTGGCCAACTAGAAAATTCCTCCTTTTACTTCCTACGCCACTGGCCGATCATTTTCGGAAAACTTTTGTAGGGGTGAAAAATTGGGAGTATCGTAGATTCCCCGTCTGGATGGCCGCTAAGCACCTGCATGCGACTTGAGTCACACGACAATATCACTGAAGAATGTTCGACAGTGAAATCAGATAGGGATACCCGTGGGTTGAGTGACACTATCGCAGGACTAAAATTGTGTGCGTAAATAGGCGCTAACACAAAGCATCCCAAATACATTCCCTTTGATCATTAAAACTAAATAAATTCCTTTTAAATGGACAGCATCGACAACGCTGTAAGGCGATCCTGGGTCACAGTATTTCGAAGAAAGGTCTTGATTCTTTTCAATGTTAAGAAATTTCGCTCAGCCTCTGATGTTGACATAGGAGTTGTAACAATAATTTCTAATAGCTTTTTTGTTTCTTTTAGTGTTACCTCCAAACTATTTTGTATCAACAATTTCAAAAGAGACAGAGTTCCATGTAAATTTCGGCAATCATTCCGTGCATAAATAACAGACAACTCTGTCTTTAAACAACTTTTTTCTAATTCGGGATAAGCCAAGCAGGTAGTTTCCAACTTGTCATCAGGAACCACAGTATTCTCCAAAGTGTTCGGGGAAAAAAGGGATGCGGCTACCAAATGATCTTTGAATTGAAATCTGTAATTTGCAGAATTCACTATATTGTCGCATACTTCTAATGCGGCAACTCGGTGATCGTGGCTGCTATTATTACGTCGTCTCCTTTTGTTGCCTTGGGGTTCATCAATTTTATTTCTCACATCGACAATACATTTTTCAAAATTATCGATAGCCGGTTTTTCTCTTCTGCGACTGGTTGAACAAGATGTCGACGTGAAATGATGAAAAAATGTCAACCAAAACACGAAAACAGAATCGTTTAACATACGGCGAATACCGCAAGCTGCCTTGCAAACGGTTTCATTAGTAAAATTTTCTTCTATTTCTTCCATGCATTCAATGAGTGATTCTCTATTCTCAAACACTACATTTATTGTTCGAATATTAAAATTCCAACGAGTTGTTGCTCCTTGGGGAATTTTTTTCCCACAATTCTGTTTTGTACCTCTACGCATTGAGGAGAATTATTAAAAAATCCCGGAATATCTTTCAAATCCCCAAAGAATACCCGAACTTGAGCATTTGCGTAGCAGCTTGGGACATAACCAGGTTTAACTGATGCGCATAGCAATGCACATAGCGAGCAAATGGATATCTTTGTTTAATTTTTGCCTGTACTCCAGCATTATGTCCGCTCATTACTGCGGCTCCATCATAGCTTTGTTAAATCAGTTTGTTAGGGAAATTACCTATTAATGGATCTACGACGCTCAAAATATGTCTTGTGATAGTATCAGCGTCACATTTTTCGGGATTCATATTATATTCATGTTACGCTGCGGTCGCGACGAAAATGACAAGTACACAATTGGTCGATGTTTATGCTTTCTCAGTACAAAACAGACTCGACGCCGTGTTTTGCGGGGGCAACGTTCCCGGTATTGTTTCTATTTGTCTGATAACATGGAAAATAAATAATGATCAAATTACTACTGCTTTTTTCTGTTAAGACAAAAGTTTTGGCAGTTCTGCAACTCTGCAGAACTTGAGGGCCAGCCGCTCCTGGCCTGTACTGAAGGCGTATCACATGTTTCCCAGTCTCGGGACTTAATTTACAGACCTCTACTTGTAACGAATACACTTCACACGACAGCATAAATTATGCAAAAATGATGCGCTCTCCCTTGAAAGTCATAAGCCTTACGAAACCTTCTTGTCTTAAGTATCTGCTCTGATGGAGATATTGCCTGCAGGTGGCAGCTGGATACTGTCCAATCTGCTGGCTAGGAGAGGAGTATCCGCATCTGTCGATCATATCGGCGAGGAGACCAACGAAGATCTGGAGAGGTCATCTTCTTTGGCCAGCGTGGAATCGACGGGAAAGAAAACATCCGTCTACAAGGCAAAAGCATCAGAACTACGGGAGATGAACTTTTGGTCGCCTACGTCTATGTAATGTCCGTTGAGAGTGTCCATTTGTTTGGGAGAGATTTGAATTAAGAATTTTGTTTGATGGTGTTGTGATCGTTGTTCTGAGGTTACATCAAGTAACCATGACAAAAGTGTCAAACGTGGCAGTGAAAATTGGGCACTAACCCATTACATAATTCTATCTACAGCCCAACCGGCAAGTGTCACATCTGAATGATTGGTATAGGAGGCTTATTTTTTAGTGGATATAAAAAACAATGCTACCGTTTAAAGTACTTATATTACTCGCATATTACACAACAAGTGTATAAAATGATTCTAATAGGTTTATATGAAGCTGAAACTCTGAATACTATAGTCATCAGTGATGATGTTTTAAATTGAAGCATTTTAGACTAACATAGATTCTATGGATTTCATATATTGCAGAAATAATACTCAATGTAGTCTTGAATTATAAACCTTTTTTAAAACATAGCTTGTAAGTTTGTATGTATTTTGAACGTATTCAAAAAATATAAACACGTATTGGCTTTATCAAACTCACGTCATTGAAATAAAATAACTCAAACGAAGATTATAGAAAATTTGGCATCTGAAGGAGTTATGGTTGATATAGATTTAAAAATTCTTCAAAACATATCTGGAAACTAGTTTCATACAGATGTTTCGCCAACATGAATATTAAAATCATCAATAACCATAAACAAAATGTGTAACTTCAAATCTCTCATGTGTGATTGTAACCATGTAATCAGCGTAATTTTTTACGAGTCATCATTTTTTATATGTCTACAGTACCTAGCGTTAGGCAAGGTTTTCTTTTAAGGTAAGATAAAAATCCAAATTAAATTTAAACATCAAAATATCTCAATCGTCATTCATGTCATATACTCAGACACCATTACATTAATATTTTTTGACAGTGAATCGTTGGAGATGTTTCGTATCCTGTAATGATTGTCTGTAAGTTCAATATGACCTTTCTACATTAATTTATTTTTGTATGAATTGGCTAGACTAGATGGAAGTTAGTATTAAGAACCTGCACATTTAGGTTAGTTTATATCTAAATAAAGTGGTAAATAAGTTATCATGTGATTTTTTTACGCCCTAAAGATGCATATGTACCTCTCACATAATCTAGAAAACAATTTTATGGTTCTTATCTGACGTTCATTGAAAATGCTTCGTTAGTGTTGCCATTGGTAACAATTGAACAGAAGAGTTGGGTAGGGGAGCATCATGATTCTCAAAAAAGAAACGCACAAATCTTTGCTCTTGGGCATCTCTCGTCATTTTCTCATAGTAATAGGGAGGCGTAGTCTGGCAACCTTGTCCGTTTTTGACGACGCTCTAGTACCACACGCACAAGTTCTCGACTGGTAACTGATTAACCCATCAACGTCCGCTGTACTCAAGCGAGTACACTCGTGTTTGTTCCTATCAGAGTCATCTCTGAGTCAACCACAGAAGTACTGCCTCTTATAAACATTTGTAGATGGTACATGCGACAGGGCGCAAGAGCCATTTTTCATAAATTCTGTGAGTGTGTCGTTGTTTACAGTAATAGAAGTTATTGCTTATTTGATCTCAGGTAAGTTCGGATTTTACATAATTTTTTCTTATTGAGATGACCATCTAATAAAAATAATCTTCTTATATTATGTATATGTAAAGGTTGTTTGTTTGATTTGCCGGGCATAAATTATTTTAACTGATGTGATGTAATTAGAATGTATGTTCAAGTTTGACTCTACTCAAATGAGTACACTGGGAAAATTCGTTATCAGTCGACTAATGCTATTTTGTATTTTAGATATGTATAAACCGGGAATAGTTGATTACCAAAAATCTTGCAATCAAATCTTACAGGAGATTTATTCCAGTCTTCGGAAATACCCTTGCGTTCTATGTGCGATCAGTGGTTGGTTACAAAATAATCCTATTTTTTCTTGCTTCCTTAATTTTTTTTTTGAGTACTGTATTCAAGACCTGAAGTAATTGTCAAGTCGATACAATTTTTTTTGGAAAATGCGATTTCCCTTTCATGCATGTTGAGCGAACCTTAAGCAAACTCTAATGTGACAATGTGTATTGATGCTATAAACTTCTTTAAGTTTTCAAGCATTTCGAACTCAATTGTTTTGTAGAAAAATCATTAGCAGTTTTGTTTACAAACCTTGTGTAAGCGATACGCATTTTAATATGAAGAGAGAAGCAATTCTAGCCGCATGCTGCTTGGATCCCCTCTATCGTCTCAAAATGCTTGCCTTTCATCGGCCTTTTCAGGCGAGGAAATAAAAAAAAGTCCGGGGGGGCACATCTGGGCTGTAGGGCGGCTGCTGAAGCGTTGGGACGCCGGCCTTGGTCAGGTAGCTGTTCACAAGAAAGGCGGTGTGAGCCGGGGCGTTGTCGTGGTGCAACTCCCAGTCGGCTGCGATGTCTTGTCGGACCCGACTGACCCTTCGTTTGAGTCTCCTGAGCACTTCCACGTAAAACTTGGCATTGACGGTTTGTCCAGGAGGCACAAATTTATGGTGGACGATGCCTTTGATGTCAAAAAAGACAATGAGCATCGTTTTCACTTTGCATTCTTCCCTTTTTTGTGCGAGGAGACGCCGTCGTGTGCCACTCGGAAGATTGCCTCTTTGCCTCGGGATCATACTCAAAGATCCACGACTCGTCACCTGTTACTACGTTATTCAAAAATTGGGGGTCACTTTCACACATGTTCAAATTTTCTTGGCGCACTTCCACTCGCCGCAATTTCTGGTCGTCAGTGAGCACTTTTGGGACGATCTTCGCGCACACCTTGCGCATGTTCAAATGCTGTGTCACAATGTCATGAACCACAGATTTTGGTAAATTTAACATCTGCGCAATTAAACGAATACTTGGTCGATGGTCTGAGTTCAAAACTTTGCGCACACGAGTCACATTATCGGTGTTTGTCGAAGTCGAAGGTCTTCCAGCACGGTATCATCAGCGACGTCTTCCCGGCCCTCCAAAAAGGCCTGGTGCCACCGAAACATACCACTTCTTGCTAAAGCAACACCTGGGTAAGCCTGCTTGATCATATCAAAGATCTCTGTCGCAGATTTACCGAGTTTCGCACAGAATTTAATCGCGTACCTCTGCTCTAACGAACGCTGCATTTTCGGCTTGCACCACTCACAGAAACACGTCGCGCGAAAATGTCTGTCTTGACTCTCCAAGTGCTCGGAGACAACTGACCAGCCGCTCATTCGTTAGCTAGGAACGCCCTCTACCGAATCCAGTCGGAGCGCCCACGCTCCGAAGTACAGTCATGGCGGAAGAAATGAGTCCTATTACTTTCCGGACAAACCCTGTATAGAGAAATATATTTAGTTTTTCGGTCTTAGCATTCAATGTGTACGAGAGAGAGAGAGAAGAGGGACCATGCAATGCGTAAATTACAAAAAGCGCGTTCTATGAACGTCGCCACCTCATCGGGCGGACATTGGGCAAGGCGCGAAGCGTGGCTGTAACTCTTCTTCCACTATCGTTGCTAGGCAACGTGTTAACGATGCTTATTAGGGCGCAGTCTTTCTAACATACGTGTTGCATGCTTCTCTCTCTCGTACACATTGAAATTCGAGACCTCAAAAGTAAATTGATTTCGCGGTATATATTTCATAATGAACGGTCGATGGCGAACATAAAAATGTATGCCGCATAAGAGCACCTTGGAGTACACAGATTACTAAATCTCAAAACCGGTGGCTCAAGGAATAAAAGTAATTAAACGGCTTTTATTGATGATTGAATCCTCCGCAAGATTTGTAATAGTTTTGTGACATATCTTTCCCTTTTTAAGAACTATGACAATTCGTGGTATTTTGACATTCAATCAAAATAAAACAATTTCTGCTCTATAGATCTATGAGGACGTTTGATATGTTATCCATAACGGTGTATTTAAGATAAGTACCACTTTCTCACACACTCGTAGCGTTTTCTCCCAATAGTTGCGTGCAAATCACAAATGGATGCATTCACAGTTCTTCCATTTGATACGTCAAGCAGTTTGTTTTCTAAATGGGCCCATTCTCTTGTGTTACAATACAAAAACATCGGTGCCTTTTTTGAATGAGGTTTATTAAAAATACGCAAGTTTTACAGAAGAAATAACACTTCATATATAAAAAGTAACTGAAATAAGTTGCTACGGTCTCCATCACTAAGCATACAACTAAGCTAAAGCTAGTTTCACGGTACTCATCATAACGGCTTGTAGTAGGTCCTACACCTCTCATTGAATACTTTGGCACTTCTTTCTTTTATGAGATCTTCCACAGTTAGTTCGACTTGGAGCATCCTCAACTAGAAAATATCCAAAACTCTTACTCAAATCTTATAATCCAGATATAAAATAATTTAATTTCCTTGAATTTGGTTAATGTCAGGTAGCTTCTGACATATATAATTGACATTTAAACTGCCAGAACTAGTTAGTGACTGTTGTAGCACTACAGCACCACTTTGTGTAACATACGAGAGCGATCCAATAAGTACTTAGCCTCACCACCCGATGGCTCCACTATCGCAAGAGAAAATTTCTATCGTGTAGTACATTCTAATAGACGGCTACTGTCAAAATTTCAGCTGAATCGAACTCGTAGTTTTGTCTTGACCACATGTGGAAGCGGGCGTATCCGCGGATTTTGGAAAAATGTAAAAGAGCAATATCTTTCGGTGATTCGATTCTTGTTTTTGAAAGGGAAATCGCGCAGCGACAGTGGATAACTCAAACAACCACATTGGTCGTATCCTACATGAAATATTGGACATGAGAAAGCTGTCTGCACGATGGGTGCCGCGTTTCCTCACTCCGAACAACAAGCGCAACCGTGAAACCACTTCAGAGCAGTGTTTGACGCTGTTTAAGTTTCTGCGTCGTTTCGTGACCGTGGACGAAACATGTATCCACTGATACACACCAAAGAACAGTCGAAACAGAGGACTTCACCCGGTAAACGTGCTCCAAAGAAGGCGAAGACTGTCCTATCCGCCGGAAAGGTGATGGCCACCGTTTTCTGGGATTCACAAGGTGTGATCTATAACGACTACCTGGAGAAGGACAAAACGATCACAGCGCTCTACTATGCCGAATTATTGGGCCGATTCAACGCCGAATTGCAGAAACAACGGGCCCCTATTTGGCGAAAAAGAAGAAAAGAAGAGGGCTCTTCCACCAAGATAACGCACCAGCTCACACCCTCGCTACGACCAAATTGGTCGAATTAGGCTACGAACTGCTGTTCGATCCACTGTATTCCCCAGATTTGGCCTCGTTTGACTTATTTTTGTTTCCAAACTTGAAAAAGGCCTATTGTGCAGACCTCCAGAAAACGTAGTTAAAGAAGTTGAAGCATCGCTGGGTCAAGTGTATCGAGCTAAAAGGAGACTATGTTGATAAATAGATCGCCACTCTTACAAAATTTTCGTTTTTTTTGTAGGCTAAGTACTTATCGAACCACCCTCGTATATATATTTCCTATTTGAATCGGGTCCTAGAGTTACTAATGAAACGAATATAGGTATCGAATAGATTTTGCATAGTGTTTTTCAAAAATTTCATGTCTTATCAATTTCTTGAACAGTTAGCAAGCCGAAATTTATACATGAGTTCTATTGTAATATGTGTCAGTATTGGTATTTCTGAGTTCTGCATCATATGTTGTCAAATTGTAGATCAGTTTTGTTGTCAGGCGGCAGGTTGGGGGGGAGGTTATTTATAACAAATTATCTCTCAATATTTTTTTTTCAGACAATATATATATCATCAACCAAACGCTCGTGAAATGCTTACAATGCGCAAAAATCATTATATGCTTCAACACAAATGTACTCCATATAGGATCAAGTATTTAGAAATACTTAGTTTATACTATTCCAGCCCATGTGAAAAATCAGATAACTGATGAATGTAAATGAATAAGAAATAACACTATTATATTTGAAAGTATTTTAGAGTCTATTAGATGATTATAGTTTTGCACTCTAGCTGCTGGGCATGTGTTAATGAAGACATGATTATTCAGAGCTTTTTCAACTTTTATTTTCGAAATGAAGAGGCTTTCACAGGCTCGTTAAAGGATAGGTATAGTCTTAAAATAGTTCAAAGTTGTCCTCGAATTTTTGAGTTGAGTTGCTTTTGATATTGAGTATGTTGAACTAAGAACCCTTTTCATCATATGATCACACTTTATTCAAGTGTTTAAATTTGAAATAACAGTAACAAAAAATATCATATGCAAATATTAACATATATCTTTTCTTAGTATATCCAACAAATCTTTACACTTCCCTGACACCAACGGATACAACTCTTTTATAAAGCAATCCACATCATATTTTATCTGTTCCCTGATCTTCTTCTCATCACTGACACTATCCTGTGGAGCATTCTCCCCAGATGAATTCAAGTTTCTACTCTTCAACCTCCTTAAAGATTCTTCTGTTTTACATACAGATGTTAAAACTTCCTGTACCAAGGTTGTGTATTGTTTTGTAAGCTTCTCAATAATCTGGTCTAAAATGCTTCTAGTATGGTTGTCCATGATTCTGCTAAACTTCCTGTGGAAGGAGGTGATGGGTTTGACAGCATCAATCATATAACTGCTAGGTTCCTTAGGTGCAACCCTATTTGTTTTACGATATAATCTTGGAATTGAAGCTACATTATACAAATGGATAGAGCTTTCTTCATATTTAATACTGACAAGTTTATTTTTCAGCTCCACCTGCACCTCTGCGATGAATTGTTGATTTGCCTTAAATATATTGCCAAGTATGGGCCACATATTCTTATTCATTATTTTGAATATTGAAGATTCGTTCTGGTTAGTGTCTGAAGCCATAAGTTTGGCAATAATATCTAAATCGAACAGTGCATTCATATTAAACTCCTCCCAGCTTTCATTACTAGTTTGTGTTGTTTCTTGCATGGAACTTTTGATTTTCTTTGAATACCTTCCTAACAGCATAAGTGACAGCTTCAAGAATTGATCAGCTAATTGATCAATATAGACAGTTTCATGAAAACACTGCACAATGCATTTCCAAAGCACCAAAGTGAACTTCAACTGAAATAAATATTCATTTTTTTCAGCAACAGTATTTATGTCATTATGGGAAATACATTTTTCCAATTCACCTGCAATTTTCTGATAGCATATTTCAAAATATACAGGCAAGTTGAATCTCTTCAAGTGCTCTTGAAATGTATCATCTTGAGTCACTAAATTTTTATCACCACACTGTTCTGCAATTTTTACTAACATATTCCAGGTAGCTTTAAAACGTTTTTGGAAAAGTTCTGGATTTCCTGGTGCAGTGAGATTTGGCAAACCATTTCTAATTTGTCTGTCAAACTCTGCCCAAAAACTGTATAAAGTAAAATTATAGCCTTTAACTTCTGGTTTTGATTGCAAGCTATGCAAAATTCTCATTCTATTGTACATTAAATTGAGAGCTTCAATGTATAATTGCTCAATATCATTATTATGCTTGTCCAAATTATTTTCAGTAAACAGATTGTCCATAAATGGCTTGACAACTTCTTTCCTAAAAATTGCATGTGCTTCACTCTGCTTTTGCATGGCACCATACATCCTAAGACAGCACACTATCACTTCTGAATCATCATTTATAAAAGCAGCAAGAAATTTGTCATTAACATGTTTTAAAAGTTTTGTTTCAACAATGTTCAAGATAGAATCAGTTTCTGGAGACACAATTCCCAAACCTAGCATGTAATTCTTTTCAAATGCATATTTAGACACAACCCTTTCTAACAAAAAAATGTCAATTAAGACATCACCTGAGGGATCTATTAAAGTCTCTATGTACATTGTGCAGAGGGTCATGCTAAGCTGCAAATTTATATGGCTTCTCTTTACAGTGTTACTTTTCAAGTCATCCAAGATATGTTTACAGCTGTCTTCTGCTGTATATATTAAATTGTGTAAAGTCATGATCTCTTCCCTAAGTTGGCACACTGGAGTTGATAAATTTTCAATTTTAAAATTCAAATTTGTTAGGTATTCTGCAAGATTCACGATAGCTTCTGTTTCAGTTTTAAGGATATCAGACATCTGTTGTTGCAAATCATCCCCTAAGCCCTTGAGTTCTCTTCGTAAAGACTCCAAATCAGACTTTTGGGTGTAATCTGATAAGCATTGGTCCACATTAAAGTTATGCTTGAAAAACGAATCCTTCCATACCAATTGCTCGTTGTCTTCCATATTCAGACGAATATCTACTTTTCTGTGTATCAAATAAGAGAAAAATATGGGCACATGTACTGTTTTGCGTTTGATGAAATTGGGGTTGAAAACTTTGAGGTTGACATTTTATCTCTGTTGACGCTCACACTCTCTCACACAAAGTGTAGAGATGAGAGAATTAATGATAGTATCAAACCGTTCACTTTATTCCACGTTCGCACAACATCAACAAATATGTATTATGTGGAAACTAGCGTTCATCAGCAATTTTTCTCGATATGAATGCGAAAGAATTTGAGAACGTTAGCAATAGTTCGATATTCCTACTTAAGATGGATGATATAGTTAAAAAACTTAATAAACATATCAATGTCTATGCGGCTCAAGAATGACAATATAATTAGATCACCATAAACAAGTTTTATGAACGTTAAAAGTAACCGAAAAAGATGGGAGATCAATGTCCACATAATGAAAGATTTTCAACGTTCGCAACTTTTTTCGATTACATGACATAAGTTGAGCGGTTTTTCTTAAAGGTGGTCAGTTATGGTCCAAATGGCCTAGTATTGCTCCCTTGCTTTGATACATCCCATGCCAGCAACCAGCTATACGCTATACGCATGATTCATACACGCGTATGTACGTCCGACATTATCACTCGAGAACATGCGCCATATGAGTTTCTACTCTAATGCCGGGTCCACATCAAAGCAACAAAACAAAAACAAGGAATAAAACAGAAACGCAACAAATATGGAACTTTTTGGAAACAAAACAAAATGAAAATTTATGTCACATGGGCAATGTCCGATATGAGAGTCCCTTTCGCTAAATGATATCAAAAAACATACCTGCATCTCAAATATTATTGAGTGACTAACGCGATACACTAATCCCGTGCATGAATACACTTGCATTTTGAACATTGTCAAATGACAGTGCCACATAACAAATCGTGTGCATAAATAGGACCTTACAGGATAATACAGGGTGGGGCATAGGAATCTAGTGCTTTTAGATTGGATAGTATGTGGCCATTGGAGTGGCATACACCATGTTACAATCCATTTCTTGACTCAAAGCGATGCTGTCATTTCACTTTCAGTCGCAACCATGGAGTCATGGACGTTAGAGCAACGCGTATTCGAGTCGGTGACTGCAGTACAACGTGATTCGAAAATCCGCGAGAATTGCATGAAAAGCCAGTCCACAGCCCTAATGTAACAGTTTGGTGCGCGGTGACAAAATTTAGAGTCGTTGGACCATATTTTTTTTAAGAAAATGGGGTTACCGTTACTGTAACATCTGACCGTTACATTAATACGGTTAACAGCTTTTTGATACCTCTACAGAGAGGTGTGGATATGGTAGCTACTGTATAAACAGTCACTAACAATATTTCAGTAGAACTAGCTACGGTGTAAACCGGCCAATAGGTTCGTTTGTATGCCAAAGTACAATGTACAACCCATCCCTAATGACAGTTGACAATGGCGTGACCATATCACGAACGGGGGGAAAATGGAATATGCTATGCAAATATGGGCACATAATTTTTAATGGAAACTAAAAAGGAATGCCAAGAGATTGTTAGGTTTATGTACCTTAGTTTGTTCTGCCTTGAGCTTTTTCACTATTTGACGATCATCAGGATGTGTTTCTTTCTCTGCTCTCAACATCTTTACACTATCTGTTGTTACTGAAATGCAGTTCTTTATAAACTTTTCTCGTTTATTGTGGCCTTCTTCTATATTAGAATGTATATTTTTACAGACAGAGACTATATCACTATGGAATGAGTCTGTAGGGATAGCGGAATTTATGGTGCTCACAATAATATCATCAGTCTTGCGAAGATTCTTTAGTATCTCCTGGAATGGTCAATTCAAAAATACATCGTAAATATATGCTTTTTTCAGCGACACTTTATTTAACACAATAGTCAAAAAGCTGAAATTGCGGCAATTTTGAGGTTATATCAATGTTGAGGTTATTTTTGAGCTCACCTGGAAAGCACTAAAATCTTCACATTCGTTCAGTGAATCTGCCATAATATCGTCTAGTTAAAAAGAAATAAACAATATACAACTTAACAACTATGTATATTAGTAATTTACAAAAATTTCAACATGCTCTACAAAAAAACAAATATGATTACAACAAGAACCATCAGATGTCACTGTTGACAGACTTCAGTAGACAAAAAAAAAAACTGGAAAATCCTTGATTCTTCTAACAGTCCCATCCACTAAGCCATTTTTTCCTAGAGTCCCTTCTTAATGTGTCTCCATCCAACCTCTTTACATCACTTCGGAAAGCATCTGCCAGTTTCATCCTTTCTTCTAAAGGCCCAATTTTCTTAATTATCTGTAGTTCACCATTCTCTTTTAAATAAGTTACATCATCTTTAGTTGGTAATCCATCAGGAAAAGTGATTGGAGCAATTTTAATTACATGTTTGACTTTCCAAAGACGATGGTTGATTTCTGGTATATTTTTCACAACAGTATAACTATGGTTCTGTAACAGAAAAAGTAGTAGTATCTGTTTCAATTATATAAATATGTTACATACTTTTCCATCTAATTTCAGTTCTTTCAAGATATGTCTCTCCCAATAAGGGAGACCCTTCATAGGTTTTATCCTTTCAACTCGAAACAGCTTCGTAGGTTCATAAGGTGGATCTTTGAAGTCAGCATTCCTAGAGAGATATTGTATCAGATAAAAAAACTTTATAAGAAATTTAAAGTTGTATCATTACCTGGGATAATATTTGAATCCAAGATACTGAATACCTTCTCCATACCAATTGTATTTACATTTACCAACATTCCTTTGTATTGACAAAGCGGGAGTGAATATATTTTTAAGCAAGTTCATAGTTAACTCAATAGGTGGGGTGAACTTGGTAACCTGTAGAAATATATAAAATTAGCAATAAGAGCTTTAATAATATTTGAAATTGAAAATTTGGAATTTTGTATGTCCATAAAATTGGACAAATGTCAAATTTTCGCCAGCTGTCAATTATTGATGAATAGGGTACACAAATTGGGATGGGAAAAGTCATAACCTGAGTGAACATCAGTCATTCGTATGAGTATTCACTTAAGCTACATTCACACTGTTGTGAACGATTTATCAAGTGACATACGTAAATTGTACGATATCAAGTGTCCCGGAAATCGTAATCATCTAAGAGCTGGCGTCTCAGCTGCTATGGCTAGTGCATTCGACAGCAACCACAACTTATTATTCAATTCGTACGTTACTAACCCTGCGAGAGTTATGCTCACTTTAAAGTGGTGCAAACCATCATTAGTTAATTAGTGGCTGCAAGAGGAAAATAATTTTTCTGTTCTATTATGTAAAAAACGATAAAATGTCATCTTGCAGACTAGGTAATTTTTAGTGTGCAAAAAGTTAATTCCACGTTTGCTTGCTATTATCGCTGTTCGCTGACGTTTAAGCAACACGTACAGCTACAAAACGAGTTCACAACAAGTGTGTGCTAAGTTGACATCTTATAAAAAAACCTACGGAATATTAAAAAAACCGACTAAATGTCAAGTTTTAAGATACGTAATGCCCGTGCCCATAATAAAAGTAAAACAAACATCCCATAACCGTGTGTGATCATGTTTACCATCTCTACTTACTGCGTTTTCCAAACATTTGACACTCAGTCTTATGCGTTTTGAGATTGACACATGATACCATTGTCACATGTCACAACGACTTGTTTGCACTGTTTGCAGACGAAATACAAAAATCACGACTGGGATAAGATATCATACAAAACATTCGGGATTGAGTAAAGTGGCAAATAGGAACGTTGCGAGTGGTTGAACAGAACAGCTTAAAAAGGTCCATGTCTTCGATCTAATTGTAGTTAGATTACAATGTCGGTGCAAAACATACCAGGCAACATAATGCAGCAGCAGAATATAGTCCTTAACCAGGTACCAATGTCTCATGCGATACTCACTAATGTTAATGCAAGCAATGGTTTACCTGTTATGACACATACAACTTCGGCAGAACAGAATACGGAGCTCAAAACCGCTGGGATACCAATGGAAACAGTTGGAGGTGAGTGATAGTGATATAAACTTACATTTTGGTATGGTTCAATGCCTCCAATCGTTTCCCATTCTTTAATTTTTCTCAATGCTTATCCAGACTTAGCTCTAGACTGTGGCCTCCTCAGCTGCAGCCCCTGAGTTGCTAAGTGCACAGGGACACCAAGATTTTAATTTTTGGTTTCTAATGAATATAGAACATTAATTTCTGTCACAGTTAAATTAGACATTATATGTTCATTAATGCAAGGATAGTTGCAAAAGAGATGTCTGGAATAAACAAAAACAAATGTATTGTATACCTCAAAGGCTAAAGGCAAAACTACATATGAAAATTTTCTCTATCCAAACCCTGACCAATCTAAATTAAGGCATATTGGGTCAAATCACAGATCGATAGACTTCCCAGACAATGCTGTCATTAATTCATATAAGATTATGCCCAGCATAAGTTAGATGGATAGAAGATAGTTGATATGCTTTCATTTGTTATCCCTGAGATGAAGCCTAGACCATGCTATTGAGTTGTCAAAAAAGCACAAGAATGTGTGTGGTTGGCTGTCTTAGGTTGTGCAGACAAAAGCAGCAAGTTTAAGTTGGACCCTCTAAGCAAAAAGCTAGTTATAGACATGTATTAAAGAAAAATTAAATCAAATCCCTCAAATAGGTCTGTTCACTTAGTAACAATCTTTCCCTCCACTACCCTTAGTACTATTTATCTTATAACATCGCGCCACCTCTCTCCAATATCTGAAAGCATGATGGATCACAGGTGGCAGAGCTCCAATGATGTAGGACACATACGAACACCAGTATGCCAGTCGCGGCCGTTAGTCAACAGACGCATGGATGCCTGTCTAAAATATTTTTCCATCATACTAAGTTTTAAGGGCAATTGTTTGGGGCAATCTATGATGTGTGAAATATGTCTAATAGATGTATAGAATTATCGGAGTTGGAAGAGTATTAATATACCAACATCAAGAAATTGCGATAAACTGTCCTTGCTGTAAAAGGATCCTCTGAAATGTCAAAAAACGAAGTTTAGGCGAGTTTTATTTTGTCGTTTTTCTCCACCGCCACTGGACCGATTTTTAAAAACTACAAACCTTTTTGGTGCTTGGATAAGTAGTAACCTTGTGTGAAAATTGCCTCAAAAGTTATAGATGGGCCAAGGATTATCAGACAGACAGACATATCGACGGTACATAGTGACATGGTTTTTCATGATAACTATTTGTCATTTGTTGGTCTGGGCGGTGTCAAGGAAAAAGAGGAAGAGAAGAAAAAAGGAGAAGAGCAAAGAAAAACAGAACTGTATTAGTTTAAGAGGAATCACCTAGGCTTTTTGACTTGGTACACAGATTAATTTAAGGTGAACTGAAAACACATTCTGATTCAGGTTTTGTTAAGAGTGTAATTTTGAGTTTACTAAAAGCTTGCGCTAATTTTTGAATGTTTTTTCGTGATTTATGTACATGTCATATTTTCATCAAAAAAAAAAATGGCGTCAAGTAAATTGACTATACTTCCTATGCCTTTGTTGTAGGTTTCAAAGGAAAGTTATTAGTCAAGTTGTTTCATAAGGCGGAATCGTGATTAGGTAGGTTCACTTAGGTATGATGAATCTTCGACCTCTACATATCAAATTACACAATAAACATTTCTGTTTCCATGGCAGATGTGCTACAGAACATTATATTATTCTTCTTCTTATATTCTTTTTCGCCTTTGGCCTTTTTCTGTGCCGCCACTGGACCAATTTCCAAAAACTACAAAGCTTTTTCATCCTTGGTATAATAGTAACATTTCATTAAAATCCGATCAGTACTTCTCAAGTTGTGATGTCATATAACTTCCAGAAATCATATCCTATTTTCGAAATTTTTCGCGATGTCAATACAAACTTCCTGCCCAGTGGCGTAGAAAGTAAAAGCATATCTCATTTTCGGATTTTTTTGCGGTTACAATACTTCCTCGCTAGTAGGCGTGGAAAGAAAAATCACTGATTCGTTGTAATGTCCTACATAACCCTGTTTTTTTTAGTTTTGTGGAACTCATAGGTTCGAGAAAACATTCAAATTTTTGGTTAGGCAATGAGAATTTAGAAAAATCCACTGTGTATCAATATCTTGCGTTCTTTTTAGATCCGCTGACAAAATCATGAACTTTTTGCCCAGAAAATCGCCACAAATCGGAAAAACCGTATTTCCACCGGTTTTCTTCAATTTTTATTCGTATGTATCTTTGGGCATTCTTTAAGGTTCGATTGTCAAAATTGTGATTTGTTGCCCGGACATTGCGAACGTAGGAAACACCACAATTTTCCTTGATGTTCTAAAATTTTTTCACGTTTTACTTCCTGCGCCATTGGGGGCGAAAAATTTCGAAAATGAGGTATTATGCTTCTGGATGTTATATGACATGTACATCACTAAAAAATCCATGTCACTCATTTCCGTCGGTCTGTCTGTCCGCTAATCCTTGACCCCTCTATAACTAGAGAAGTTCTGCTCGGATTTTGATGAAATTTTTACACAAGACTATGATCCTAGTATAATTGTCCGCTCCCAACACCGGTAATTCTATGGACGTATAAGACATATTTTACACCGTCATAGATTTCTCCGTACATTGTGAACCTATAGTAAGAGAAACATTTTCGATCCGCCTACGAAATGAAAAGCTCGCTGCAGCGATGCTGCGCAGATGTGGAAAGGGACAACGTTGCCAAATCGTCGGTAACTCCCGGTAGGGCAGGGAAATAATGTCTATGGGCTGACTTAATCCGTTTAATTTCCCCGTTGTACATGTTCGTAACTGATTTTTTTCTCATAGGATTTAAATTGCGCTGAACTTGATCCTTTATGAACTGATGACGTTGTGTAGAAAGTGCAGAACCAAGCTATTTGACATCATTTGTTGTTCAGGAAATGAACACTTGACTACCGCAGGAACCCGTTGTATATTTGAATTTTCCTAATTTCTTTTGAGTTCCGCAGGCCAAATCATGATTTCTTGTCAGAAAGATCGCCATGAATCCGAAAAAACCTCAAGTTATTTCATTGTCATGATTATTCTTTATTTTAGCCTCGAATATGGCAGCTGTTCAAAACGTCTCTGTGACAAATACGACACATATGAAAAGTGTAGCACCACAAAATACCAGTTCTTCAGAACCTATCCAAGTTCTCACAAAACAGAGGCTTCATGATCTTGTGAGGGAGACTGACCAAACTTTGAATTTGGAAGAAGAGGTAATCTAGATCTGACAGACATAACTACATTGATAGTATTTTTCTGAATGAAACATTAACAATCCATTGCAACAAAAAAATTCTGACAGTCTTCTATCTTTGTCCTTTGTATTTAAAGCTTCATTCCATGGCATATAAGAAAAACTTCATATGAATATATTCTGCAGGTGGAGGAAATTATTTTGAGCTATGTTGATGAATTTGTGGATAGAGTGTTGAATGGCGCCTCAATGATAGCAAAGAACAGACACGCTAATACAATCGAGGTGAAAGATGTACAACAGTTCCTCAACAGAAACTACAATATGTGGGTGCCTGGCTTTGGAACGGACGAATTGAAACCGTATAAACGTAGCTTGACCACTGAAGCACATAAACAGAGATTGGCGCTTATTAGAAAAACGTTGAAGAAATACTAGGTGATTTGAGATGGAGGAAGGAAAGGTGATATATGTATTCATATGGAATTTGTCATAATGTATCAACTTGAGCAGAAAAGCTTTTACTATTAAGAATTAGATGATTTGTATAAAAGGTACCGAAAAATAATATGCATAGTTGTACACTGCTGGAAATTAATCTTTTTGTTTTCCAGTGTAAGCATTATTCTGTAATGCAATTGGGGAACAGAAAAACTATAGCGCCATCCAAAAATCAATTGCATTTTATTAATTCACTATAACAATAAAAACATCAGTAAATTACATTCTTATTGTTTTCTTACAACCACAGAATACTTAATATCATATCATAGGCATTTGCTTAACATCTTGAATTTTTGTTGAAGATATATCCTGACTCAGGCTTCTGAGCTATATGTGAACAGTCACAGTGGGTATACGTGATGGAAGGAGAGGGTGTCACTATCAACAATTTAAGGGTTTCATTAGCTAATTTTGAATGTTTGGCCTATTAGGAGGTTTGTCCGGAAAATACGTATAAAAGTGGAATAATAACTTTATTTTACAGTTGTTCAGGTATTTCAATACGGTCTCCTTTAAAGTACTCCCCCTGAGACAAGATGCACTTCTGCCACCGCCGTTTCCACTGTTAATACGATCGCTGAAAGTGTTCAATTGTGAGGCCCTCCATTTGCCGTGTCGTTTCTGCCTTGATGGCTTCCACATCCGCCAAGTGCCGCCCCCGAAGCACTATTTTGCATTTTGGGAACAGGATGAAGTCGCAAGGGGCTAAGTCGGGTGAATAAGGCTTCGGGCCAAAAACTCAAGCACAACGAGAGACGTGTGAGCAGACGCGTTGTCGTGATGAAGGATCTGCCTGACCCTTGTGCCAAATGCGGTCCAAGTCGGGCCACACGAGCTCTGATACGACGCAAAACTTCAATGTAGAAATTTTCGTTCACTGTCTAGCCGGAAGGAATAAATTTCTGGTGAACAACGTCCCGAGAATCAAAGAAAACGATCAACATTGTTTTCACATTGGACCTCGATTTTTTCTACTTTTTTGTTCTCGGTTCCCCTGCTTGCCTCCACTCTATGCTTTGAGATTTCAGCTCCACATCGAATTTGTAGAACCATCACTCGTCTAAAGTGATGACCCGGTTGAGAAAGTGCCCCCTTTCTTCTACTTCCAACCAATCCTCACAGCAAGCAATCCTCTCTTGCTTTCTGTTCTGGAGTCAAAAGCTCCGGAACGATTTTCGCGCACAATTTTTTCATTTCAAGTTTTTCTGTCAGAATTTCTTAAACGATTGTTTTGGGGATTGCCAGTTCCTCAGCTATCAATCGACGGTCTTTTAGAACACAGCCCCGAATTTGTTCAACATTTCCCTCCAGAGCTCGATATGGAGGCGCGTTCTGAGCGTTGGTCTTCTTCCACATCTTCTTGGCCTTTCAACCACTTGTTGACGGTTGGTTCTTTCAGAGAATTGTCACCGTAAACTTGTTCCAAACACTCAAAATTCTCACGACCATTCTTGCTTTGCAAGAAACTGTATGTTGATGCGCTGTTCCTCGATCAGAGAGAGCTCCATGCCGACGGCACGTAAAAAAAAGGTTACTTTCAACAAGCACACGTAAATCCCACTTACTCGCAGAGCGCTCGGCCTCGAACTGAGCATAGAGAAGATTGCATAGAGAGAGGGAACCACCGGGTCACCCTTCCACAACGCCTTAACACGACGCCCCGTATTTTCCGGAAGAAACCTCGTATGTGCCTAATCAGTCGCATATTTAGCCTACATTTATTAAGTTGTTTAAGCATAGCTCATATAGTTTGGAAAATGCTGTCGAGTTTAATCAGCGGAAGGCTAAGCGTCTCCTGCTCAACAGTAGATATTCCATTCGTGGCAAGATGTGCAACTTGCGCCAGACCATGCAACACCTGCGTGCCCTCCATAACTTGGACGTGTTCGAGTTGCACGTGTTGAGCGTCAATCACTTGCGCTGGTGTTGCGTGGATAATTTGGATGTTGGCTGGTGTTTGAAGTGTTTGGAATTCCACTATGTCCATCTTGGGAACTGAAACGCTAAAGGCGGTTCCTATACAACAGAGAACAACGTTTAAGAATGAAACCTAGTTCATATAGGTTGCAAGAAATGTTTCAGCAATGTATACTAAGTGACATATAAATCCGAACACAAAGTTTAAATGGTTTTATTTTAATAAAATTTTGTATAAGTACTTAATGAAGCATAATAAGTAAATGATAAAAATTTCAAAATGATTGCACTGCTTTAAAGCCCTTTGACCTTTAATAATGTGTGGATGCACCCTGATGTGCTACGCATTCTCCAACGCGCCTAGGCATGCTTCTGATCAGGTGGTCAATGTCCTCCTGTGGTATCTCATTCCAGGCAACCACCAACTCCTCTCGAAGTGCTTCTAGAGTCTGAGGAGGGCGTTGCAAATTGAGCAATCTCCTACCCATCATATCCCACACGTGCTCAATTGGGGATAAGTCGGGAGATCTTGGTGGCCATGGTAACAATGTGACATCATTATGTTGAAAGAAGTCTATTGTGACTCTTGCAACATGTGGTCGGGCATTATCTTGTTGGAAAGTTGGATCTTCCAGGGTGTCAAGATAGGGTAAAAGATGGGGTTCTAGAACTTCGTTGGTATAACGCTGCACGTTCATGTTACCTCTGATGAAGATTAAAGGTGACCTGGAACCATAAGCTATAGCACCCCAAACCATAACTCCAACAGTGTGATGAACATGTCTTTCAACAAAAAACTGTGGATTCCTCCTTTCACCACGTCGCCTTCGAGACTCGTCACTAAAGACAATACTGTTCCATTCCTGATCCCAGGGTGACCGTTGTCTGCACCACTCAAGGCGATTACGTCGGTGTAAGGGTTAGAAGGCGACGTGCTGAAAGGAGGAATCCACAGTTTTTTGTTGAAAGACATGTTCATCACACTGTTGGAGTTATGGTTTGGGGTGCTATAGCTTATGGTTCCAGGTCACCTTTAATCTTCATCAGAGGTAACATGAACGCACAGCGTTATATCCACGAAGTTCTAGAACCCTATCTTGACACCCTGGCAGATCCAACTTTCCAACAAGATAATGCCCGACCACATGTTGCAAGAGTCACAATAGACTTCTTTCAATATAATGATGTCACATTGTTACCATGGCTACCAAGATCTCCCGACTTATCCCCAATTGAGCACGTGTGGGATATGATGGGTAGGAGATTGCTCAATTTGCAACGTCCTCCTCAGACTCTAGAAGCACTTCGAGAGGAGTTGGTGGTTGCCTGGAATGAGATACCACAGGAGGACATTGACCACTTGATCAGAAGCATGCCTAGGCGCGTTGGAGAATGCGTATCACATCAGGGTGCATCCACACATTATTAAAGGTCAAAGGGCTTTAAAGCAGTGCAATCATTTTGAAATTTTTATCATTTACTTATTACGCTTCATTAAGTACTTATACAAAAGTTTATTAAAATAAAACCATTTAAACTGGGTGTTCGGATTTATATGTCACTTAGTATAGTTGTAAATAGTCAAGGAATCAAATTTATTCAGGTATGATATTTTCCGTATCCTCTTTGTATTTATTCAAATTTAGGTACAATCAGTCTGAGTATAGTTTTTAGATACCTAGCATAAATAAATGATATGAGCAGCGAGACAAACCAAATTATGTGGGATAATTGAAACAACAGTGACAAAATTTTTAGGGCATAAAGTACGTCAAAAATAAACGAAATAACTCCTAAAGAGGTACAGGGTGTTGAAGTTAAAATTTAGAAATCGATAAAAAATATATCTCTGGAGTTGGATATGTCTGTAAAGTTACAGACTTGTACATGAGGAATAACATGACTAGTTCATACAAAAGTCCTTAAGAGCCAAACTAAATCAGTGACATAGTATCTGGAAGATCTTCACCCCTACATAGTAAGAAAGTATACTCACCTATGAAGAAAATAGAACATCTAATAAACATGTACAAATCTTCAGTATTCTGAGAATAAAAACTGATAACATTTTATGTTCGCGTCTTGGACTGACTCGTACAATACTCTTTAATCATTCTTAAATAACCAAGATGGGTATAAAAACGGTATCAACATAAGGATACATTTTTACTGTGTTCTGTTTTCTTTCTCACTTAGTATATTTTCTACACCTATAATAACTATACTATTACTTTTGAAAACCACATTCACTTTGAATAAGACATTTAATTTCACATATTTTCTCTATTTAACCCACTTCTTTTGAAGAAAAAGGTGGTTAGTTGGTTTGACTATTTGAAGTGAAGTTCATATAAATCCGTTTTCTTCTTGAGAGTATGCTTGAAGCTAGTGAATTTTGTCACTGAAAAGTATATCTTATCTTGTATTAATATATTTAATGGGCAGTAATGCCATCTCACCACAACAGAATATGCATGTTCTATTCCAATCAGAGTCGCCAAGACGTAGACATTTACAGTTTGTTATTTTTTGGATGTACCTACTGCCCTATAAATATTTTTATACTAGATTTTCGACAGTCATTTTACAAATCTACCAATTGGGCGAATGTAACGTCAATTTCTGCATAAGCGCCTTGAACATTTCATATGGAGGAAAACCAGTTTTACTTTTTTTTTGAAATGTTATACCTGTATGTTTTCTAGTTCCTTTCAATTTATCCATTAACGGCTTCGCCAATTTAGTTGCTTCTGTCAACTCCTCAGCTGAGTTAACATTATCATTCACCAACTGGATCAAATCGTTTATGAACTGTATCTTTGACTCAACATAAGTCTTCGAGTGTACGACAGATATCTCGGATATCTTTGACGGCTCTTCAATGAGCCACAGTTCTGGATGTTCTGTTTCTACATCCGTTGTTTTTGTAGAGACTATACTGACGCATTTTTCAATGGGCTTTTTCCCCTTTTTGTTCACTAGATCACACGACTTGAGATTAAAAGGCTCTGTATCAGCTTTCACCTAAAATTAGATATCAGTACAAACCAGTGGGTAAAACTTGGTTTAGGCACTTACACTATACATGTCGGAATAGTACACTCTATTATACAAGGTGTTCCATACTCAAGTGAACATAGGGAATAGGTAAGTAGTATGGACCAAGACCTTTACAAATCCGACAATAAAATTATTATATATATATATATAACATCCCATGCACCAATGGGTCTTGCCATTCGCCATCTATATATAGATGAATGATAACTGTTGATAGAGATGTAGTCTCGTAGGCCTATTCAGATGTTGTGTGAGGGAGAACAAAAAATAGTAAATGGGGTTAATTTGGGTTTGAGTCGAATCTCCAAATTGTTGTTTCGGATAGGAAAGGCTAATGCAACTCACATTAGTAATATTTTTTCGAGGCTGAATTTCATTAAGTAATCCTTGAACATTGGTTTCTTTTGTTCGTAACACAATCAATCAATTTTTTGTAATTTAACACTCAAAACAAACATCTAGCCATATGATTGGAATCTGATTACCTCTCTCACAATTTCATTGTAGCAAAAATCCATATTAGGGGTTTTAGTGTTTGTTATGGTCTTTTTCTTATCAGTAAGACTCCAGTGGTAGATTTCATCATCATCATGCCCAACATGCGTTTGTATATAGTCGATGGAAACTTGGCCTGATGTTGATATTTTTACATATATCCTAGCGGGACAGTCTTTGCCTATCTTTTTGGTGCCTTGTCTTTTGATTTTTCTATGGCCCTTGCTCCTTGATTTAAACGTTCCGCTGCGATGACAGTAATACGTTGCTCTTTTCTCGCCATTTTTTGATACCTTTGTAGAGCAACGTTTCACATATCTAAATAAAAAACATTGCACTTATTTTCACTTTAACAGTTATGAATACTCAAGCGGCGTTATGTGAAAGTGAGTCGTTTTCGGAATATTGATGATATAGGTCATAAAATTAGAAAACCGCCAAGATCAAATGTTTGAACAGATTTCCTTGTGTCATAGCTAAAACCCTAACAAACAAAAAGGAAATAAAAAACAGTTATGACAACTATCATTTGTAGGCGAAGATTAAAAACTTGTTCACTGAATTCAAGTATAGTGTTGGTCACACAGATTCGACAAAAGGTGAAATGTGGCTTAGTTTACAGGCTTTGCCTCCCCATTGTAACCACAACCACCACCACTACTACTACAGCTATCTAATGAGATAAAAAAGCTAGAACTGAATATATGAATGAATAGATGTAAAAATGGAGACGTGAAAAGCAGTAAAATGGGATAGAACGGAAAAATCATGCAAAACAACGCCACAATCCTTAATTCAATGTTTTAGATTGTAGACCATAACGAGTGCACCAAGCGCCCATTGATTTTTCCAAAAATATTGACTCTTTCAATTAAATCATTCCATTGTCCCAAAAAGTATTAGAATTACTACAAAAACAAAAATGGGAATGTTTTGGAATTGAACACTCTCATTATACTGGTCTCCAAATCATTATAGTGCTAGTGGCATAGTTAGACCGAATTGGGTCCAAGACCAAGATATTTTAGATTTCTATGCAACCTAGACTTCATATTTTTAAAATACTTGAAGTGATGCAATAAAAGGCCAAAGACTCTGGAACTTATAAGCCTGTGTATCGGATCTCCAAAGGAACTATTCATAAGCAAAAAAAAAATGGCCGCACATTTTTCCACGATATTTCAACATGCCCAAACGTGACACCAGCACTTGCATGTGAGCAGTTGTTTTGCATAAAGTAGCTGTGGAAGTTCCAGGTCTCAAAGTACTTTTCTGAGTTTTCAGTCTTCCCTGAATATTCCGGTTGAAACAATCAGATCGTTAAATCAGTTTATGCTTTCTCATAATATTCATATCAGAGTAACCTGTGCCACGCACATACTCCAAAAATTGATCTATAAAAAAAAATACACGTTATCAATTACAATATATACAGGGTGTCCCAGCGAAAATGGGAAGCTGTCCAATAGAAAAGCTATATAATGTAAAAAACGGCTTGCACATCAAGGTGATATCATATAGGTGTCTATCTCTACATTATTTGTAAATCTACAGGGTGTTGCACAATGTCATGGCACAACAAACTTGTTTTTTCAATGGAACGCGATATTATATTAGATATTTGGAAAGACATTTCTAAAACAAGAAGGTTCATATAATACACGGTAGAATTTTGATTGTTATTTGTTCAGTTATTTCATCATTTGTCTGAAGAAATGGCTATCCTTGAAAGCTTTGACTTCTGCCATTTTACGTAGTTTTTCACAGAATTTTTGAAAAAGACTAGGAATGTGCGCAAACTTTATCAGGGTACTGAAAAACGCAAAATCTTTTACTCAAAAATTTTAAATGGAACATCCCATATATTTTTACACCATCAGACTCGCGTTTTTATAAGTTTCTTCTGATATCAAGTTTAGTACTGCTGCATCAGAATGGTTATATGTATATATATACAGGGTGGCCAAACACGTGACGTCATAAAAAAAAATTAGATTCCCCACATCGAGAGGAACCCAAATCACCCCCATATATATGGTCCGATTTTGTTTAGTTTAGGAGTTATGATTTTTTTTCGGATTTTTCGAGAATTTTTGAGTTCTGTGTTCATTTTTACCATAACTTCGTTAATAATTGTGATAAATGCCTGCTTTTTTCACGATTATGTAGCTAAGACCTAAGGCTTAACTATCATATAATCATTCAAGTCATGTAACTAATAGTACTTTTTAATTTTTTCAAAATATTCGAACATAACAAAAAAGTAAAAAAGTGCAACAACTTTGAACGTTTATAAAAAATTGAAAAAACATGTTCTTACTATTCGTAAGTATCTTAAAAACTTCCTTACGGTATCAGCTATTTACCGTAAAAATTTCATCAACCTAGCTTTACTACATGCTACCGTAATTGTGGCTCAAATAGAACCGAACCCAAAATTGGATAACCCTCTGCTCAATAGAAATTGTTAGTTTCGGGAAAAAAAATTGCAAAAACCACAAAAACACGTTTGATTTTTACTGAACAGCAGATTATTATTCATTTATGTTATTTACAAGAGGTTTTCAAAATGTCTGAATCTAACAGAAATGCACAGTGTACACCTACGTATGAAATTTTGTTTTAAATCTCTAAATGCTTGTGTGTTGTTTTTCAACACATGTGTCGCTTCTTGAATTTTGTTCCTCAATGAATTTTCATTTGCACATTCTTGGGCAAATGTTATGTCTTTAAAATATCCCCAAACAAAAAAATCAATGGGGTTGAGGTCAGGGGAGCGTGGAGGCCATCGTATCGGTCCGTTTCGTCCGATCCATCTGTCTGGGAACTTTCGTTTAAGTAGTTTCGCACGATCGTTGCGTTGTGGCATGGTGCACCATCATTCTGGAACACCATGTTCCGTCTGGCTTCCAGGCTTGAATCTTCCAGCAATAATGGTAGGCTATTTTCAAGGAAGCTTTTGTAGGCTACCGAATCCAACCTTGACGGCAGTTCAAATGGACCGATAAATTCCATATTGAATATTCCTGACCACATGTTCACACTAAAACGGTGTTGAAATGTCGACGGCCTTGACTGGTGGGGGTTTTCAACAGCCCAAGTATGTAAATTATGGATATTGAATATCCCTGTTCTTTCAAAACATGACTCGTCAGTCCATAAAATTTTATCAAAAAAATCGGGATCCTCTCGTTGTCTTCGCAGCATTGTCTCGCAGAAATCCACTCTTAACTGGTAATCTGAAGGCATCAACGCTTGAACTCTTTGAACATGATAGGCATGATAACCTTCTTCATGAAGAATATTTTGTATCGATGTTCGTGGTATTCTAAGGTTTTGTGCCATAGATCTCGTACTCGTTGAGGGATTCCGGCTAATTTCTTCAAGTACTACTTCTCTGCGATCCGGATCAGCTGTAGGATATCCTTCATTGCTTCCTCGTCCTGGAATGCGGCCTGCCATATTCTTCATGAAGAAGGTTATCATGCCTATCATGTTCAAAGAGTTCAAGCGTTGATGCCTTCAGATTACCAGTTAAGAGTGGATTTCTGCGAGACAGTGCTGCGAAGACAACGAGAGGATCTCGATTTTTTTGATAAAATTTTATGGACTGACGAGTCACGTTTTGAAAGAACAGGGATATTCAATATCCATAATTTACATACTTGGGCTGTTGAAAACCCCCACCAGTCAAGGCCGTCGACATTTCAACACCGTTTTAGTGTGAACATGTGGTCAGGAATATTCAATATGGAATTTATCGGTCCATTTGAACTGCCGTCAAGGTTGGATTCGGTAGCCTACAAAAGCTTCCTTGAAAATAGCCTACCATTATTGCTGGAAGATTCAAGCCTGGAAGCCAGACGGAACATGGTGTTCCAGAATGATGGTGCACCATGCCACAACGCAACGATCGTGCGAAACTACTTAAACGAAAGGTTCCCAGACAGATGGATCGGACGAAACGGACCGATACGATGGCCTCCACGCTCCCCTGACCTCAACCCCATTGATTTTTTTGTTTGGGGATATTTTAAAGACATAACATTCGCCCAAGAATGTGCAAATGAAAATTCATTGAGGAACAAAATTCAAGAAGCGACACATGTGTTGAAAAACAACACTCAAGCATTTAGAGATTTAAAACAAAATTTCATACGTAGGTGTACACTGTGCATTTCTGTTAGAGGCAGACATTTTGAAAACCTCTTGTAAATAACATAAATGAATAATAATCTGCTGTTCAGTAAAAATCAAACGTGTTTTTGTGGTTTTTGCAAATTTTTTTCCGAAACTAACAATTTCTATTGAGCAGAGGGTTATCCAATTTTGGGTTCGGTTCTATTTGAGCCACAATTACGGTAGCATGTAGTAAAGCTAGGTTGATGAAATTTTTACGGTAAATAGCTGATACCGTAAGGAAGTTTTTAAGATACTTACGAATAGTAAGAACATGTTTTTTCAATTTTTTATAAACGTTCAAAGTTGTTGCACTTTTTTACTTTTTTGTTATGTTCGAAGATTTTGAAAAAAATTAAAAAGTAGTATTAGTTACATGACTTGAATGATTATATAACAGTTAAGCCTTAGGTCTTAGCTACATAATCGTAAAAAAAGCAGGCATTTATCACAATTATTAACAAAGTTATGGTAAAAATAAACACAGAACTCAAAAATTCTCGAAAAATCCGAAAAAAAATCATAACTCCTAAACTAAACAAAATCGGACCATATATATGGGGGTGATTTGGGTTCCTCTCGATGTGGGGAATCTAATTTTTTTATGACGTCACGTGTTTGGCCACCCAGTATATACATATAAAGTCTGTTTCATTAAAAAGAAAATGTTTGTTGTGCCACAAAATTGTGCAACACCCTGTATATCTCCAAATAATTTAGAACCTATAAGATGCTGTGGAAATCATTTTCGAATATCTTTTATAGTTTTTTCTATCAAACTACTTTCCATTTTTATTGGGACACCCTGTAGATATCGTGTGTTCCCGTGATTTTTATTATATCTTGGAGTCTACAATAAACACGAGTTAGTTTTGGTAAAATGGTGCAGGCACGCTTACCTACAGGGGCTAAGACACCAAACTTTTAACACCCTGTATCTCCAACGGAAAGCATTCCTAGGCTTTACACCCTTTGAAATATTTGATCAGCACACCTGAACTATCAATGTACAAATTGTCATTAAAATTGCCTGGTACTTTCCAAGGGTATCAACTCTTAAAACTTCAACAATCTTTCAGGGAAAACTGCAAATGATAAGACTGATAGTACAGAACTAATAAGGGGACACTCAAATAGATATTTTGGTATCCTGATATATATACTGTGTAAGATGCAGCTTCAGGCATCAGTCAGAAACATGGGTCCTGCCCAGTTTGGTTCTACAAAAGCTATATGTCAGATTATACATGCTATCTGTTCTCAAACCATTAATATTTTTGGAAATACTTGGATTATATAAGCAGTGGCAGATGTAAAGTCTCTTGGGCCTGAAGCAAAAAACTTTGCAGGAGGCCCTTGTTCGAGCATGTGCCTGAGGAGGCCCCATGAGAAACAAAGTTAATCTCTTACTGGGTAGAGATTTTAGAGGACATTATTCTCAAAACACAAATTTTCTCTATACTAAGGTTCCCTGGAACCACTTTAAAGGGCCCCGTACCTCTGGGGGCCTGATTTTAGTATACTTGTACGTATCTATATCCATGGTATTTACCTATAAAAAGTACAGTTTTCTTCAACCTTCTTCCATTCAAGGAATCCTGAAAAACTGTTGAAAAAAAACTTTTGCCTTTTAATCTCAATACTATGGCTACTCAAGTGTGAACATAGGTCATTGTAAGTTTTGAAGGCACATGTACAAATACTACAACAAAAGTTATCCATTTTATATGGTTTCTTTAAAATATGGTATTTATGTATGTGCTTTGCTAAATTTGGCTTTATGCTAAATGCTGTGTTACAATGGTGGCATATAAACTTCCTATGGTGATTTCTACTGGATGACAGTGATGGTTTTTTATGTTTTTTTCTAGAGCAATGCTTCAAAAGCGAGGCTCGCAAAGCAAACCGTAACCCACAATCAGGACATTTATAGGGTAGTTGATCAGGATCTGTTGCCTGGAATAATGAAATTCAAAATAGTTTTATGAATTAATTATGATCAAGTTTTCGTATACAACCTGGCAAACAACTGTGAGGTGCTGAGGATGTTTTGATCTGAAATGCCTGGATAATGTCTTTTTCATTGTGTATTTTGAGCCACAAACATTGCATGTGTATTTTTTCTGTGTTTCTGTGCGCAGAGTTGTTTGTTCAATATTTGCATTTTCCATTTTTTAAATTATTAATTTTTAGGTTAATGTTCTGATTCTGATACTGTCAGTGTCACCTACCTGTCATGACGTCATCCATCGTCACACTTGTGTAGTGCTGTGTGCATTACTCATAGTTATCCGTTCGAATAGTTTGTTGTAATTTCCACATCACTCGGAGCCATCCTTTGCAGCGTTATACCCGTGGCAGGGGCCTTAAAGTGGCTGGTTGTGGTGTGGTTTTGGCAGCTGTTTAGGTGGCAGGTTGAAATTAATATGTGCTGGTGGCTATTACTGGTTACAATTCAGTCATGTTTAGTGTTCCTACACTATTTATATTAATGAGTTGTAAATTTGGAGCTTCCTGAAGAATTCTATATTTGAAGATTTTCATTTCTTTTTTACTTAAAAATAAATAAATTCATTAAACATAAAAAATATTTTTTATATTATATAACCTTGAAAGGAACTCTGAAAAACGTAACAAAATATTTTCCTACGCGTCAGAAAAAGTAAAACAAAACAAGATTATATAGATCGACCAGCCAAAGATTGCTAGGGACGAAAGGGGGAAATGCGATGAAAAAACCTTACCATTAGACGATTTTATATGGAGTCATAGGCGGAGATCGGAGAGACTTGAATTATTAATTGAATTTATATTTTATTACAACTGGTAGTATTAATATTTTTTTGCGATTCATAATGACGTGATACCAAACATACATTATAAGAAATAAATATACACAAACACTGAATATTGAGAACAAAATAAATATATTTTTTAGGCAACAAGTAATATTCCTATGTACGCATTATGATTGAACAGCAAAACAAATTATGCATTCTTCTAAAATAGAATACAACAAGTCAAAAATATCTGACTGAATAGAAAAATATAGGAAAACAAAAAGTAATTTCTTGATGAAATAACCCATAAACAACACATAGAATTAGACTTTCTACTGAGATACTAAAAGCCACAAACCAATAGTATAATAAATGAATATCTAAAAATTCTAAAAGGTAGCCAATCTAGTATAGTTTCAATCCTGATTAGAGTCATGATCACTGTCTGAGGAACTGTCATTGCTATCACTTTCACCTCCTATGTTGATTATTATTTCTTCCTGTATTTCTTGAATGAGACTGTCTTTTTCCCAATATTCATCTTCAATTTTTATAACATGTCCAATAACCTTTTGCCAGTCACTGGCACTTACTGAAGCGATGGCCTTATTAGAAATTTCATCTAGTTTTTTTATAGTAAATTCGCCGCTTGTATTATGGCTTCTAATGAAAAATTTTACTTGTGCCCAAATCATCTCTATGGGATTAAACTGACACATATAGGGTGGCGTTCGAAGTGGGGTGTGTCCGAAACTTCTTATTAAATTATCTATCTTATAATTTTTCTCATCAGATGGTGGCCTATGTAGACAAGCTATTTCATAAAGCTCCATTTTTTTAGCATTAGGATCATGCTCTATACCTTTTTTGCTCAACCACGTGATGATGTCTCTTTTTAGAGAAGATCTAGTTGGAGGCTTGTCTTCCAAAGCTGAATGGTAAGGTGCATTATCCATTATTATAATACTATTAGGAGGAATGTTAGGAAATAGTTTTTCAGTAAGCCACTTCGTGAAATTTTCTTGGTTCATTTGACCGTGATAATCACCAGTGGCACAGCCAGCCTTGAAAATGAGACAGGCTCCAGGAACAAAACCATCTTGCGAACCCGCATGAACAATTATAAGTCGTCCTGGAAATGAATAAATAGCCTCATTTTAGTGTTATTTTAAGTTTGCCAACACCTTTTTGAATCACTATGTATAAAAAACATATTTTTGAGAAAAAAATACTTGCAAGGGATTATGTATTCAATTAGACAAATTAAATGAGCACTTATTAAGAATATTCCAAAATTGAGAAAAATGTATAATAAGCAAAATCGAGGTGAAAGAAACTTTATTACCTGTAGAACTTATATTGCTCAGGACACCCATAATTTCTTCGCTTTGCCAGCATTTCTTGAAAGTGAGGTCATTATCAACCCAAGTTTCGTCCAAATAAATAATATGCCTTCCTTCTTCCCGGAACTTTTTAATAGACCTAAGATACTTGTATCGCCAATGTAAAATACTGGGTCTTTCCATTAGTAATTTCCTTTTGTTGTGGCATTTACGCCAGTAAAATCCTTTTGCTTTTAAAAGCAGCCTCAACGATTCTTTACCAAATGGAAATTCCATTTCTTCCTTCAGTTTGATTAGAAGTTTACTACAAGTAGGTACCACTTTAAAATCACAGTAAAATTTTTCTATCATTCTCCGAATAATGGAAAAATCGACTCCATCAATTTTTTGGATCACAGAAGGGCGTGATCTCTTTTTTCCGGGAGAAGCTAAAGGCTGTGTGGAGGTTGCATTTTGCCTGTCTTTATCTTCTTTTCTAATTTTACTTATAGTTCGTTCACTAACACCCGTATAATATGCCGCCCTTGCATTTCTAGCTACCAGTGGATAAACGAAAGTATTGTTAGCCGCTTCTGCATCGCAAGCACGTATCACGTTTGCTATTATTTCCCTTGCCTGGCTGTGAATAACTTTCCCATGCTTGAATTCCATTATCACCACTAAACAGTAAATTATATTTTCAAAGTATTTGCCAACTGCCTACGCCTATGGGAGTAGGTTTATAAATGACCGTGCCATCGGCACGTTATTCTAGTTTCAGATAAGATAAGAGTTTTGGACCAATCAGCGACCGGATGTTTACCTGCGGCCTGGGTTTTCCAGCTACATTGCCAAATTCAGCGGAACAATTCTATATCTTAAATATGTTAATATGTATGGACCGCATTTTATGTAGAACATCTGACAACTTCGCAATTTTTTGTCCGCATTCTTTCGGCTTGCAATCTTTCGCTGGTCCAACATTACTTCCGGTGACCGGTTCGGCGACTGAACTTTCCGTCCGACGATGGCTAATGTCGATTTGTATGTGCTTGGTGGTGTGGGCTAAGGGTCATCGTTAAAAATATACCGACCAACTGTATCCGTGAACCGTGTATGTGGCCTTTTTCGCGAGTCTCAATTACGTCAAACGTGACAACAAATAGTTATTATCTAGTTAGACTCTGGTAACTGTTTAAATTACCCCATATCGACAGGTGACACATAATTCTGACGGATCCGTCAACGCTGGATCTGTAAATGTAGACAGAATTTTATTTTGTTGTGGTCTTTTGTACGCTACGAATTCATACTTCATAACAACGCTTAGTAAAGTTCCTTCGTTAAAAAAAAAAAACGATACGAGCAACATTAATGCTTATCATCATGACTATATTTATTTCAAGTCAGGTAGGAATAAAACATGATGAATAGCTTTTGACTATGTTCGGTATAAACAGATCTAAATACGGTTCAGAGCTTTACTCGATTAATTATTGCCAACACTACATATTCTTTATTCTTTATTATACAAAGATGTCACTTGCTGATCAGCTGTTCGCCTCAATAAACGTCAAAACGTAATGGAGACTTGTGAAAAGAGCATGTTTTGTGCGTGGAACTAACCTCCAAACTTCTGAGCGATTTGTGTCTTTTTTATGTACTATCAGAAACCACATCATGCTTGTAATAAACGGTAAAATTGAATGTGCATACAATATCAGTTTCGAGTGATCTGGGAACTACAATGGTTAAAGATGAATCAGAGTTTGATTAACGAATTTTCAGAAAAAGTAGATAAACAATCTGCTGTTCTAACTTTCCAAACTTACATAGAGTTATGCGAAGTAAAAAGATACTATAATGTTGAGTACAACTACAATTCAGCTTTAAAACAGTATGTTATAACAGCTAAAAAGTCTCCCGGCAAGCCTACTTGTGCTTTTGTCCCTATATCAGTGTATGAACCACTGAATGTGTTACGACTAATTCATATAATAAAAAATACAAACAGTGAAGCTGTTTATCTGGTGATAGTGCATCCTGATTCAACATGTGTTTATTATCAAATAGCTGATGGGTTAATGGAACCTGTGGAATCAGAGCCAAAAAGGTTCAAAGAGGATAAGACTGACGTATTAGATAACATATTGCGGAAGAATCGCAAAATGTTAGAAGATGCTGCATTGATGAATATATCTGTTAATATCCCTATTCTGAAAAATGAATAATATACATATGCAATATTAAATTGTTTTTATTATGTCAACCATGTGTAACTGTAACATACAATAAGTGTTCAAAGGGTGTTCTGTAAAAATTTTACCTAATATATTACTGTCGGCTGTCAAGAAGGTAACCTTTGTATATTGACAGTTTTTTTTTATACTGAAGCAGCCGCGGCTGCTATGGGGATCCAAACGAAATTTTGTTAATCCGATTTTTGAACTAAGGTTAGTAGAACTGGGAACAGCTTCCTCTTGTAGATTGTTCCACAATCTCGACACCTTTAGGACAAAGGAGCGGTCGTATCGGCCAGTTCTGGATGTACGAAGTTCGACATGGTTAGGATCGGAGGCCAAAGTCAGGCAGATCTGTCTGGCAGACACATATTGCGCGGCTGCATCATGGAAGAGAGCTCTAAGGAGCAAAGCCCGTTGGTGTAGCGGTAGAAGCTAGATCAACGACGGCCCGCCGATGCGAAAAGGTTCAGAGACTGTCTAATAGAGAAGAGTCCTTGGTCAGTTGGACAGCATCGAGCATAAATAATGTCGTTGGGGCTCAAAAAAGTGTGAGCAATAATCGAGGCTAGGCCTTATTTGGGCCTTGTATAGAGTGAGAAGGTCATGCAGTGAAAAGTACTTCTCAGCCCTAAACAAATAGCCTAACTTTTTCCCAGCAGCGGCCGCTAATGACTTTGTTCGCCAAGGTACAGTACTGTTTTGGAAGCACTAAACTAAACAAGATTATTGCGTCCCCAAGCAGTGATAACCTAAAAAGTCTTTCGTCAGAGAGGAAGTCGTCGCTAGTCTTATTTTTTCCTGCCCAGTGGCAGAGATCGGCTTGTCACTCTAAATTCCTGCATGTAGAGTGTTGTCATCGGCAAAACTGTGGATGAGTAGACTGTACAGGAAAGGATATCGTTGATATGCAAGAGGTACAGTGTCAGAGCCAAGACCGATCCCTGGGGAACACCCGCGTTGACGTTGTTGAATGAAGAGAAGAACCCATCAATAACGACGGATATCTTGCCGCCAGAAAGAAAGTCAGCCACCCATCTGCAAAGATTTTCTTATAATAGAAAGCAGGGCTATAGGCCTGTAGTTGTAAGGGTAGGTCTTATTAGATACTTATTATTGGGATGGGTTGGACATGAGCAAATTTCCAGTTTTCGGGGAAGGTAGATTCATAAGATATCTGGAAGAGACGCGAAAGAACTGGAGCAAGCTCCACTGCACACCTCTTCAGTACAATGGCATGAATCATGTCTGGACCAGAAGCTATTGTGTTACATGGTTTGATCATGTTCTGTTTGTATCCTCTCGGAATGAGAATCAAATGATATTAATATCTTTGGTAAGAGATACAGTGAATTTAAACCAGTTGCCTTACAGTATAAAAATATACTTTTTCAAAATGCATGAGCAGAAAAACGAGGATAAAAGCAACGTGCTTGAAAAGTGGATGTGAAGATACTTCAGCTATTAGTAAAGTTTTTCACATTTGTATAGCACTACTTGTATACCAATATAAACACACCACACACATATTAAATTCTGTTGTATTTAGAATATTATGGAAAGTGAACGTCTGATGAATATTTTAAAATTTAATCACTTTGATAAAATAAACACAACAAATAATATAACAGTGAACATAAAACACTATAAATAGTCTAACAAAATATTTGACATAACTAGGGCAGTCTTTATTTACTCTTCTCTACTGTTTCTTTCCATTTATTTTGCTGAATTTACTTCTTGATACATTGTCAAAAAATAATAAACCTGCTGCTCTTTCTATACTCTCTGGAGGAACCTAAAACAAATACAAATACTAGCGAAACAAAATAAAAAAAATGTATTATTAGTGTTTTTTCACTTCTTTTATGATTGTGAAGTGGTGATGCTTGATCATATGCATATGTATGTGTGAGACAGATGTAAGAAAGCAACACTGGTAGTTTTACTGTGAAAACTCAAACTATAATAAAATTGAAGACTGTTGAGCATCATACTTGAATCTTAAATTAAGTTATATTTTTGGATATAATTCTCACCTGGAAGCTAGTCAATGGCACTGAATTATCTATAACCTGATTCGGCATTACATATGCCTCCATTTCCAATTGTCCATCTTTGGTTTCTCCAACAACAACTTTGAAAAAATGTGTGGGTACTGCTACATTATTAGCTCCTATTACTTCATATCTCACGTAGTTTTTGCCATTTGCTTCTTTTCTAAAAAAAGCCAAACCAGTAACGCTTTAGGGTATACAACATACTAAATAGCTCAGATTTAGCGTGAATCGACCAATCTAGGTGCAAGTAGTGCTGTTCCGTGCTTAAATGGACATAGGAGAATGTTCGGCAGTATGGGCCAAGACGCTTCCATATCTGAAAATAAAAACGTTCTAAATACAATTTTTACGGTGATTTATCGAAACATGCCAAACCTCGGGCACCATTGCACCGATTTCGATAAAATTTTACACGATAATAAAGTTACCTAGAAAAAACTAGGACCTGTCTCCGTTTTTTTATAATATAATCAACACATTTTAAGCTGAATATTCAGACGTTTGACTATATAGAAAAAAGCCAATGAATGACGCTAATCAATAAGCAAAACATATTTATATCGTTTTTAGTTTTTTAGCTGAACATTTTTATTTATTCCGACCTTATTTTTAGCTGTTTATGTGACACACATCTCAATATTTCAAAAGTTATCAACTTGGCTTCATCAACAGCTGCCAAAATAATGCTTAAAATTGAACCAAAGATGTTTCGGAAACTCAAAATGCCAGCGAAGCAATTCCACTAAACATCTTCCAGACCAACTTGAAATCAAGTTAAAAATCCACAAAAACGTAGTATGCATCAGGTCCAGACTTGGTTTTTAATAGTGTGAACATAGGGTTCTGGTAGGAGCACATACTATACTGCAAGTGCTGATTCCGGACCTATATATTAGGTTATTCTACATTTTCATCATAACCTCGAATTGGTCTTCAGTGCATTTGCATACCAAATGCCATTTCCCTACAAAACAGGACTCATGTTGTTGATAACATCACTTGTTAGAATTAAATCGTCAAAAAATTACTGAAAAAATGAAATATAAGGAAATAAAGAAACTGAATCTAACCCTGGAATTTAGATTTCCCAAAACATCTTTAGTTCAATTTTAAGCATTATTTGTTAAAATGTTTATGAAAGATAAAACCAAGTTGATAACACTTGATATTTTCAGTTTTGTGTCAAACTGCTAAAAATAAGATATTTGAATAGATAAAATATTCAGCTTAAAAGGCGATTTTTATAAAAAACAAAATAATAAAAAAACGAGTTTTACATTATTCCTAGATAATCTTTAAATCGTGCAAAATTTCATCAAAATCGGGTCAATGATTAGATAAATTGGTATAAACGGAATTAAGAACATTTTTATTATCAAATAAAGAAAGGCCTTGTTCCATACGTTACTATGTACCATTTTACTATGTCCATATAAGTACAGGAAATAAACCCAAGTTACAGAGCGCTAGATCAAAACTATATGAAGGGTGTTCTAGTGATTTCACATCTGAATTCACTCGAAAAGCGTTTTCGATAATCAGTCTTAGCAACCCATTACCTATAACTGGTCAAAGTTTAACAGCTCCAGTTGCCTCAGTTATATTCGCGTACCAAAGTCGCATAACATATCGTACAACAGTGTCGTGCGATGTGTTGTGCTGCTCTCATCCGTTTCGGTACCAGACTATACAAAACAGTAACATCCCAAAAATAACATATCTATACATATATACATATATACCATCATCCTAAGTTTCCCGGATTTTAACCCTCACACAATTTTGATCATCTAACACGTTCCTCTTTTCAAAATATTTCTACTAAAATTATAAATGTTTATAAACCTTTGAATGAATGACAAAACCAAGGCAAAAACATTGATAATTTTTCCGTCGCAATTTTCGTTAGAATCCCGAACCATCATCCCTTTTCAAAATCTTGTTTAATTATGTAATTGTAATTTTTTTAATTAATATTACACTCCTCTTGCTATTTGTCTTTTACCTTGGCAGATATAATGGTCCAGTACAACAATAAACATTCGGGTACACCCTAGTGAGTTTCCTAACATATTTCTCTAAATTATTCCAAGCATCTCTGTTGAAACCAACACCTACTTGTGGTGCCATATTAGACAGATAAAAGGTCTGATCTATGAGTTTTTGGCTGCTCTGGTGGTTTCCTGCGGCTGCAAGGTGTCCTCTGTCATAGCCAGATCTCTTGTAGTCGGAGTTTGAAGACCTAAAAAGGGTTTTGACGAATTATGTCGATCAACATAAAAGGGGGAAGTATATAATATTGTCAAATGGTGCTGATTCGCTTCAAAAATCCGGCTCGTAGGACCAAAAAATTTGGTGTGCAGGGAAGTATTCAGCTGCCTTTGAGTGGAATGTCATTTTGAGGTAATGCAATAAAATAATAATAATTGTGTGTAAAAATATGTTTATGAAAAAGGTGAGACGACACAATGTATAAAATATGATAATTAAATAATTGAATTAAGAACCAAACAATATCTATGTTGATAACATATTCACGAAATGCAATAGCGCGCGAAACTGAAATAGTAATTATAGAGGCGCGACAGTTTAAATTAGCACACAAAGATAATTTTTAGCAAGACTCTTTAAAACTGACACATTAAATACAAAACTGTTGGTATGGAATAAAACAAATTGTTTGTTCATGCCTAATGGAATAGGTTTTCAATTATCGGTCGCGCTCTCACCAATGACATAGACCACCACATCAACATTAATCAAATTCAAGCGGATAACCAAATGGAAATGGTATTTACCATTTTGGGATGGTATTTACCAATCCGTTCAAGCGAGTGTAGTTATCAGTTTGGTTATAAGATCCGTGACGTCACGAATCAGCTGTTATATGTCATAGGTCATAGTTATCACCGCAAAATTGTGGTATTTACCCAACTCAAGAGTAGTTTTATATTTCTGGTTATTATTTGAAATGTGACAAGTTACCATTTTGCCGGGTATTGGATATTGTTATTGTACTTCAGCTTCATTTTTGAGAAAAATGATACAGGCTGACTTCAGTTTTACCATAAAGTGGAGCACCTTATTAGTTATACTCATTACGGTTGTTGAGGACACTTTAAATGTAGTTCCTATGCTTAACAAAGTATCCTGTGTAGCCATATACCACAAGAATATTAAAATATGGCCATATAAATTCACTAGATGATATCCACCTGTATACGGTTTTGCTAATATCTTTTTTCATCATTTCTGCTGAATCAATAAATGTTTTCTTTGACATGCGGAAAAATTTAGAGAATTGAAAGTTATCATAGCTACAAAGCCATGGTTCCATCATTAAAAAAAAACTGAAAAAACATTTCTCCCATGAATATTATGAAAGGTTTCTTATTTAAACTTTCCATATACAGTTGTAGACGAAAAAGCACCGATTATTAAGTGATAATAAAAATAATCAGAGATTATATACGCGCTTTTCTAAAATAAACAACTTGCAACAAAACCGCGGTTAAAACCAACGCGTTCAAGCGATTCGTGTAACTGACGTCATCAACCCGTGTGTCATCATGAACCATATTATAACCGCGGCACATAACACAGAAATTTTGGTTATTCGCTTGGATTTGATTATTGTTTTTGAAAAAGTAGTGATCAATGAAGTTGTTGGTCCAAAACCCGCACCAAATCATTTGTTTATGTAACATCTGGAATTTAACCTGCAATTCTGGTGTTGATGACATGTTAAATAAAACCACATATTAGTAGTGCACACTGTACTACTTTTTTCGGAAAGGCGAGGTTCGGGTACTCGGCTAGATTCGAATAATGAGTACCATGTACTCAGCTAGGGTTTCGGTGGAGTGATTTGCTTGGGTTATTTCAGCTACTATTAGTGATATTAAGTTTATATTTGCGTTTTTGAAACATCCCTTTATTCTCAAAATTGGTTTGCTTTTACAAGAAAAACAATACCACAAAAAAAATGTTGCTTAAACATTTTTTAGTAAGTAAAGCGCCGTAAGCATTTACGTCATCTTGCAACGGCTAATGGCTTGGTACCTGTATACTTTTACTGTGGACAACATGCATCCTTACCATGTACAAAAAGTACAAGAATTGCTTCCAAGTGACTATGCACAACGGGTTGAATTTTGTGAGAATATGTTAAGAAGGTGCAAAGAGGATGAAGCTTTTTTCAACAGCATCTTATGGACAGATGAATCGAACTTTAAGCACAGCTTTCAACGTCAGTTCGGCGTTAATTTATGGGCTGGAGTACTCAACAAAAAATTAATTGGACCATATGAATTGCCCACCAGGTTGAATGGTCGGTCATATCTTGCCTTTCTACAAAACAGCTTGCATGAGCTGCTGTAACTTTGGACGTTCGGAGCCGCATGTATTTTCAGTGCGATGGTGCCCCATGCCACTTTTCATGGGATGTCAGGCATTACTTAGACAGTGCCTTTCATGATAAACTATACAGCTGAATATACAAATGTCAACCAGCTGGGCGAGAAAACCAAAAATAAAAATTATGGAAACTGCAAATTCATTTCAAAGACTAAAGGACAATTTTATTAGAAGGTGTCACTTGTGTATAGAAAATAATTAAGGCCATTTCAAAGAAGTTCTTTAAATGTTAGCTAAATTAAATTATCTTCCACATTTGTGGGTAAGTCACCATAATGAGTGGCTAAGCACAATAGGTTCTGTACTTGTAGGTGGTAAGGGTTCTATTGCATCTTGTATGTTTACCGCATCACACCAACTAATGTGTCATGATACACTCATTGTAGCAAGCTGAAATTTTCAGGGTTTATTATACATGGATTGAAATAGTTTTCCAAAAAACATAAAATCTCATTTTCGGAATTGTTATGATTACAATACCTCCTTCTCATTAGGTGTGGAAAGTAAAATCATCCTAAGTCAGACGCCTGCTTTTTTTATGGTTCATTTATATTTTGGAAAAATAAATCATTTTGAGATAAAAGAGACCTTCCAAAAACAGAAATATGATCTTACTCTAATATTACTGTTAATAACTGAAATAGACCATCACTAATCACTTCACTGAGTACTCATTACTTGGCTTTTTAGTAGTACTTAGTGCCTTCCTTTCTAAACAGATTTGACACGCTCTGGTGAAGCCAACTAATTACCTAAAAAATTGATGTATGCTTTCATCCGGTTTGAATTCGCATTTGGCTCTATCAACATCACTGTTTCTCTTCACTTTGTCATAAGTGAGATGCTCAAAAACCCAATGAGCTACCCTGTTCCTACGATCATAACTTAGCACATAATCATCAAAGGACCTTATATTATCCATTCCTGGAAACCCGTACTTCATTATCTCTGACACTGATGATCTTCTCACACCATTTTCAAAGGGCACAGCGGTAGAAACAACTGTAGCTGCAGAAACTGTAGTGATTTTATGTTTTTCTATATAAGCACCTGCCAAGAAACTACCCACACCAATAAATACGAATTTGTAATACTTTTGTACTGCCATCCTTTTTTGTAGATTATTTTTATTTATTATTTGCACTTAACCGACTTAACCATTTTTCCTCCCCACAAAACACTAGCGGTGCAGAAAAAGTATCTGTTTGTTACTCGAGTACTCGTTACTCATAGATACTCGAAGTAACGAGTATCAATCAGCACGAAATGATCACTTTGATTACTCTGTTATCCATTTTGCGCACTTGATCGTTGAGTGGCAACGCTGGTTTCAGCCATCACTCTAGATCTGCCGTTCATGCATCAGGGTTGCCAGTCATCCCACATTCGGGTGGAAACCTGGAAACTTCAGATTTAAAAACAACTATCAAATTCTGTTTCCCAAATAAAAAAAAAATGAATGTACCTATTTACACCGTGACTCAAACACGCTCTTATTGTTGTGATCTTGGCAACCTGAAAAGGAATAAGGAGTCGATTGGATTGGAGCAAAGTTCGGCAGTATTATGAGCCAGAAAAGCAACAACAGCGCATCAGCACCGTTCACGAAAACCATAATAGTAAAATTTGATTCGTGTTTATATTCCTTTCGTGGCCATTTCAATGAAACAAAGCAGTTACGTTATATATAGTAAATCTGAATGCCAAACTTAATGCAAAATAGATCCTTGGTACGTATAATTTGAATTTCCCGGTTACATTTATGTTGGTAACAGTTGTCTGTATTGTGACTGATTGTGACATTTGTCGAAAAGCTTGTCAGGTAATTACGCCAACGGCAGTTTATTTTCCTTCTTTTTGCCTCAATATTTAGATTGTTACTTTATAAAAAGTTTTTTTTCAAAACTTTGAGGTGTCCTTTGGTCCGAGTGAAGATAACATGGCCACGCAAGGCAACTATTGAAATATACTCTACTAGACTCTAGAAGACAATCCGTAGCGGAATTTTTCTCGAAATCTTCCAAAACACTTTAAATAATCCCATTATATGTTCAAGAGCAAACACCATCATGAATAGTGCCATAAGTTTTTTTACATTTCTTAAAATAAACACGATTTGGCCATGTTTTAATTTTTCTCAAATACCTCCGTATATGACTAATCTCTCAGTGTATGCAATGTGCGTAATTAATTAAAAAAAAACAGGATGTCAACCCTAACACACAAGTACTACAAGTAGATGAGTATCTTACGCGATAAGTCAAGCTTATCAGGAAATGCAACTTCCGAAACCTATTGCGAAAAGCAGCGGTGCCATAGAAACTTTCAACTTTTATTTGTCTAACAACACATCAGACAGATGTCAAACTTGTTACTAAGTAATATTTCAACAAGAAGCATGAGTGCTGGTGGTAACAAAAATTCCAGTCGAAGATGAGGATTTTTGCGCTTGCACGAATGTTTTTTGTTAAAAAAATATTTTGTTACCAGCTTTCCCTACTAGTCTTAAAGATGATATCTTTAAATGGATCAAACATTATTTTTTGTTTTTTTGGTGAGAACAGCTGTCAAGTCAAGTAAATTTACAACTTCTGGAAAGGACTACGACTAGGCAATCTATTCTCTTGACATGCCATGTAAAGCGGGTCGCACACGATGCTTCCAACCTTGTATGCAACGTTGTTTACAACGTTCGGCACACCATAATTGGCAAGTGCGTCTCCTACACGATGGGATGAACTTTTTAGTCTCGGACGTTCGACGCATGGTGGCGCCAACATCTATTATCGGTGTCATGTCGCGCTTGAACCTTTACAACTGAAGGACAAATGATACAAAATGAATGATGAAACAATTTTTCCAAACGCCGAAAAATAATTTCAGATCTTTCTTCAGCGACCAAAACCTAAGTCTGTCAGAAGCCTCAGAAATGTCGAAAAACGAAGTTTGGCCGTTTTATGTTTGTTTTTCGACGATCACTCCGCCGCCACTGTACCGATTTTCAAAAACTGCAGAGCTTTGTCGTCATTTTCATAGTAGTAACCTAGGGTCAAACTCTCATCAAAATCCTGATAGTACTTTCAGAGTTATCATTTATTTAATCATTTTCGTTAATTATGAAATGCAAGTCAATATATTTCTCAACTAGTCTTACATTGCAACAGGACATTATAATGAAACAACTGTAAGCACTTGATAATCTATAATTTACTAAAATACATATCCTTACGCCAGCCATAACTCGCCTGCGGAACGTGCAAAATATTAGCAATATGAAAAAAGTGTTGTTAAGACAGCCTATGCTTTTTATGTATACTAATGTAATTCATTCTCCTCAAAAGTTAGTTACGGAACATATATTATTCTGAATAGGTAGGTATTAAAATCAAAATACCACAATCACAGCAAACAAGTTAGTAAATAATGTTTTTCGTTGCTACCAGAGATGTCGCTACTGGTTCTAACCTACAATCTCGTGTAGGAACGTATCGAACCATGCTTCCAACGTTGTAACGTCGTTTGACGTGGGTCAAACTTACCGACAAGAGCCCGAAGTGTCATGTGGCGAACGTAACACATGCAATCCGTCAGCGCTCTCCCACACGATGTGGCGAATGGCCATGTGCCCAACGTTGTAAGGCATTCGCTACATCGTGTGGGACCGGCTTAATCAATAAATCTCGGATGTACTATAATAAAATCAAATTCAAGCGGATAACCAAATGGAAATGGTATTTACCATTTTGGGTTGGTATTTACCAATCCGTTCAAGCGAGTGTAGTTATCAGTTTGGTTATAAGATCCGTGACGTCACGAATCAGCTGTTATATGTCATAGTTATCACCGCAAAATTGTGGTATTTACCCAACTCAAGAGTAGTTTTATATTTCTGGTTATTATTTGAAATGTGACAAGTTAGAATTTTGCCGGGTATTGGATATTGTTACTGTACTTCAGCTTCATTTTTGAGAAAATTGATACAGGCTGACTTCAGTTTTACCATAAAGTGGAGCACCTTATTAGTAATACTCATTACGGTTGTTGGGGACACTTTAAATGTAGTTCCTATGCTTAACAAAGTATCCTGTGTAGCCATATACAAGAATATTAAAATATGGCCATATAAACTCACTAGATGATATCCACCTGTATACGGTTTTGCTAATTTCTTTTTTCAAAATTTCTGCTGAATCAATAAATGTTTTCTTTGACATGCGGAAAAATTTAGAGAATTGAAAGTTATCATAGCTACAACGCCATGGTTCCATCATTAAAAAAAAAATCTGAAAAAAACATTTCTCCCATGAATATTATGAAAGGTTTCTTATTTAAACTTTCCATATGCAGTTGTAGACGAAAAAGCACCGACTATTAAGTGATAATAAAAATAATCAGAGATTATATACGCGCTTTTCTAAAATAAACAACCTGCAACAAAACCGCGGTTAAAACCAACGCGTTCAAGCGATTCGTGTAACTGACGTCATCAACCCGTGTGTCATCTTGAACCATATTATAACCGCGGCACATAACACAGAAATTTTGGTTATTCGCTTGGATTTGATTTAAGTTTCTTTTCTATAATCAAATTCAAGCGGATAACCAAATGGAAATGGTATTTACCATTTTGGGTTGGTATTTACCAATCCGTTCAAGCGAGTGTAGTTATCAGTTTGGTGACGTCACGAATCAGCTGTTATATGTCATAGTTATCACCGCAAAATTGTGGTATTTACCCAAGTCAAGAGTAGTTTTATATTTCTGGTTATATTTGAAATGTGACAAGTTAGAATTTTGCCGGGTATTGAATATTGTTATTGTACTTCAGCTTCATTTTTGAGAAAAATGATACAGGCTGACTTCAGTTTTACCATAAAGTGGAGCACCTTATTAGTTATACTCATTACGGTTGTTGGGGACACTTTAAATGTAGTTCCTATGCTTAACAAAGTATCCTGTGTAGCCATATACCACAAGAATATTAAAATATGGCCATATAAACTCACTAGATGATATCCACCTGTATACGGTTTTGCTAATTTCTTTTTTCATCATTTCTGCTGAATCAATGTTTTCTTTGACATGCGGAAAAATTTAGAGAATTGAAAGTTATCATAGCTACAAAGCTATGGTTCCATCATTAAAAAAAAATCTGAAAAAACATTTCTCCCATGAATATTATGAAAGTTTTCTTATTTAAACTTTCCATACACCGTTGTAGACAAAAAAGCACCGATTATTAAGTGATAATAAAAATAATCAGAAATTATATACGCACTTTCCTAAAATAAACAACTTGCAACAAAACCGCGGTTAAAACCAACGCGTTCAAGCGATTCGTGTAACTGACGTCATCAACCCGTGTGTCATCTTGAACCATATTATAACCGCGGCACATAACACAGAAATTTTGGTTATTCGCTTGGATTTGATTTATATCTGTACTGTACATTTTATTGTCACATTTCCCATCCACTTAAAAAACTAAAACTGATATGTGAACAAAACCTCCCGAAATTATCGCCAACGTTACAAATTAACAAAAAGATGTCGCTTTTGTTATCAGCTGTTCACCTCAAAGCGTGACGGATACTCGTGACGTGAAATAAGGTTTACACCAAAAAAACCTGGCACTCGAAGCAGTCATTTGTCATATGTCATCATCATGTTTTGTGATTGTCATAACGCACGTGTGAGGATGCCTGTTTATTATTAATTATATACTTCATTCGACATTCGACAACGACACTGATTAATTGTTATCATTCAAACATAAATCTACACAATACCCTTCTGCACTGATTGCTTCACCTAAACTGTTTAAATACTTCGTTGTTTAATACAGATAACAATACGGTAACTTATAACAATTATTCGATAACATAATACGTAATCCTCATTTCTTCATCATTTCGAACAGCGCTTGGGACAGTCATACAAAATTGTGCAGTGCACCTGTTGAAGAATTGGAATGGAAACTCCATCTCAACCTGAGACCCTTCCTGCAGATCAGCAAGCAAAGAAAATGAAGGCCAGCTTACAACACTGGTCACCATTAAATGATGGTTTTGCAATGCCCGACCACAAGCCAAAATGTAAATGGCATATGAGTGCTGACAGGAATGCTACTCCACATCATACAGAGGACTGGTAATCGTCTTTAAGCTTTATTTAATAGTGCTTTCACTCATGGCTTTCACCTAGCTTCTAACAAAGGCAGCATGTTTAATCGAATGCAGGGGCACTATTATAAATTCTTTAGGAAAAGCACCAGATTTCTTCACAAATATAGTATCTTTCCATGTTGAAAGTAAACAGATTTCACAGTGATGGTGCACTTAGCATAACCACATATTTGGGGGTTATTGCAGGTTTAATGTGAAAAAATCTTAGATGGAGCACATTTTATATGGGAACTTGTTTTTCTAAAATACCATTTTCCAGCAACAACTTGATAATAATACCCAAATAATAATAATAAACGTCTTTTTTAAATAATATATACAATACATGTATATATATATATGTATATAACAACAAGTAGGAAAATAATGGGCAAAATCCGCAAAAAGGAGGAAAGTGGATTTGAGCTGAAAATAGGATAGGTAACTCGAGCGATACGTATTTTTGCTGGTTGGCTTCATCAGGCCTGAATTGAATGCACATATGAAACTACAAAAGTAGATTCACATGCCCACACATCCGGATACGGGTGTAACCTGAGGAAACGAAGTTGGAGGGGGAAAAAATGACACACTAAGTCCACAACAAGAGCCAACCTACACATTGTAATATAAATATATTTTTCTACTTGTTGTTATATACCTTTCTCCACATGATCATATTCTCTATATATGTATATATTATAGTAATTTAAATTATCATTCTTGATTCTAATTATTATCTAAGATATTATTATATATATATATATTTTGACAGCTTCGAAAGTCCCATTCTACTTGGTACATTCGAGTATTTGAAAATGAGTGAGACAAATGTTGTGTCAAGTTATTTAGCATATTTTGTCTTTTTTAAATACTATAATGTAGCGGGAGCATCCCTCTCTAACGCCCAGTCCTGTGATGCAGACATATCTGGTTTTGTTGCCCGATGTTGAGGATATTATCGAATATGCTATATTTCAAAGTCTAATAAAATTAAAAGTGGTAAATGGTAATATATCATAGTACCTTACATACCTAGGTGGAAAATGCCATTTTTGTCCTCGCATGGAATATACATATATAAAAATGCTCAGCCAATAATGTGCATATGTTTGAACCAAGGTATGTATGTACTACTTTCTTTTTACAGGAAGAAGTACACAAAAGTATTGTCAAATGCATTGGATGCTATTGGAAATACACCAATGATTAAGTTGAATAAAATTCCACAAGCAGAAGGCTTAGAATGTGATGTGTGTAAGTAAAGTTGAATAAATGACAATGATTAGATACTTTGTAAATTATTATCTTAATGTTTCAAAATTTTTGTTTTGCATGGAATTATTCCATACACAATTTATAATCGTATAAAAAAGTTGTTTTGAGACTATTGATATGGGTGTTATATGCTATTATGCAATGATATTGCACAACTAGAAATTATTTATCAGCCTGTAAGTTAAATTGTTTTGATTTTCCATGATGTGTAAATAGACATTTGTAATTCTTAAAAAAATATTGTGCTTTTTTTTTTTTTGATGGTTTGTAATGAAATTTGAATCTCCCCTTTTTACGTACTGTACTGTATCAACAATTACCGAGATTTTTTTAATGGGCACTTTATGATAATAATAACATTACTAAATTCTTAAATTTTATTCTTCTAATTTTCTTCCACTAAATGGCCAACCATAGACAGCAGTTTCGAGCTATAAATATTCCTCGAATTCCTTAGATTGATGTGGTTGTAGTGGTGGATTTTGCACCAATCTGGAAATAATACTTACTGGTGGAAATATACAAGGTGTCCCAGAAATAACACGCCAGGGTAACACGGGAGGTAGATTGGCTTCAGATCAATCAGATAAAATGAACATGACCTTAATAAAAGTTTTCTAGTTTTCGAGATAATGCCACTTTTAAGTTTTTGCTCCTTTTTTGCCTGATATGGCTATAAAAAATTCAAACATCATTAATGGTAGCCCAGGAAAAAAAGCATAAGTTAGAAGTTCTTTATAGCCATAACAGGCAACAAAAGGAGCAAAAAGTGATTTTTTGAAAAAACTTAAAAGTGGCAATATCTCGAAAACTAGAAAACTTTTATAAGGTTATGTTGATTTTATCCGATTGATCTGAAGCCAATATACCTCCCGTGTCTCTCTGGCGTGCTATTTTTGGGACACCCTGTATACCTTCATTAGGCTTGTGTTACTCTTTGCAAATTTTGTAAGAAGTACCATGTTTTGAAATAATCTAAAACCATTATCTGCGAACACCCGCACTTTAAAAAAATAGTACTAAAAATATGAATTTAATGACAGAACTGTCAAAAAATTGACTACTCTTGTGTATGACGTTTCTATTCTTTACAGTTGTGAAATGCGAGTTTTTCAATCCCGGCGGCTCGGTGAAGGACCGAATCGGTTACAGAATGGTATTAGAAGCTGAAAAACAAGGAGTTCTGAAGCCAGGGTACACACTGATTGAACCATCTTCTGGCAACACTGGTATTGGGATAGCATTGGCAGCTGCTGTCAAAGGTGAGTGCATCCCGAGTTTGTTAATTTTAGAATGTTTTTCTCTTGTGTGAGTCTCTTTACAATAGGATAAGCTAGGCCACCACAACTACTAAAGTGGTTTACCTTTACCATTCAGAAAATGTGACCTTAGAGTCGATGATCATATCAATTCTTTTTTATAATTGTGACTGAGAGCGTCGCTACTTATTGAGAATAACTCTTTATTATACAGGGTGTAAACGTTATCTTATCATTATTTAAATGGGTGATAGACGGGTTAAAAGAAGCAAAAAGTTTCATATAACATGGAGGTCAAAACGGCATTTTTTTGGGAAAAGCGACTTTAAAGTAAAATAAAATCTGACAACGCCGCAATGCCAGACGCAAATTACAACGGAACGCAGTGTAAATAAAGATGGAGTTTGTTATTTTTGGCTCTTAGATATTATTTCATTATTTGATAATGTACTCGTAAAATGCAAACAAGTAAAAAAGCGGACTTACCACTAACTTTCTCAGCGCTTCACCTGGTGTGTGAAAGTTTATTGAACCCATACTGCACTTTTTTGTATTTAAAGAAGGTGTTGAAAATGTCGTCCTCCACTTTCCACACAAGCTTCATTACGACGAACCCAGTTTCTTCTTATTCTAGGTCCTCGAAGTTATCCATTTATTATTTCAGCCGCATTAAATTGTTTTTCGCGAAGTTGTGCTTCAGTTGTTATTGGACCAGGCCCATAAACCATCCCTTTAAGTTCTCTCCAATACCAGAAATGGATCGGATTGAGGTCAGGAGATCTTGCTGGCCATTTTCGAGGATCAGGAGCATTTCGACCGATCCAGCGATTTGGATAATGTTCATTCAAATACTGAATGACGCCTCTAAAATTGTGTGGTGGTGCCCCGTCATGAAGAAACCACAAATTCGGTCTCCGTTGTAATGGCATGTTGTCTAAGGTCTGTTCCAAAAGTTGCGGTAGGTTATTGGCTAGAAAGCTACGGTATCCTTCTCCTGACAACTTTGGGGGTAACTCGAAAGGACCAATTACCTGATCGTCGAGAATACCCGCCAAAGTATTTATTTTAAAACGTTGTTGGAAATGACATTCACGAATGGTATGAGGATTTTCTTGGACCCACGTGTGAGTATTATGAAAATTTAATATCCCGTCTCGCGTAAAAGTAATACATTGGTCCGTCGCTAGAATGTTTTTAAAAAAATCCGGATTTTCAATGTTTTTGTGCAAAAATCACTGACAGAAATGCAAATTTTCCCGTAGGATTCTATGGACTATAGTATGCGATAGTCCTACGCGGCGGCCTAATTCCCGAGTGCTGATATCTGCATTGATGTCCACGATATTTAAAATTTGTTCCTCCTGCTCTACAGTAACCTCTCTTTCACGAGTGCGAATATTAGTGGGCTGAACACTTCCTGTATCACGAAGTCTTTGGTACACTTGCACAAATGTCCTTCTGTCTGGATGTACCCGTTGGCGAAATCTGTCACGATTAATTTGAGCTGCAAAATTTAAATTCTGACGAGCTTCACCGTAAACTAACAACATGTCGGCGAACTCTTGATTCGAGAACATTGTAAATAAACACGACGACGTACGCGAACAAAAACAAAACAACACGCCCGATGCTCTGCTCGACAAAACGATAAAGTAATTTATCCATGCAAAACGATGACTAACCACTGTTACCGGTTGAGATCGATTGCCGGTTCGATAAGAGTGATGAAAGATCGACGCGCTGTTGTCATGTGTGTTTTAAATATTTAATTTAATGAAACTTACTGACTACAAATTTTGGCTTAACTTACAAAAACTTAATGCCATTATTTGTTAATTACCCAATTTAAAAACGCTTTAGATTAGATTATGAAAATTAGTTAGATTGTGATGATTGTGGTCGATATAAAGCACTTAAAATTGTTAAACTATAAAGCCATTTAGACAAAAATCTATCGACTTTTGGACCATGGGTCATATGAACTTTTTGACTTGTTTTGACCCCCCTATTACCTATTTCAATAATGACTACCATAAGGTTTACCCTGTATTATACATTTTTATGTAATTTATGTTTTCTTTCTGTATCTTCTATCTGAAATATTTTGCAGGATACAGATGTATTATCGTGATGTCAGAAAAAATGTCAAATGAAAAAGTAGCCGTGTTGCAGGCGCTCGGTGCAGAAATCGTTAGAACACCGGTAGATGCTGCTTCTGATGCACCAGATGGCTTGTTTGGTGTGTCATATCGGCTTAGAAAAGAAATTACGAACTCCGTTATCTTAGACCAGGTCAGTAAACAAGAAATGATCTTCGTTTTCATTTTTTATTGTACCCTACAATACCAAAATCTAAGTAAAGTTGAAAAGGAGTCATATACTTTCAGAGTATTCTATGCACGGCTTCTAAACCAAAACTATTATTTATGGCAGCAAAATCATCATATTCTCACGACATTACACTTTGGATTTTTTGTATCCTAGATTGTTTGAAAATGATAGAATTTAGGGATGAACTTATTGAAACTCAAATTGTAATGTTGCTTGTGTAGCCAGTACTACTCGGAAGACATTTGTTATTACTTTTAACATTAATAATTTGTAATTTTGATTCATTGCAGTATTCAAACCCTGGAAATCCTTTAGCACATTATGATAACACGGCTGAGGAGATTTTCCATCAGTGCGATGGTAAAATAGATATGATGGTGAGTCATTGATAAATTGATATACGCATTATAAGATATAGAGATAAAAGTGGATCAAGTAGGTTGACTGATACTTCTCACACAATGCTGTCATAGTCTATGAAGATTGTTTTGGTTTATTAAATTTTGAAGTGTCATGTATTTCTAAAACTAACGTGAAATGGATTGGATTCATAAAAAATAATCGACCAAAGAACGTAAATTTGCGACACAGAATCATCCTACTCGACATTGCTTTAACAACCTCAATGTAATTTAATAATAATAGCAATAGCCTTTAAGCCGGCTGGTGTCAGCTAAGAGCTGCTTTTCATACCAACATGTTTTTCCATGATTTTATTTCTATAAAGTGTTGTTTTTAAATAAAAGCTTGCCAAAAAAATGTTTCCTTGGAAATTATTTTTTTTATACTTGAACCTCCACGAAGGTCCAAGGTCTAAACACCGATAGGTACCGCCATACGGAATCTAGCAAGGGCACATGTGTGCATGCGCATATTCTGATCCCGCCTTAGATATCAGCCTGGTGGCACCTCTGCGTTCTACCGCTACAATGTTGTGTTTTTACCAGATTTTATTCAAAATGTTGACGCTGTATCAGTCTCTGGTAACCGGCGTCAATCTGTCTAAGAAACTCTAATAGATATGTTAATATACTAAGTGACAAAAAAGGTAAACATCTACGTATTAGAATTATATTATTATAATTATATTATTAGAATTCTAGAATTTTTTACATATCGATTTATCTTGGCATGAACAAGTGATAAAATGGTCAGGTTTTTCTGTTAAGTTTTTGTGGTGGCTGCGTGTATCGTTTGGTGATGAAGAAGCATTCAGTTTTCGTACAGTTACGGTGTCAGTTAAATGTTAAATTTCGTGTAGCTTATTGAGAAGCCTTTTTGTAATTGCTTAAAATGCCAGTTAAGACTTCTGGCTCTGAGAGACAGATTCAGTGGTACTCGAGCCATCGCTAATCAGTGGTTTGAAGAGCATGGAAGGATGGTTGGTATACGTACGGTCGTATATCGCCGAAAACGACAGTTTGGCTTTTTTTCTTATCGCCCACATTGGGTGCTACCTCTCACATGTGAACAGGACTTACACACGAAGTTGTTGTAGCCTGGAATGAGATACCCTAACAGGGTATCGACCACCTTATCGGCACGATGCCCCTCCTGTGTAAGGTATCGTGGATCCTCTACGCATTATTGAACTAGCTTTTGCAGTCATTTTACTAGTAGGAGATATTGAACATATATACCAAAAAAGATTAAAATCGGATAAACATACGTAGATGTTAAGCTTTCTTTGTCACTCAGTATACTTGATCTTTTTAGTGTAAAAACGAATGACAAGAATATTTTTGTAGGTGATCGGTGCTGGCACCGGTGGAACAGTAACGGGTATAGGTCGCAAATTGAAGGAAATTTCCCCCCAGACCACAATAGTAGCAGCAGATCCCTATGGATCTGTAATGGCTCAGCCAGAGTGTCTTAATAAAACCGACGTGACTTTCTATGAAGTCGAAGGTATCGGATACGACTTCATCCCCACCGTGCTCGACAGGGGCGTGATTGATAAGTGGGTCAAGACGGAGGACAAGGAAGCGTTGATTCTGGCTAGACGGTTGATCAGGGAAGAAGGACTGCTGGTTGGTAAGTTGTAATGATACAACACACTTTTATGTCGCGAGGATAATCTACCATAACTAGGACTATGGATGTGTATGGTAGATGTTTTCTTCCGTGAAATGATTTCTGGAACCCTTGGGGGTTATCTCGCGGAATCCGTATTCCTTTATAATTTTGTTATTTTTTATGTAATATTTATCTTAAATTCATTGGGATCAAATAGTTTACGCTTGATTGTGTATATATTTAATTGTATACAATTCCGAGGCATAAACTACCAACAAATCATCCATCTCATTATCCATCATAAACTCCCTGAGAGTAGGTTAAGGCCGATTATATTAAATGTCAGAAATCAATGACGTGCGAGTGTCATCCTTAAAATTTCGTGTATAATAATTTCGATAAGGATATTTTATAATAATCAAACGCAGAATGGCATAATATTTGAACAAAGTATCTGGCGTTAACAGGTGTATCATCTATACGTATATATGTTTTTGGATCTTTTATGATAGTTGGCTATAGAGATTTATGAAAATTTGGGGGTATGATATAATCAATAGGCGCGATTGGGCTAATTTATTTTCAAAATAATGTCACATCTCATAGGAGGGGACCTACGGTTCTATGTGCCCAGCAAAAGAATGCAAGAAGGGCAACAGCGAGGGGTGCCACAGGAACCGGTAGGTATGTCGGTATAATCTGAGAGACTGTCGTCGCTGTCAGATCTTCTAAGTTGATGATTTATTCCTGTGAGGTATTTTGATACCACTCACTGACAGCCTTTCTATCGGTGTTAACCATTCAGGAACCATTTAAATAGTTTACAGTGTTGTCACACGAGACAGCTTGAAAGCTCTTTTGCGACTTTCACCATGATCATCAATGCCAGCTTATAGCTATTTATTAAAATGAAAAACTGTGCAATAATTATAAGAGTACCTATTTGCGCATAGAGAATGCATTTAGTACGTTTAGCAGCGTTTTCAATGAATATATTGCAAATTACAGGTTCAAATACTATATTTCATACAAATTGTCCGGCAGCATCGCCGATTCCCAAGCTTATTTTCCTTTCATTATTTCGCTGAGAAGATGATAGTCAGTTTTATTCATTATTTAGATAATTAGGATAGAATGAAAATTAAAATGATAGCCATGGCAGAGTCTTGAAGGAACTGTCGAGTCAACTACTATAACTTTCTAGAATATATACTGACATTTATCCTCAAACAGTTGATAACCCAAGCTGAGTAAAATTAAATATAACAAAAAATTAGCATTTTATGAACAGTCGGAGGATTCTAGCCGCTCGAAAATTCAGAGGCGCGCTTATTAATTTTCCTCGTTATTTCAAGGATCAAGTTGCGGTGCTGCCTTGGCTGCTACTTTAAAAGCTGCCAAGGACCTGCCTGCCGGTAAAAGAGTAGTAGTACTTTTTGCGGACGGTATTAGGAACTACCTCACAAAATTTGTTAGTGATCAATGGATGGAAGCACGATTGTTTAAGCCTGCAGTCAACACGCACAACCACTGGTAAGTAACGCTGCTCTTTTGGAAATACCAACTTTTTGCTTAAAGGTCTGGGACTGAATCTGCATGGACACGTGCTGATATTGCAAACATCCTGCCTTATTAGTGCATATCTTTATTTAAATATGCGCAGATACCCTTACTTGAGCTACGATAATGGGTGCCTTATTGAGGTGTTCCTTATTAAGCTGTCCGTATTTCACGACAATTCAAGATCCGTGCTGCCAGATATAATCGCACGTTGGGATGAAAAAATGAATTGATATTTTTAGCCGTTCTGACATAGTTACAATCTTGAAAGTTTGGTCATTTCATTTTTATTGACTTTGATGTTATATATAGACCTCCTTAAATAGCGATGATTAGAATCACCTGAGGTGATGACAAAATTATACGGAGGAAATTTATAGCTCAAAAACCTTGACCCAAACCCTGAAACATGGTGTTTACTTTTAGAACAATTGAGAAAGCAGTTTACACTGAAAACGATAAAAAAGTATGTTATCCAAATGTTCAATAAAAGGGGGAAGTCAGTAAAGTCAAGTAACCGTGTACTTGAAACTTATCAATGAGTAAAATATAGTCAGATATAAAAAGTGCCTTATTTGTTCATCTAACAGTGTTTTATTGAATCTTCCTGCAATCTACCAATAAATATATTATAAAGAATAATATGTTCTATTTCCTCCTCGTTTGTCCTAGCCAATATTAATGCTTTCAGGACAACTTCTACTTTCAACGTCTTTTGTAAATATGCTATCAAAATCTAAGGTTAGAAAGAAAAGCGGCTAAAGAGTTCTGATCTACTGTCAAAATACGGTTTTGGTAAATATTCATTTGCGCCTAGGTACAGGAAAGGAGGTCGTTGATATGCAAGAGGAACAGTGTTGGAGCCAAGACCGATCCTTGGGGAACACCCGCGTTAACTTTGGTGAATGAAGATGAGAACCTATCATTAACGACGGATATCTTGCGGCCAGAGAGAAAGTCAGCCACTCAGCTGCAAAGCTTTTCTGGGAAGTCATACGATGGAAGTTTGCATATGAGGGCAGCGTGCCACATCTGATCGAACGCTTTCGTGATATCAAGAGCAACGACATGAGCCTCACCATAATGGATGAGTTTACTCCACAATTGCGTGACGTAAGCTAAGAGGTCTCCTGTGGATCGCTGGTGCCGGAAACCATACTGCCTGTCGCTAGTCAAGCCGTGACGTTCGAGGTAGTCCAAAAGCTCACGTGCAAATTTTCAGTTTTCTGGAAGGTGCCGGATTCATAATGATATCTGGAAGAGACGCGAAAGAACTGGAGCAAGCTCCGCTGCATACCTGTTTACAATGGTAGGAATCAAGTCCGGACCAGAAGCTTTGTTGATGTCGAGCGACAAGAGCACCGGCCTTACGGTCTTATGCCTGAATGTTACTTCCCGCATAGTGTATGGAACCCTTTGAATGAGTGTACCGTCATGTAGCCCTTTTTTTGAACCTATACTTGGGATAATATAGGAAAACAGCTGTTAAAGCTAGCAAAGGGATCAAAAAACGTTAGCTTACGTGAAAATTCTAACTGGACTGGTCCAGGCAATTAGATATTTCAGAGTATTTGTGCAATGAGTAAGAAGTGTCATGACCGTTGATTTACGTTTAGGTTAAACTAAATATAACACCAATGAATAAAGATATTTAAATCTAATAGAATCGAGTATATGGATGAAAAGTGGTAGTAGTAAAAAAAAATCTATACATAAGCGAGTTATGAAGGCTATTATTGATTTCGCACATTATATCTTTCGCCGCTATGCGCTTCGGGATATACATGTGCTCGACCGATAATAAAACTTACCAACCTATGTATCTAAATTACTATTATTGTTAGCAGTCTTCCAAGTGAGCGTTTGTTGAAGACAGTTATTAACAGTTTTACCGCGCTTGTTCTAAGAATGCAAGATAAAAAATGAATATTTACGTTTCATTTGTATTTTTAGGTGGTGGGACGTGCCCGCATACTGTTTAGAGCTGCAGACTTTACAAACTGCAACCCCCTCCATGACTTGTGACAGAATAATGAATATCATGAAAAAGTTTGGAGTGGATCAAATCCCTGTTGTGGATTGCAATAATGGGTATGTAAATCATATGTAGTAAGCAATGTCTGACTGTATTCTCTTATAGTTGGAATTCTCTTGTAGTAATTTTTGTTTCACCGTTTAACGTCCATGGTTCATACAAACTATATAACTTAATTTATTTTTAGGGGTGTTATTGGTGTCGTTACGCTCCAGAATTTAACGTCTGCTTTGATTGAATCTAGAATCAAACCAAATGAAAGTATAGAAAAGCTGATATCCAGAATATACCCGAAAGTCTATAAAACTACCAATCTTGGTGTCGTTGCTAGAATTCTAGAGAAAGAATCTTATTGTTTATTACTAGAATCTCATGGTAAGATATCCCTTAATTAACTCGTGAATTTCTGCTTTTTAGATAATAAGTACAGCTATTAAATGACATCCGTTATCATCTGAACAAAAAATAGTGCCAGTTATAGAACCTGTAGTTTTACCAAAGAGCGGTTATATCAAGAGAAGGCACTTCGTTGGACTGCTTTTACTCGAATAATCCGCCGGTCGCGTAGAGATATGACACGATGAAAACCATTCACAAATTAGTTAACTTGCAGAGTTTGACCTTTAGCATCAAAATACGTAAGATTTGATTAGTTTTTAACATTCCATACCAGTACGCTGTGCAGCCAAAATTTTCCGGTGGGCTCTTGGACCATAACTGGTTTACAAATAAAAACAACGATCTATGTGTGGACCGTCCTTGACATGGTTCTGCAGAACCATGCATGTACGGAGGGGCTGGTGCCAAGCTGCCATAAAATATTTATAAAACGCTACACTTATACTAAGCAGAATGGAGCTCAGCTCTTTTCACGGTTTTTGGTGGTAACGTCAAAAAGTCACACGAAATAAATAAACATATCGCCTAAAGGCCAGACTGTCTAGATAACTCGCGACCATGTCAAATAGACCGACGATTGGTCAAACAAGCAATTTGAATGTCAAGCTGACACTATTACCAAACGAAGTCGTGTATTCCGCGTATGGCCCTATTTTTTTATTCGGAAAATCGAATTTATTTTGTTCAAAATAGTCTGCTTCAGACTTAATACAGCGGTTTGCACGGACCAAAAGATTTTCGAATGATGTTTTTAGCTCATTGACTGGAATGTCCTGTTTACTTTGCGAGAGCCTTTCTGTACTTCCTATGATGACCAGCTGTATAAGACTGCTGAATCAAATATGATTGGCCATTTTATATTCACTATGTCTATAATATTAAATGATCGATTTCATAATATAAATATAAACCTAGAAGTTGATCGATTTTCTTTGCACTTGCTATAGGCAGCGGTGCAACCCAGGTAGATAAACCAGTTGGCATTGCAACTCATATTGATCTGCTTCAATTCATCACAAACAAACCTGAAGGTGGAAGTGTAGCAGCAAAGTGATATGATAATCAAATTGATTCTCATATACAATATACATGACGCTGGGGGTCTCTCTCACTTGAAGAAGTATTTGACATGACAGATACAATCATCAGTGTTGCTGGCAAAACAAGAAACGCGTTCTCCATTGTTTTTTATATCTATCGCATAAGTAGCTATCCATTTTTAGCATGCATGATGTTTAGCTCTCATGCGGTGCGTCAATTGAAGAGAGAAGAGACATTTGGATAAGGTATTTTGAGCATTTTTAAAGCATTTACGTTTTTGGGAGTATTTTTACAGTATAACATAAGTATAAAAGCAATGGAATGTGGTTTATCATACTTTACTCACAAAACTTCTTTTAGTGTGTTTTTTAAGAATTTTTATTTATATGGTTGGATTTTAATGTGTATTGTTGTTCAATAGATATTAAATAATATGTGTTCTATGATTTATAAACATACCCCTCCTAGCATTTAAGGTGGCACGTCCCTTTTTTTAGATTTCTTTTCAACTTCCTGTTTGCAGCCGTATTCTAAATCCTTTTCATTTGATAATTTCATGGTGTGTATAGAGATGACTAAAGAACAATGTTTTCTTTTTTTTGTCAAAAAATGCATTTTTTGTGCAATCTTTCTTCAATCGGAACTTGTTAACAAATATAAGTATAGCTCTGAAATTGCGTGTGAATATTCCTCTTTCACGGAAGAATGAAACGAGTGATTACTTTAGTTCTTATCACTTTTCCTTTTAGAAAAATCTTTGCTTTTCTTGAAAACCCAACTTGCTGCGAAACGAGGTTTCTAGAAAGAGTCGACTGAAGATTAACCACGAAGCGGAAGGTCTTCATCTTCAAGAACCGATGAAAATATCGACAGAATCCGGGATTTTGTGCGTTCAGATCGTCGGTTGACAGTCAGAATGATCGGGGAAGAGTTAAATTTGACTCACACCACCGTGCATCAGATATTGACCGGTGAATTGCGGATAAAAAAAATGCGCAAAAATGGTTCGAAAAACCTTTCGCAAGACAAGAAGGACAAAAGGAAAGGTGCCTTGAATTTTTTTGATTCTATTGAAAATGACCCCCATTTTCTGGAATGTGTCATATTACTGGTGACGGGTCTAAGGTGTTTGAGTACGACCCAGAAACCGAGCGCCAGAGAATGGAGAGGCACACTTCAATCTCTCCAAGGCCCTAAAAAAGCAATAAAGACGAAGTCAATATCAAATGAATGCTGATTTGTTTTTTGCATATCCACGGAATAGTCCTCAAAGGGTTTCTACCTTAAGGCCAAACGGTCAATTAACACTTTTACCGGGAGATTCTTGAAAAACTTTGAAAAAGGGTCATTCGTGTGAGACCAAACATCATGTTGAATCACGATGATGCTTCTTGTCACACAGCCATGTCAATAAACGAGTTATTGGCCAGTAAAACTATTCCTGCGGCTCTTCAGCTTCCATATTCACCTGACTTGAGTCCATGTGAGTTTTTCTCTTCCTGAAGTTGAAAAATCATCTCAAGGGAACTCATTTTAGGACAGTCGAAAACATTCAAACGGCAGTAACTGACCAGCTGAAGGCTATTCCAGTATCCGAATTCCAGCACTGCTATGAGGAGTGGAAGAACCATCTCCTGTGTGGCTTCAGAAGCAAGTTATTTTGAGGGTGACAATATAAAATTTAATTACATTTGAACAAAAAATTAAAAAAAAATAAGTCGAATTACTTAATTTACAAACATCGTATGCCACTACAGATAATCACAATATTATAATCAGCAACCATAGAAAAACGGTATACAAAATCGTGGCCAACAGCCTGAAGTAATTGAGCGTGCAGCCGCCTCCCCTCATCTTCGTTCTTCAACTTTATAAACGTCGATCACACCCATTCCCAGAGCATAATGCTCTATGCTCTGTTTGCTTTGGACTTGTATTTGACATATTTCCATATAATCAACTCTAATACAAGCAGTGAGATGCTTAAAAAATAACCAAGTAACAGTAGCTTAAATGCAGCCTTGAAATGAAACATTCTCAGTACATTTTCTTGCTCAGGAACATAGTGTTTCCACTGTTTTCTGTGCTTCATCAACCCAGATGATTGTAAAATTAATATAAACCTGTCAAGTTTTGCTGTAAAAATAGATTGTCTTTGTAGATGATATACTGTGGCACATGGAAAAACAGCTTGAGGCATCGTCTCAAACAATCGTCCTCCGCAGTTTTTGAACATGCACTCTTCAATTAAAAGCTTCGCAAAATATTCTCCCAAGAAATAAGCGTATGAAGTTTGTCCTCGTAAGATTCCTTCTACTCTTTCACTTTCGCTCATCTCTACATATTGTTTTTTTACGCAAAGGTCTTTAGTTAAGTTTGATGTGTGTATATAGTATTCTACTATGCCGATTTTCAGTCCAGATTCTTTCAGGTCTTCCAATGTCTTTATACCCTTTCCGTATCTATTGTGGAGAAAAAATTTCATCAAATTTCCCTGAAAGCTACTGCTCAAAATGTAACTTCCGTAGATCCATAGGATCAAAACGTATCTCCCTCTAGTCTTGATTTGAAAAATCGTCTGAGATACACAGAATAATATTCCCCAAACTATCAAAAATGAATAATTTGGGCTTTTTTTGTAGACGATGGACACAAATATAGTCAGAACAATGAGAGTGCTTAAAAGAGTTACCCAAATGGCTTGAGTAAACATGAATATGACGTGTAATTCTGCTGGTACCAGTTGAGGTTTTGGCACCACGAAGTATTTGTCGTCTCTGCTTATTGGGAACGAATAATCCACATCCTTGACGTAGAATAACTGAAACAAATGAGTCTGTAATAACAAAGTATACGCACTTACGATGCGTAAAGACATGGCTGCTATTTAGCATAAAAGTGCTGCACCCCTAGATCGCTTTACGTTGGCTGAATCCTCTCAACGTATTTTGTCCTCCTTCGGTTGTTGATGTATAACATCATTGGCAGTAGTTTCGAACGCAGTAGGGAGTTTTTAATGTTTTTATATTGCGAGGCAATATCTTTTTCTCCAGTATAGAAATAATTAGCTCCTTTTGTTGCAGAGTGTAAGGGCGAGCTTATTTTATAAGGTTATTTATTCCTTATCCAGCACTGTTGCTAAAATTCGCAGAGTTGGAAAAGTTTAATTAAAACAATTTCAGGTTATGAAAACATATTGGTTAACATGTGAAGAAATATGAGTTTTAGATCTCAGATAAAAATAAATGCAAGATTAGGTAGTGGTTCTTAATGAATTAAACTTTCTTGTTTTTTGTTATATGTACATGCAATGTAGCAAGGATCAAGTCAGTCGAACAAGCCCATACAATTAATCCATAGACAGTTTTCCCTGCCCTACCGATAGTATCGTCTATCTGGCAACGTCGCTCACCATACTTCACCGCTCGATGCATAAACAGGTCACTCGCCGTGTGCTGTGCGGGTACGAATCCTGTCCAAGGAGAAATTTTTCTCCGGCGGATCTGGTAGGCGCAGCTAGCATGTGTGCATGTTGCATGTACACGTGTTTCCTCGCCAGAGTCCGTGTGGCGTTCCCCCTTTCCCCTGTATCCCTCTATAGCCCCACGGTACCCAATGGGTGTTTAGGCCTTCGTGGTAGTTGGAGATTAAAAAAAAAGGTATATGTAAAGGCAAATATACGCGAAGTCTGTGAAATATGTCTAATCGGAGCATAAAATTACCGAGGTTGGAAGCGTCAAAAGATTGAGGTATACCCTCCCCCACTTCATACAATCCCCAATCTTTGATCCGCACATTTTTTTGTGAAAATTATCAGGAGCCTTCAACATGACAAAAATTGATGTTTTATTTTTTTGTCTACAAAAATCACTAAGAATATGGGCCTCCTGGATATCCCCCACACGCTCTTCAATTTCCAATTGCCGATATGATGATGATGATTCCTCACAAATAATACTGACAAAAACAATTATAGCACTGAATTTTTAAAATATGTTTTTTTTTTCGGATTAAGCAGCTAATGATACAACTTCGTCGTGCCTTTGAATCATTTCGTATCTTACGTCCTTTTCAGGGAAAGAATGAAAATAATTTCATTACATGTCGAAAAATTGTGAAAATATAAGAACTGAAACCTGCATAGAAGCGGAAGATGGTCATTTTCAACATTTGTTGTATTTTGTCCAATTGTTACTTTTCCATTTTTACGTTATAAAAAATGGCTTATAAATAAATATAGTGCATCCATCAAATTAAAATGATTATAAGTTTTTCATAAGTTGTTTTTATTTTTTCCTCGAAAACAGCCTGTTATATGCTTCAATTCTTAACGTTAAGTATAGTATTTTTAAGCTCGGATTTTAGTATTGATCTTCCACTGAAGGTGCTAACATAGCGAATAAAATATTGAAACAGCTTGCTTGTCTCGTCAAATGCTTAGGATGAATCTCAATATATTTATATACTCCAAACTACATTATTTTTATATGTACCTGAGCGAGTCTATTTCCCATGATGTCCAGTTCTCCCCTCTTCATGACATGTGCGATATCATCTACAAAATTATTTGTGTTCGGGAATACTTTAATTTCCAAAGATGCATTTAAGGAATATGTAAACAACTCAAATACTTTTCTGTCATCGCCGACAAACATTCCATTTTCGTCTTTATAAAAATGTGGCTTTCTAAGGAAAATTCCTAAGCGTAGCGGGTTTCTGTTCAGATTCAGCGGTTTGTAGCTATATAACATCCTACAAAATGTGTCATCGTTTGTCAGTTTCTTGGTTCTATTATTGAGCGGTTCGTAACTATAGACCTGCAAATACAACCAACGAATTAAATTACAGCAAACGAGCAATTATTTTTGCAGCAATATTTATTTATAACTGGCAACTATAGCCCAGGCATATCGCGGCTACCCCAGCTATATCTTGACAATATTGCCTGCAATGTATGAACACACTCGCAGAATTGCTCATCAGAAGGGCTACAAAACCAGGCAAGAATGATTGACGAAATTATACGTGTCGCCACAGCTTACATTTATTTATTTATACATAATTTTCCATCAGACTAATCCAATTACAGGGCAATATAATGGTAACTTAACTAATTGTGTGCATACAAGAACGAACATAAAAAATCAGCTATTGTAATAGTCCCTGATGTTGACAAGATTTTACTGACACAATTGAAATTAATCAGAACTGTCAGCTTTGGAATTATAATTATTGCATTTAGACTATAACGGTGAATAAAACAATACGTACATTGGTACGGGAGATATTGCAATAGAAAGTTAAAGTCTTTCTAGAATTTAAGAGCGGTATACACAAATTCTTCCTCTAGAGAATTTCTGGTGCATCCACTATGTTGGGCAAAAGCTTATGGAGGAATGTCAGACCAGCAATGCTACGTCTCAAATGTAGAGACTCTAGGTTGGAACGTCACATCAGAATAAATTGACTAACGCACTTTCTGGATATAGGTTATCAATTTTATAAGTACAATATTTAAGAAATGTTTTATAAGATATTTATTTATATATTATGCATAGAAAGGGTTCTATATCAAAGAAGCGTACTGATGTTTTGGTCGCTCCAACGAAAGATAAATAGTTTTTAGTGCTGCTTCGGAAAAGATAGGCGGTTACGAATTATAAAACCTAGAATCCGTCTCGGAAGTGGCGCGTGCTACATGGACAGAAAAGTCCAACCTATTGGAAAATGTTACACCAAGATCTTTAGTTAGTTTAGTTTATGGGATAATCAAAGATTTAGGTGCTTCAGAACTTAACTTTCTCGAGAGACCAGATCAATTTCCTAGTGCAGCAACGTTACAGTCAGGCGAATTCGCACAGCAAAGCTATTTCGCGTACTCTTAATACATGGAAAATCAGAAATCAAAATTAAGTGCCTGGGAATATGCACCCAAGGCTGGCAGATCTGCCTAACTTTGGACTGCTACTAATGAACAAAAGTCCTACGGACCTCCCAGACATTTCTGTTTAACGTTTGAGTGTTCCATCAATTTTAGGATCCGAGAATGAAAACTTATTCTTACCTGATACTTCTTACTCTTAATCATAACAATCACAGCGTATCTAATACGTAATTTAAAATGCTGACTTAAGGCTGCTGATATCTTGTTGATTTTCATAGATGCTCCATTTATAATATAATGTATCTTAGATTCCGGATTCCACAGGAAACTGCGATTCAGATTTTCAGTACAGCGTACTAGATCCTCCAATTGCTCAACAAAAACGAAGAAGTCGAATAGAAATCTTGTATAGCGATGCTCAGCTTGTTCAAGTTCGAGCATGATCAATGCATTGCAATCTTTCACAAAAATATTACTCTGTATTGAGGAATTAAACATGTAAAAGCACGATGAGACTCCACATTTTTTAATAGCCTTGAAATAATGCTCCAAGTTATTTTCGATTGGGTCTTTGGAAGTTACTGTGAAGATATTGGGGCGTATTGCCTGTATGATAGCGGGAGCGATTATCAAGATTAATTTCAAGCTGTCCATGCTGTACCATCCTGCAGTTAAAATAGTTCTATTCAGTTCAATTACCCATTGGACTGAATTTTTAGTGAATGATTGCTACACTCGAAAGCAATGAAATGTAGATAGATATTAATTATGAACATGGATTTTAATTATAATTATTGCTTTACCACAGTGTAATGATACTATTATAAAATATAGATACATATCAGTACACCAACTTTCATAGGAGTATAATAAAAATTAGACCAGTTGACAACAATAAAGGTTCATTAATGACTGAGTTGTATAGTAGCACTGATTAATGTACTCCCCAACTCTATACCTCCTGTATTTAGTGAACATAAAAAAGATATGGAGAGAAACACGGATGTTAGATCGAGAGGGCGCTAACAAAACTGGTGTGTGGACGCTTGATTCGCGCTTTTTTTCTAAAATACCCATTTCTCTCTCTGTCTCCGTCGTACACATCAAATATGGGACTCCAACGATTCTGTGACAATTCTATATATATATAGATTAGAGTGGACGTTCACAAACACTCGTTTACATCGTTACAGCAATGAAGCCAAGTAGAATTGCAGTAATCTCCTCTGGATTAATAAAAACGCACACCACATTGCTTTTAAGGAAAATTGTTTATTCTTAAACATGGCAACCTTGAAATAAAATATATTCCTCAATCTACCTCGTAATTTTTGTTAAAATTTCTTGTTCTCAGATTTTCTCAACGACGAAAAAGGCAAATCTTATAATTTGTCGCAATAATCCCACATGTGGCAACGCTTTCATCTCAAGACGGTGATTGGCACGTGTATATAGTACTGAGCATATATGTTTGGTGGCACCACGGTGTTGATGCCCGTTTTTGCACAGGCATGGCTTCCATTTGAACTGGGTATCTTTTGATGGTATGTTCTGGCAAGGAATCTTCCAGTTACTCTGCAGATTTTTCTATACGACGAACATTTATACACTGAAAACCAAATTGGTGTGACGGCTTGAGTTCAATGTGTACGAGAGAGAAGTGTGTATATACACTTATATTAGAAAGCGATAGAAGCCGGCAGGATAGTCCTTGGGTTGCTTTGCAACACTGCATCCCGTACATTGTAAGGCAAGGTTTTGACCTTCATGATCATAGATGATCGATTTTGGTCCGTACCCATCTAGCGCTCATTGGGGAGTATCGTCCATCAAAATTAAAATAAATAATTCTAATCAAAATGAAAACAAAATATTAAATCAAATGTCCGAGCAGTCCTCCTTCTTTTGGTTTGACAGAGCCTGTGCGAACATTTTCTGGTGTAGGATGCCAACGCGACAGATTGCCCCATCTTCTGCTAAGCAATGTGGTGATGACCTCCGCTCTTCAGCCGGCTTCATTTAGAACATGTGTCGATACACAGTTCTCGTGCCTCTCTCTCGTACACATTGAACTCAAGTCGTCCGACAAATTTGGTATATATATATATATACATACATTTCTAAATAAGTTGCTAGTTTCATATTCATATTTGTGTTTTAGCTCCTGAAGATGACAACATAGTTTGGCGAAAGCTCGAGATTACCCGAGCTTAAGATTTTCCAATTCCCAATTAACAAATTAATTGTATTTTTTGCCCAACTGGTCGTTGGCAATGGCAATGACTACTGCTCGCATAATATATAACTCACTGTCACCACGTGCAACAGACGTACGAGGTTAGAAGTGATTTTGCTGTTTCCCCAAAACGCAGTTCTAGTTTTTAATAGCTTGAGTATGTTTTACAATTTTTAATTTGTCCAGGTTTATTGATATAGTGGTAACACCTAGCTATTGTTTCCGTCGTTACCAACAAACCAAATGTGTCCGGTCTTTTGGTTTTACAATTGCAACAAATATTCTCGTTCACGTCCAATGTGTAGATTGGCTCTTGTTCGGGACTTCGTTTGTCATATGTTTTCCCTTCTCCATCTTCGTTTTCTCAGGTTACACCCGTATCCGGATGTATGGGCATGTGTATCTACCTTTTCTCTTCTCTTGTCAGACAGTATGTATCGTGTTCCTCAACCCCCAGTCATTAAGAAAACGTAAAAAACAGATGGTTCTCAGTTGGTACCCAGCACGTTAAAATTTGTATATTGTACTTTTGGGCGTTCCGCCGCACCCGGCGCTGCGCAAGCGGAATATACTTCCTTACGTGTATATTTTGCAGTCGATAGAAAACCATGCGACGCACAAGTGAGGACCGCAAGCAAGGCAACATATCGAAATATTATCATTTTGAGGTTGCAAAAAATATCTGCGAACGCTGGCATGACACGAGGCAACACTGGCTGCTGCTGAGCACTAAAAACTCTTTAATATTTGAACTGAGGGAAATTTACATTGGACTTTCTCCGCCTAAATGGCGGCCGTTTCTGACACTGACTGCGGAGTTTCATAGCTTATTATTATTTAAGCATGATTTAAGCTGTGGTATTACTATGCCGTCAGTATTTATCGTGGAATGTGGTATTTATTTTTCAGTAATTATTGATGAGGAGGGAATGATAATACAAACAAAATACTGATCTTGTGACATTCGCCTAATAAGATTAAAGAGGACAAGAATTACGATTTCAAATGTGCCTAAGAATAAACTTCAAAGGTCAAAATTAGATTTTCTTTCACATTTTATTTTCGTATTTTTTAACTAAATTCTTGATTAAAATATTCGCCAGCAGTTCCGTTTTTGCCTATCTTTACGTTAGGCGGCGGTGCGCCTATTTTAAATCACAAAGCTTTGTAAGTGAATTACGAACAACTGAATAAAATCCAAATAACTATTGTCAGAAGTTATTTGGAAGCAGTTATCTTAGGCACGAAAATGGTGGATAGGAATACTTGCACACTACAACTTTGGCGTTTTATGAATTTTGGTTCACCTCTGTTTTTGTGTCAGTCGGCATTCCTCGTTTATTGTTTTATGCTAGACTTGACGTTTCAACCATCCATTTAATTTTGACATTTGACTGACTTGACGCTTTATTTTGGCGGCAACTGAGAAGTCTAGAACTGGCAGGGCAAGAAGTTGTTTTTTAATTATAATTCTGTTTCTGACTATCTGAAATTTTTTTCAAGATGAGTGTACTGTGGGCAGACAAATACCGCCCAAAGGAGCTTTCTGCTCTTGATTATCATAAGGAACAAGCTGCTAATCTGAAAGACCTGACAAAAGAAGGTGATTTCCCCCATTTGCTAGTTTACGGTCCTCTTGGGGCTGGCAAGAAAACCCGTATCATGTGCCTGCTACGCGAACTCTATGGTCCCGGTGTCGAAAGACTCAAAATGGAAACAATGTCCTTTACAACGCCATCAAATAAGAAGTTGGAAATTACTACAGTAAGCAGTATATACCATATTGAAGTGAATCCTAGTGATGTTGGAATATATGACAGAGTTGTTATCATGGACCTAATCAAACATGTAGCACAGACCCAGCAACTTAACGTAAATGCTCAAAGGGAGTTCAAGGTGATTGTCTTAACAGATGTTGATGATCTTACTAAAGAAGCTCAGCATGCGTTGAGGAGGACCATGGAGAAATACATCTCAAATTGTAGGATAATCCTTTGTGCCACCACAATCTCTAGAGTTATTCCTGCCATTAGGTCTCGATGTTTGTGTATAAGAGTACCAGCACCTACAGAAGATACTATCGTAACCATTCTGCAAAATGTTTGTAAGAAGGAAGATGTTAATTTACCATTGGCTTTTGCAAAAAAAATTGTGGATGTATCTAATAGAAACCTTCGAAGAGCTCTTTTGATTTGTGAAGCTTGCAAAGTGGAACAATATCCATTCACAGAAAATCAACAAGTGCCAGAGCCTGACTGGCAAATATTTATTCGTAAAACAGCAGAGCAAATGTTACAATTACCTAACATTAAATCGCTAGCAAAAGTCAGACAAAATTTCTATGAGCTTCTAACAAATGGCATTCCATCAGAAATCATTTTCAAAACTTTACTTGAGGAATTGTTGAAGAAATGTGACAGAGGCATGAAGACAAAAGTAGTTGAAGAGGCAGCTATATATGAACATAGAATGTCACAGGGAAATAAGGCCATCTTCCACTTAGAAGCTTTCGCTGTAAAGTTTATGTACCTTTATAAAAACATGTTAGAACAAATGGTGGAAGTCTATTGAGGATATACTTACTAGGAAGTTACATGATACCTGAGCTTTTATAGGCTCAAACACTGAAAGAACATTTTTAGAACACTGCTGCAGTTATTCCCTAACTTCTCAGGATTCCACTATTGCTGGTCTTTCCTTGTTTATATAAAATATAATTTTGAGCCTTTTCTATTTTTATTAAAAGTATTGTTAGTTGAAACTTTTGCTTTTGTGTTTTACAAGATCCTGACTGTAGAGAATGTTAACGTAAGTAGCAGGTCAGACTTCAAGTGGTGATGCAAAGGGAGAAAGTTTACATTAACACCGTTCTGTAAATGTGTTGATTTTAAAATACAGGGTCTCACACTCTTTTTATTGGAGAAAATCATAACCCTTTAGGCAATTTTGTTGGAATTTAGCAGGCATAGATGCTCCACAAAAAATGTAACATGTCATTTAAGAAAAACACATTTGCCTACAAAATTCCAACAAAATCAGTCACTTATTATGGTATTTGCAAATCAAATTGTGAAAGTTTGATACCTTGTATCTTTAGAAAGATATGAATCCATGTTTATAACATAAATATTAATCTGAATCTGTGGCTTGGCTCACGTGTGAAGTACTGTAAAGTATACATCATTCATTTTGCATTTGTGTGGAGGAAATTGGTTTCAGTCACCGAAATGCTATACCTATTCAAAGTAATGCAACAATAAAGTAATTTCAAATGTGTAATCAAAATAAGTAGTATGTGAAGTATCTCACAGACTGTGTAGCATATCTTAATATGTATGCTTAGAGTATTATAACAATTGTCATATAGTTGTCCAAGCAGTCACCATTTATTTCAAGGCATTTTGGGTAATAAAATTATTTGTTGTATCATTTGTAGCTGAGCCGTCCTTAGCAGATACGAGACCTGGGGCAAAACCTTTTTGCAAGGCCTTCTCTTGAAGAAAGTAGCCTACTCCGAAAATTATTTAAAATTCCCATGCAAAAAGGTGTTTTTAGCATTTTTGATGAGTCATTTCATCTCAAAACAATTATATACGTCATTTTTTTTTCATTTGCCAGGGTTCGAGTCTATGTTTATTTGTGATGTAAGTATACAATATTTCACTCTGTGTAAAGAAATGAGATAATGATTTATGACAATGGTCTATACTCTTCCACTTTAATTTTTTAAGCAATGAATGATCAGGAAAATTATAATAAAATTTAGGTCTGCCAGGAAATCAAATCGTATAAGAAATCTTTTTTTTTTTGTTATGAATAATCAATAATAAATAAGCACATATTTTCTTTATCTGTCTGACTTCTTTGAACTTTGGCTCTACACCCAGAGTTTCACTAAGTTCTCTTGCTACCAATGTGGCCGCCACAAAACCGTCAACTCTAAATTTCTGAAGAAAACTGAACTAATAGCCCTTGAAGTGACGGCGACGCAACTCCAGGCAGCGCGCAGGCAAGCATGAATCACCCACCGGCATGCGCGGGGTTCGGAGGCTGTCACCCCGGACCCTGCCGCCACTATCAAACGATGTTTTGCATTCTTTTGGTCCCGATTATCTCGTTCGTGGGTTTTGTAATTAATCAATAATGTGACATATTACGAGAGTAATCAGACTGATATTTTAGGCACGTATATTTGTACATTATTATATTATTTTCATTCAACCAAAACTTTTTACTTATTTGTTAGCGCCAGGCCTGGAGCGGCCGCTCCACCCTAAAGACGGCCCTGTTTTGTAGTGCAAATATATGGATTTTTCGGGAGCTACTCTCATGGACCGAGCTTTATTACTCGTCTGCAAACGATTAGCTTTGGGTTTTCTGGACATTTCAAAAACAACCAAGTAGTAATTACTGCAAAACACTAATAAAAATGCCTTCATTTAGTACTTATACAATTTTTTTAACGTGTGGAGGCCCCCTTACCCTGGAGGCCCGAAGCGGGCCGCATCATCCGCCCCCTTAGTCCGCCACTGCCTAAAAGCACATCAAAAATCACCACTTCTAATTACAATAGAACACAGCTATCCGAACCCAATAACTATTTATTCACAGTATTATGCTTGAAGTCAAATAAAACACCAAACAAATTTAAATCTCAACATGATATATCATGCTAAGAAAAGAAATGGCGAAATGAAGCAAATGCACGATACAAAATAAATACCCTATTTATTACGCTTACTCTTTTCGGTCGCACCAACGACTGAGCGCTTCCGCGACAGAAACCTCATGTCAAATCCGATTAAGCAGTTTGGACTGTAGCCCGTGAAATAAGTATTTCAAAGTTTTCGCGGGATAAAAGGAAGCCTATGTGCTATTCCAGACTAACCTATATCTGTACCAAATGTCATAAAGATTACTAGGAACTTGTCTTGAAATTACCCAAGGCAAAGGAATCATTCCCTGAAGTTTGGCCAGATACTTATCAACTTCCTGTATGCAACGAAAACCAAGAATAAAATTAACCAAACCTTGTCAGTGTGAAAAGTACTACAAGCTCCAAAAAAAAAAAAACAATTACATCTTGGAGAAAAACAATTTGTTAGTCTGTGTCTTTAAGTTGCCAATTGGTTGTTTGTAACTTGTGAATTCGAATATATTTTTACGACCTTAAAATATGTTTGTCTTATGTTTTCTCTGAACTACGTTTACATACCTCAAAACTTGCACAGACTTATCAAACCAGATAATTTCACTCAGTTCTCTGTACACAGTAAACATATAAACAATGAAATTTCTACTTAATTATGTATGTAAAAGAAAATTATAGATTCCTTCAAGTCTAGTTAAATTACCTGTAAATAAATGACCCATGATGATGATACCCCCCTCAATCTGTCTTCGAAATCTGTTTTGTTTTACGCGCCCGCAATATGATGATATATTTATAATCAATATACCTAGCATCGACATTTTTGTGAACATGATTTTATGGTGTATAAGCAACTAAGCACCGATATTTCTCCGGGCTAAGGTGATTACTGATTTGGTCTCCATTACCCTGTTATTTGCATCTATTAAGGATTAAGGGACACGACAAATCCCTCGGACGAAGAATATTAGGGACAGGGCCGACATAAGTGTAGAATGTCGAGACACTAATGCGAGCAGCTGACAAGAAAAAACGTTTTCCGTAGCAGTTATATTAAGGCGACTTTCTAACTGCCGAAACCGGCACCAACATATTACAAAGGAATTAGTAGTGTTTTCACATTATCCAGGTTGAAAACATTTCTCCTGGCACCGAAAATAATGTCAATGAGGGCCTGTTATCTTCATCGATTGAAAAATAAGTATAGATACTATGTAAAGGAATCGTGAAAACTCTGCATGTAGCAACTTTAGCGGAAGAGGCGGATAGGCAGTTGAAAAACTGCGCTTTTCAGTCAATCCTGTAGCGCGATAACTCTGTTTTCTAGACGTCATTTCATAGGGTTCTCGCGTAGCCAAATTTAGCGGCTAGAGGATCCCGCTATTATCGCCAATCTTCGATGACACGGCACTCGAAGGGGAACAAGAAGCTGGGATTAAAAAAACAATATAATATGTTATGCATTTCAATATCAGTTCTGCACATATATAATATAAAAATAGTGCCAAAAGTGTCTTATTCGTATAAACAACAATCTGTAAATATGAATAACAGTAACATTTTGTCTAAAGCATGTAAGACAGCTAGATTATACAAATATTAGGAAATTAGGTTGTTAAAAACATACTAACTCTGACATACAATAATAGGAATCCTATACATATTGGAATAATTTAAAGCTACAAAATGAGATATAAAGTATGTACAACAAGGATGTACAGGGTGGCAGACGGGAACCTGACGTTTTTTTTTAATTTATTGTTCGTCACTAGATGCCATTTAACGTGGTATATCATTTGTGGAAGATAATGTCACATAAGTGGTACCCATCCGCATGAATGCATTGTTCCAGCCTTCCCCGAAAATTGTTCATCAGATGCGTCTTAATTGCATCGTCGATTAGTGCAACTTCGTCACTGATTGCCACTTTCAGTTCTGCCAATGTGCGGGGTCTGTGAATATACACTGGTGCTTTCAGATACCACCACAAAAAAGTCGCATGTGCTCAAATCAGGTGATCTGGGCGCCCATTGAATGTCGCCAAATCGTGAAATTAGCCTTTCTGGAAACATGCCTCGACGCACTTGCATAGACACACGAGCAGTGAAAAAAACACTTTCCGAGCTTTTTCCCAGTCTGTGCAGTTCGGGACGCAAGAATGTGTTTAACATGTGAGAGTAACGTTCGGCATTGACTGCAACGGCTGTCCCGTTCTCGTCTTCGAAAAAAATAGGGACCAATGACAGCGAAAGGAGTTGTTGCGCACCAAACCGTTACGCGCTCTTGAGTGTAAAGGTTTTTCGTGAATTCCACGAGGATTTTCATCGGACCAGTACCGCAAATTCTGTTTATCAACATAACCAACAACCAAATGGAAATACGCCTCGTCACTCATGATAATCACAGCATTCTCATGGTCTTCCAGAAGGGCTTACATTTGAGAAGCAAAACTCCTTCCGTTGCGCATAATCGTGAAATTTTTGAGCAACACACATCTTGTACGCATGAAACTTCAAGTCGTGATGTAAAATTCTTCTCACAGATTCACGGTTCATCCTCAATTCCAACGCGTGTTTACGAGCAGAGCGCCCAGGACTACGAGTCACGGCGTCTCTCGCAATGCTTTCTGATGCTCTTGCCGTTATTGTTGGACCTGGGGACTTCTTTTTCAGAATAGATCCTATCGTCCGTAATCTCTTAAACCAACTAGAATCGTGTTGCGGCTGGGAACAGCATCACGACGCCTACGCTAAAAATGCACACGAAAAAGTCGCTATACGGTAGTAATAAACCCAACATTTTGCACAAATGCGTCATACGCAAACATGCGATGCTTCACTGTCAACTGCTCCATAGCTACTGAAACGGCATCCAGTCGGGTAATCAATGCTCGATAATTCCGTTCCCAACTCCTCATACCGGCTGAGTACTCGCTATCCCAAAAACGTCAGGTTCCCATGTGTCACCCTGTATGAAGCATGCAGTTTAAATTTACTGGATTCAAAAAACGAATCAACAAAATATCTGTAAATTCCTTATAATGTCGCGGAACTACTTGTGTAGTTAGACTGCCAGACGTCTAACGAATCATCAGTTGATTACGGAGTGCAGAAGCATTTAGGAACTTCCTCAGGGTTACACACTATGTTATACATCCAAGACATGTTGCACGCATCCTTCCAGTCCACTAGTAGTAAACATTAAAGCTTTTGTTACTTATGTCATTATACAATGCTCAGTAATGTGTTTTTGTTTATTGCGATTATAGTCTTATTATAAAATGCAAGCGTATTGACATCCGACTATTTGAAAGCTAGCTTAAAAAAGGTGTAACAACAAGATCACGCATTCAATGTACTTGGATTAATATTTCCAAGTAATTATACATATGAAAGTGAAACTCCTTTGTTGGAAAAAAATGGATGAAAACAGAAGACAGATAAGCCAACAATATATATATATATATCTATATCTGATACCATTCCTACATTATGGAATTATTATTCTCATTAACTAACTTGGTCTTCAGATTTTTTCCGCAAATTCATTTAATTTACTTTTGATTGGACGGCCTTTTATCCTGTACGTTTGTCATCCGTCAGATACTTCTTCGTTTTTCTACGACAAATGCCGAAAAGCAAGTATGACGACAATACGTGTATTAATGTCTCATTGGTACACCATTAGTAACATCCCTAAAACATATTTTTATCTTTGTCAATTAGTATCACAACGCCGTTCCACATCAACCAATACAAATCCATCATTAGCTTGGTCCTTAACTTTCTTTTTTTGTTTGAATTCTTTCAATCTAGGGTTATTTGGAGGCCCTTTGGATCTATCTCTGTGCTTTTTCATGGTTCTGTCTGAGGCTGAAGCAGATGCGTCGTCCTTAATATTTCTTGGACCCACCTGAATAACAAAATGATTATCTCATATATGTCTCACATGATCCAGTCAGTAAAACTTGTACATACGAACATTCTCAATTAGAATTGAATGGGCCAGTTGGAGTTATTGAGTTGGATACGGAATAGCCAGTGACGAGGTATACATTTGGAAGCTTCCCACCACGGATTTATCGAAAACCATTGATTAAAAGAAAAAACGCCGAGACACGTCAATAGATTTGTCAAGGATGACAACTTTTTAACCAAAAACTACTTCACCGTCTACCCTCAGGGTCATCTTAAAAATTTCAAATGACAAGGGGTATCGAGAAATAGCTTGTTTGAAAGGTCCTTGAAGTCCTTTATTTTGACGTTTGATTTTTCAACATCGGTCGATTCGTTTTCGAGTAAATTAGAAAAATATTTATCTTAATTTGTTCAGATACAAAACAAAACACACGAAAATATCACTTTTTATTTCAGTAAGTGTTCAAAATGTGGCCCGTTACTGGCCGAACAATGATATAGGCGATAAAAAAAGAACTGAAAAAATAAAATAATTTTTTGGATTGCAAATATACTGTTTTATGCTTCTTAACCTTTAAATGATAATGAAGCTCGCTTGTTTCAAGTTTTCAAATGCAAGCGGTCTTAATTCGTCGAATGAAGAACAACCTAATAACGAAAATTTAGTTTTTTTGAATAACAGCTGTGACAATATCAATGTATGGCATAAACATTTTTGCAATCAGAATTAAAAACTGTATGCACCTGTGTAAAAATCCAATAGGACATCTGTAAGAAAAAGTAAAGCCTACATTTTGCCGCTACAATAGTGAATGGTAGCATAACAGGCATGATTGCAAATTTAAAACTTTTATGAAATATTGTTCAATATACAGTGATAAATATGTCAAGATAATGTTAGCATTACCTGATGCACCCTCATATAATACACCAACAGCTGATCTTCATTGACAAAATCCTCCACTAGTTCTGTATTCATCCAAATACAACCACCCTCCTTTAACAAATGCGCGTTGGGAATGTCAATTGGTTGACAATAATCACTCATCAATACTTTTCTTTTGGTACGACAAGGCTTGAAAATTTCTATTTCATAAAAATATTCATCTGCCTCAGCTATGTTCCCTAAAAAATAATATCATACAAAAAATCTTATTACAAGAAACAAGACTGCATCAATACTATTTTTAATTTCTAATTTTGTGACCTAGCTAATAGCTTAGCTGTGTCGGACTTCCTTCACCACAAATTCGAAAGAGACTGTATATCCGACTTCTGAGCTAAAGGTCGGCGGTTTTAACGTTTAAGTTATGCTTCTAAGCAATCTAATGAGTTATGTCACGTAATAAAGAAGATGCTATATTTTTCATTTAACTTGCTTTACTCATTAGTCGGATCTTTGATTTTCGAGTTCCCCTTTGAGCAACGTAAATTATTCCAAGTGTAGATGGAAGTAATCAGGTGTAGTTCACTTCCCTTTCCCTAAATTTTATTGGACGAGGATAACTGCTGTCCTTTCGAATCTATTACCTATATGTTGTACAGCCCAAAACAGTTTCTTATTGCTTAGTTTGCACTTGAACCAAAACATTTTATTGTATGCTTCAACAATGTTAACATAATATGCCTCGTTCTTCATTTTGGTGTGGCATAAGTTGCTCACATGGTATGGTCTACTTGTCATTTTCTTGGAGGCCCAATGAGCTGCCAATTCCTCCAAAGGTCCAACCCATGTGCATTTTTCCATTGCACAAGCAAATCCTCTGTACCTGAAAATACCGGAGTAGATTATCGGAGAAAATATTTAACTGTACAAAATACAGGGTTATTACAAAAGAATCATCGGGTTTTAAAAATATATATTTCTGAAGGTATTACATATATAACAGTAAGTGAAATGTCAATGGAAAGGTAAAATATTCAAGATTTTAAGCATGTTATTACAAATGTTCGATGTGAGCTCCTTGCGTCACACGACATATGTCCAAACGATGGTCCAGTTCGGCCCATACACGCTGCAGTGTGTCTCGATCGATATTGTTAATAACAGTAGTAATGCGTTCCCGGAGTTGACCCAATGTTGTTGGCAGAGGTGGTATGTAAACCATATCTTTAATGTAACCCCAAAGGTAAAAATCGCATGGTGTAATGTCGGGAGGCCACGCGAACAATACCAAATCTTGTGCAGTACCTCGGTCAATCCAACGGTGCGGCAGTGCCTCGTTTAAATACCGACGCACCTCATGATACCAGTGAGGCGGAGCTCCATCTTGTTGGAATATGAAGTTGTTAGAATCTTCTGTGAGTTGCGGAAATAACCACAAATGCAACATATCTAGGTAGGACGAACCGTTTACAGTGTTTTCATGAAAGAAAAAAGGCAAGTACACTTTATTTTTGGACATTGCACAGAAGACATTTAATTTTGGAGAATCCCTTTCATGTTGCACGATTATTTGAGGATTTTCCGTGCCCCATATCCGAATGTTATGACGGTTCACCCTTCCACTTGCATCTTAGAAGAAAAATCAAGTCGCTTTACGTGGTCATAAGGTCGTAAGCTTTGTAGCATCTGTAGATGGTACGGTTTGAATCGCAAAATTTTCTATACGGTTGGCTGGGGAATACCAAGATCACTTCCTGCTCTGCTAGTGGAGTTTCGCGGAGAACTCGTGAAACTGTGTCTAACTGCGTCCCACCATTTCGTCAGGAAGTCGTGGTCTTCCGGTACTTTTACGTTTAGTAATGGAACCTGTCTTCTTGAATTGTCGATACCATCGTAGAACGCTCTGATGACCTGGAGAATCAGTTCCATACCGCCGTCTGAATGCACGTTGCACTGTAACAACCGATAAACATCGCGCGTACTCTAACACACAAAACGCTTTCTGCTGCATATTTTTTTTTTTTTTTTTTTTTTTTTTTTTATACTCCAACTACCACGAAGGCCTGAGGCCTAAGCACCCATTGGGTACCGTGGGGCTATGGGGGATACATGGGAAAGGGGGGACGCCACACGGACTCTGGCGAGGGAACACGTGTGCATGCAACATGCACACATTCTGGCTCCGCCTACGAGAACCGCCGGGTGGTACCTCCGCGTTCGACAGTCAGAGACCATCTACCACCTACGGACAATCACAACATCCATGGCCAAGAGAAGCATTTCTCCTGGAGACGGGAATCGAACCCGCACAGCGCACGGCACTGATCAGGAGACCGAAGAGTCTACTACTGCGGCCACCGCTGCTGCCTAAAACAAACACACAACATCCATGGCGAAGGCGAGATTCGAACTCGCGGCCCGGCCGACCGGCTGATCAGTAGCACGACACTCTGACCCACGCGGCCAACCGAGGTCCCATTTTGTATACTGAGCTCGTGGCGCTACCTAGGGAGCTAAAGCGGCGTTCGCAAGCACGTGCTTTAAACTTGAACATTTTTCTTTTCTAGTGATATGTCATTTGATATTATATTTGCAATACTCTCTTAAATATACATTTTTAAAACCCGATGATTATTTTGTAATAACCCTGTATACACAGGCTGAAGGATGCTCAAATTATATTTAAAGTACAAATTAACAAATATTAGTCAAAGGGCTTCAGATATATTTTGACAACTATATCTGCCCATGCATGGTAGAGATATACACGGTTTCCGGAAATTGAGGGATACTACTGTCACCGGATATACATCAAATCATGGCCTGCTGTTTGGAAAAATTTTGTTTAGTCAAAACTCTCATGGTTTTCGAGATATACAGCAATCATTTCTTTAGCAAAAATCGACACTCGTTTAGTTAAATTGTTACTATTTCAACAAATATCATTTTTTTTTGTGCCGGGTTTCATCGAAATCAGTGCCGCTTTATGACAACTATTCTAATGGAAGATTTTAATGAAAACCAATTTGTACATCTTACTTCGACGCTCTCTACTAATAAAGAATGAAATAGGATCACTGTGCCAAATACATACTTTAAAAAGTTGTACATTTAATGCAATGTTTTCTAACATTTTGTTGACTATTCCAGAGGACGACAAACTTGCTCCTTGAATATCAAAACATGCTATTATGATATATATTATGACAAATAAGGAACAAGGGTTAGAATTAATTTTGTGATGGCAAGTTTTTGTTAAATTTCTAGACTAGGTGTTCAAAGTGATCATTCGTGTGTATTTAAAAAGATCGCCAGATCAGAATCCATTGGTTTTTTATTGGTATTGTCTAAAAGACATTGTGTATTAAACAAAAAAGGTTTCTACAATAGAGTTGCGAGGTAAAATCTGATTGATCACCAAGGAAATTTACACAGAGGATACTCGCGCAAACTAAGGGCATGCAAAACATTAAACTGGTCAATCTAAATATCAAATATAGTGAAAAACTGCAATCCTGCCATTACTTCTTAATTATGTTATGAAAACAGTTTTTTGATATTCCAGAAACTGGACGAACTTAGATTTGCTATAAAAAAGAACACAGCAAAAAAAATGTTGGACAATAGTACCATTGCATTGAATAACCAACTTTTTTTAAATAATTTAGAACGGTGATCTTAGTCCATTAATTGTAACAAGGTGTCAAAGTTGGACGTATAAATTGGTTTTCATTGAAATGTTGCATTAGAATGATTTATAACATAAGAATATAACGACACTGATTTCTATGAAACAATCAAATGTGAATATTATGAAACAAACCCGGCCCAAAAACTTGATATTTGAACAAATGGCAACAATTTAACCAGATAAACATTTGATGGCTCGAAAACCATGAGACTTTTCCAGTTGCAACATTTCTGGGCATCCTGAATTTTCAAAGAAGCCAATGTTTTCGAAATTACTTTCAGTATATAACATTAAAGCAAAACAATTCATTGGAAGAAATTTCTGCGGTTACCCTGTTTTCATCGCGAAAAGAGACCTACAGTCCTACAGACCTATGATAAAGCCACTCTTTTTATCTGTCATAAAAACTTTTACATAAATCTGTAGTCCAAGAAACATCTCTACTAGGTTGCAATAATTCGAGTCAGAGTGTCAGTTTCGGTTGGAATATTGCCCCAATGTTGTTAAAAATGGCAATGTTGATATAATCTGTTTCAGAAAGCAGTGTTCAAGTCAGGAAAAATTTAGCGATTTTTCAATGCTACCAGTGCTTAGACTATTAAATTATGGTGGAACAATAATCTAACACATCAGCTTTAACAGTTAAAGTAAATTATACTGCCATAAACAGAAGTCATGTCCTGATTGATTAGGTATGTTCCACTTTAAACCCTAGTTCATGGATGAAATAAAAACGCGGCACAGGCCTTTTTTCACAATTTTTAATTTATTAATCTGATATTTTTGTGACTTCCCTATTCTGTATCAAGGGACAATAGTAAAAACAAATATGAACAATTTATACCTGCAGTTCAGTTTGTGTCCCTCCCTTTCATTATAAGCCAGTGATGCAGTACATCCAGACACCCTATATGCACACGGATACCTCATTTTCACCGCAAGGCCTTCTAATGATATATTTCTGGAGTCTGAGAAGTTGCTCTGACATAGAGCACATTTCTGTAGTTTGTTTCTGCATGATTCACATACACTATGACCTGTTGAACATTGTCTAATAGGGGGGACCATGTAGCTAGTGCAAATGGGACATTCTAATTCAATAAGCAGATCCTTGTAAAATGTTTCCTCCATTATTAGGTAATTTTATCGCTTGAAAGTATCCCGGGTTCTGAATCTTTCTGCAAAAGATAAAAAAAATGCTAACAAATGTTCGCTGAATGCAGCCATTAGAATATTCAAGGTATAACAGGCGTTTCAAATTCCACCCTCAGCATTGAGATCTTGCTGAGAGATACGAGGTTAGTTAAGCGGATTCAAAATTGCTTACGTATGAAACTAAGAAAATGGCATTTAGAAAATTCATAGTATTTCTGGAGACACATGGAAAAACGAATTAGTCCAAATTCTTTTTCACGTTTCCCTGACATTTGAGATATGACTTGAAATCAAAAATTGCAAATTAACATTGCTACTTTTTCTCCTCTACAAGGTGGTAGATTCAGAATGTCAATATGGCGTTTCGTCTGTCGTCCTCCATATTTTTTCTTATGGACGTTACTTTAGAATTTTGAATAAGGGTTATTTCTGATTTTAAAAATGTATATATATATATATATATATATGTCATCAGTATAATAATAGCTGTATTTTGCTACATAGGCCTTGAAATTAGCAGATATTCATTTGTTTCATAATGCCATCAGCCAAGCGTTTCTCAAGTTTTTATGAACTGGTTAATAAAGGACCACTGTCTTCATTTGCTTTCTCTAGATGCTCCAATAATTTTGGCAAAAACTATTGATATTGTCCATTAGTTTCATCGTCAGGTACTGCTATATTTTATATTATGAAGATCAAGGTGAACTCAAAATGATATGCCCATTATACTCATATGTAGGCGAGAGCATTTACAAGGTAGTGAAACAAAACTGAAGAACATATGTCTGAGCTTACACAAACAAATGTGTGAGTGAGGGGCATGGATGTATAAAAGTGATGCTAGTAGTTTTAGTATCACCCGCCGAAAACCGTGGAATGAACTATGGGTAAGATGGATGATATTAAAAAAAGATTCTCATAATTATTGTATGATATACAAGATGAGTTAATACTGGTAAGGAAGGAATGATCAAGCAATTTGCCACGCACAGATTGTCAGAAGCATGTGAATACATAAATGAAGCCCAAGGAAGAATTTTTACCAACAGGTTAATACTTTGAGCAAATACAAAAACTAAAGAGTTTAGAGTTGAGATTCCAACCATCCAAAATAATGGTATCTATTGTAAAACTGATGAAGTGCAGGCATATTTGCAAGAACCATACCAGGAATTGAGATGTGATAGATTCTGCAAATCTAATTATGATGTCAGCAGTATTTTCTAGTAGATTTAGCATTCAAGAATTGATGATTATTTTTTATCCTGAAGTAACCTTTGAACTGAGTAGGGTTAGCAAAACAGAAAAGCCTCTTCAGGCAGGCTGTTGCACAATGTTGACCCCCTAGAAACAAAGGAGCAGTTGTACCAGATAGTTCTGGATGTATGAAGTTTGAGGGAAGAATGTGAGGGGAGGATCAAACAAGAAGTCAATGCCTAAAATCTACAAAAGTACCTGTTTTTCCCTCCTGTATTATGGACTCAGGTTTTTACTTTAATAGTCACCTACCTTCAATGAAGATACTAAGAACAGCAAAGTCTACAGCTCTTACAGAAATTTCCAAACTGAGGTATTATAGGAACCTGTTGCAAAGCCTAATAGATTCCTCTATGAGCACTTCAAAATCAAATGAGGTAAAAATGTGGAACCTAACCAGCAAATCCGCAAGAAGGGAACACAACATCAGCATTTCAAGCCTATTGTTGATGTTGAAAGAATGGAATTTTCAATACTTCTGCAAGTAGCCCGAGTAGGTTCATCATCACATTTTCACAGAGCATGCATAATAAATTCTCATTAACTGTTCTTAAATATTAATATCAATACTAGCCGATTTAAATTCATATTTTTTTTTTACATACAGAAGAAATTATAAAATAACTGAGTGATAGTAGGGCTGCCATTATTAATTTTTATGTATTTTAGCAATTGAAGATCGTTCATTATTATTCGGATGAGCTATTTTAATGTGTTAACAAATGTGCTAAGAGTATGAATCATAACAATTTATAAAATCCAGGAGCTCAGCCACCTACTGACTGCTAACTGCTTGATTCCAAATGTATCATGCTTCTAATATTTAATATAGCATATAGATTTCATACCTAAAAAACTAGTTTTCACTAGTAGTTTATCTGTGCAACCTGCTTTCTGTGAGAGAATCTCTTCAGAAATATCTTGTTTCTTCAACGCCAAGCTGTGGTCATTAGCAAGTCGTCTAAAAATATGACTGCAGTTGTGGATGAACTAAATTACCTCTTGCGAAACATAAATATTAGGTCTTACGAAATTTTCCGAGGATACTAAAAGAAAAACAGGTAAATGAAAAAAATAAAAATATTTTGCACTTTGTCAGTTCATGTTGTGTGTCACTGTCACCTGTCACAGCTTGAAACGTGTCACGTCACGTGGCACTAAAAACATAGGGCACAAAGACTAGAGATTTGAGGTTCAGCTGGATAAGGAGAACCCGTATTCGTATGAAGCCAATCCTGTCGGCTAGGAGGGTGTGGCTCTCGGAAATCAAGAAGGCCAAGAAGATGGCATAGAGCGTCAGCGCATTGATAGATGTTAACAAAATCTGCCGCAATATTTATGTACATTTCGCTTACGTTTTGTCATGCTTTGTAGGTTTATTACTTCGTGATTTATTGATATTATTCAATATTTCTGCTTGCAACTTGTCCAAAACTGTCAAAATTGGAGTTGTTTACAGTTATGTTGGCAGCAAACAGATAGATGTCACATATGCAGAAATTAATTTGTTTTGCAGTGAACATAAGAGAAAGATGCCATATGTGCAGAACCTGAAATTCATTTCCTGTTCAGGGCACTCACGCCTGGCTTTACTCCCAGTCTACGTGCTACGATTTGACATGTGAAACGTGTTTGAAGAGTTTTTCCGAGCGTCACTTTCTACAATAAAAATTCAAGAGAAACCTCTACAAATGCCTTCCTAATTCGTATATCTTAGGCGGAATACAAGAAACGAAGAATCTCGGCCAGTGCCACCTAGGAACGGGCGCTCACCTAATAGTTTCGCATTTCAAGTGAACTATGGCTCATTAAAAAGGAACCTAATTATGTGAGATATAAATCAGTAACCAGTACTTATTACATAGATATGGCACTAGAGGCTGTGAAAAAAACATTATAACTTTCCTCCAAAGATAGCGCCAACAACTACCAGGAAAAAATGATAGATATGCTCATGGAAATAAGTAACAGAAATGTTTTAATAGTATACTAAGTGACATATAAATCCGAACACCCAGTTTAAATGGTTTTATTTTAATAAAATTTTGTATAAGTACTTAATGAAGCATAATAAGTAAATGATAAAAATTTCAAAATGATTGCACTGCTTTAAAGCCCTTTGACCTTTAATAATGTGTGGATGCGCCCTGATGTGCTACGCATTCTCCAACGCGCCTAGGCATGCTTCTGATCAGGTGGTCAATGTCCTCCTGTGGTATCTCATTCCAGGTAACCACCAACTCCTCTCGAAGTGCTTCTAGAGTCTGAGGAGGTCGTTGCAAATTGAGCAATCTCCTACCCATCATATCCCACACGTGCTCAATTGGGGATAAGTCGGGAGATCTTGGTGGCCATGGTAACAATGTGATATCATTATGTTGAAAGAAGTCTATTGTGACTCTTGCAACATGTGGTCGGGCATTATCTTGTTGGAAAGTTGGATCTGCCAGGGTGTCAAGATAGGGTGAAAGATGGGGTTCTAGAACTTCGTGGATATAACGCTGCGCGTTCATGTTACCTCTGATGAAGATTAAAGGTGACCTGGAACCATAAGCTATAGCACCCCAAACCATAACTCCAACAGTGTGATGAATATGTCTTTCAACAAAAAACTGTGGATTCCTCCTTTCACCACGTCGCCTTCTAGCCCTGGCACGACAATCGTGCATGCCTACACAAAATCAAGACTCGTCACTAAAGACAATACTGTTCCATTCCTGATCCCAGAGTGACCGTTGTCTGCACCACTCAAGGCGATTACGTCGGTGTTCTCGAGTTAAAGGGAGGACCCAGTGTGGCCGGTATGAAAACAAGCCAAAACTTCTCATTCGTCGGTAAACACATCGCATGCCAATAGGTCTTCCGTGTTCTGCAAAGCATTCATTTGCAATGGACCTGGTAGTGGAGAAACGGTTCCTTAAGGCCAATAATCTTAGGCGGCGATCTTCACGGTGTGTTGTTCTACGGCGGCGTCCAGTGCCCCTTGCTCTTTGCGTACGGCCTTCTCGAAGCCATGCCTGACAACACCTAACCACAGTGTCTACACTTCTTTGCACTCTAACTGCAATTGCCCGAAAAGAAAGTCCAGCTTCCCGAAGTCCCACTATACGGCCCCTATCAGACTCACTAAGTTGACGAAATCGTACAAGTCTCCGTACTCTAGGCATCGTATCCGATCGTAAAGGATGTCAAGAACCAAAATCCGCCAACGTTGATTCTTTACTGCGGCTGAAATATTCATGTTTAGAGCGTTAGAGAATTAAAAAAAAGCAGTATAAAAACAGGAATGTCCAACTGATAAGGCTGAAAATTTTTTCACTTGTTATTTACAGTAAGATAAATACATTCACCAACTTTGATTAAAATAAAACCATTTAAACTGGGTGTTCGGATTTATATGTCACTCAGTATATTTATTATATCTATTACGATTTTAATGAAAAACCACTACTTGTAAATATATGACAGTCACAGTGCAGTACTGTGCGGTACGCTTGATAAAGAGTTAGTCCGTTAGTTGGCACACGAATACCATCTGTTGAAAGAATCTGTTACTGAAAGACTGTGAAGTGGTGAACCAACGATTCTTATGACTCAACACTGTTTTCGTATATATTTTGTGGTGTTTCATATGCTATGATTGAACTACGTAAGTGATCTAGTTCATCATTCATGGGAAAAATCGCTCACTCGTTCACCACGAACGACTGGTATTACTATTACAGGCTCCCAGCGAACCAAGCGTAATAGCACCGAACTAGTGAGTGTATATGTGTTGTGGTTGTGAGTGAAGAAACGAGAAAAAGGCTTTCTCAGCCTCCGAATAAAGCCGCTCACATGGCACAGGTGCCGCTATAAGACGCAAACGTTCTTTAACCTTCTGAAATAAGGTGGGATACCTACACTTTTACTTTTTCCTGCCACCATAGGCTATATACATTCAAAGTCAACCAACAGTCAATCAACGAATCAACTCAGCAAATTGCTCTATAGATAGGTATACGAAATGTTACTCTTGGTTCATAAAATTGTACCCTACATGCCTTCGCCTCACATCTCTCCAAATTCCCCTTCCCTTTACCACTATACCTCTTGAGTTCCATGGCAAATTTTCGCGTTATAGAGAAAATCCGGTGGTAGCAGAGTCGAGCGACTTTCAAGTGCTTCGCTGGAGCTCCCGCTGTAACTTTGGGAACGGACGAGAAATGAGAGACACATTGGCGTATGGGTGGAGTGATGACATATACTCTTATTAACAGGAGAGAGAAGCGTATTAATCGCATTTGACGTACTTTATAATCAGTTTTTACAATGTATTTAGCAATTTTGTAAATTTTACCTTACCAAAAAGCATTGATAGTAGATCAGATTTGTAAAACAAAATTCTTGGCAAATCAAACGTTTTATTCAGACAAGTTACATACGAGAACAGAGATCACACATTAGGAACCTCTGTGAAACAAAGTATCACCCTAACGAGTTACATTAACACGTTGACTGCCACGCTGGTCCCATGGGACCAGCTTTAATGACTTGCCTCGAGCCGCGCTGGTCCTATGAGACCAGCAGACTTTCACTTGGGTATGGAGCCGCTGGCCGGTTTTATAATGTAATAATGTTGTTTAGGGGACCAGCACGGCCTCATAGAAGATATCTATAAGCATGGTTTTTTAATTTTAATTTTTTTTAGTTTTGTGGTCCCATTAGAAAATACTACGAATCAATATTAGCAAATTATGTATTTTAAACTAAAGTAACTAATATAAAAACTGGAAAAATATTTAACTAAGTCTGACTACCCTTGATGTATTTCATTGAAACAATTCAAACAAAAATAGTTTTCCCTCGCAATCCTCGCAGTAGGTGTCTACTTTGAGTGTACGATTGGTAGCATATTTCCTACCATGAAGCTCGTTATTTTTTTTATAACAATGCTTACAACATCTTGTTTTATGCTTATTTTCGCCATCTTTTCGTTTTAGAGAATGGTGTCGTCGTCTTTTTGCCGGTAGTTCATGGTCAATGTTCTCGTTGTTAGCAGTATTTATAAGATATCTTATGACTTCCTTTTTAAACTGCGTAATCTTGATATTACATCCGGTAACATTCTTATATAATATAAAAGCATTTACCATGGAAGTTGTAAGCAAAAGCTCAAATGCGATTTTGCGATACCCTTTGACAGATCTTCGAAGAGGATTAGAATACGATCCCATTTGATCAGAGAGATCCACAGAACTTTTTTCCGCTATTGTAATCGATGACGACTTTAGGTATTCTGTTGTTACTTCTCTCTACCATTTCAGCATCATGCTTTGTAGACAGTACAAGCACATCCCTTTGGTCTTTCCACTTCAGTAATGTTATCCCATCTTTGTTCTCCATGGCCGCAACTTCTCCTTTTTTAAGTTTTTTGTCTACAACTTCCTTTGGTAGCCCCTTGCGGTTTTTGCGTATCGTGCCAATGAGGTGTGTATTAGAATCAAGCATCCTTTTAGCTAAAGGTAAACTCGTATACCAATTGTCTGTTACTAAGGTTCTGCCGAGACCTATAATATCTTGGGTAAGAAATGTTACAATACCTTCTGGAGTTATTCGTTCGCCATTTTCTTTGCCTGCGTAAATTCTTGATATTATATGTGTATCCTGTTCCTGAACACAACTTAAATAATTTGATACCATACTTGTGTCTTTTCGATTTTATGTATTGTTTTATAGACAATCTTCCTCTATAAGGCAACATAGTCTCATCAACACATACATATGGAAAACTAAAGTTGAATAATGGATCCGTTGACCAGTAATCAGCCAGTGTAGGTGCTTTGACCATTCCCATCCAGGCCACTAGCCCTAAGAAATGTTTGATTTCTGTTTTATTTGTTGGTACCCAATTATGGTAGCGGGAATTGTCACTTGCATCCGTTTCAAGTAAGAGACAACTAGAATAATGATTTGTTTCATCCGCAATATATGAGAAAATCGAATCGTCTGCAACAGCTTCATAGAATTGTCATGGACTTGCATTTGCTAGTAAAGCGGCAACTTCTGGTTTTATTCCAGATGACTGGGTATAGGTTGGAATGGCTTTGTAAATTCTTGCGATTGGCCTCCATCCCTCACCA